CGCCGAGTTATAAGACTACGTAGACTATCTTAGAGTTCTCGATAAGATAATAATCGCTATTAGCCTTAAATTTCTATTCTATTCTAAAGAATTAGTCGTTCTTAGATAGAGTCGTTATCGTCGATAAATAGAGGTAGGTCTAAGACCTTAACTAATTTCTCTTTTAAACGTCTAGGCGTGCGTTTTCTCCTCGATCGATGATAGTCGTAAGTCTTTTATTAACTATATCTTAAGGTTATTAACTTTCCGCTATAGAGAAGTTATATTCTTCTAAAAGTCTCGGGCTAGTTAATTTATCTTCTCGATTATTCTATAAGTCTAATATAAATCGTTTATAGCTAGATTCTTTTTTATTACGGCGGCGTAATATCGAGTAATAACCTCTCGAAAATCGTCTCGCTTCTAACGAATTTCATTTAATATAGTTATAAATTCGTTAGGTTAGTACTTAATTTAATATTATAGTTATAGACTATTAGCGATATCCTAAGACGTATTTATCGAGTCTAACTCGTTAGACTATGCATTATCTAATAGAACTAATACCTTTCGAAACTTAATTTACTCTAGTAGAGTCTTAATTTAATTTATTCTTTCGATATTGAACTTCGCTATAAGAAAAAAAAGAAAAAAAAGTGGAGAGGAGTTTAAATACTTCGAAAGAATAGGTGTTGGGGACACCAGATGTACTAGAGAGCAGTAAAGTTTCTCGAAGGCGCGTCGAAATTATTCGATGTTGAGAATAAAAATTTTTACTATAAAGTTCGAGGCGAGGTTATTTCTTTGCGGGGGCTTAATACACTTATTTCTTAATTGTTTAAGGCGTTAAGAAGACTATAAGTACTTTAAATAGTAGTCTTTCGAGTGTACTTACTCCGCTTAGGGGGTCCCTTATCTCGTAGAGAAGTTATATACGAGGAAGTTTCGGTTTAAAGAATAGTATTCTAGATTGGCTATAACTCGGCCGTTTCTTATCTAATTAGGGCCTCGTTGAAAACCCTAGACGTTATAGTATATAAAGTTGCAAGTGGTACTACTGGTGTGTATTTTAAATATGAAGATATAAGATGGTATTGGCTATTTCTTTTGATTCGCTAGCCATACGAATAGTCTAATACCTTCTTTATCCCTCGACCACTATTTGCCGAGGCCGTTTCGCTATTCCTTTTAAGCTCTTTAAAATCGATTTATCTATCTAATAGACTTACTTAGAAATACGATAGCTTAACTTAATTTCTTATTAAAGCCTCTACTAGCGCGTTTCTTTGAATTCGTTCGCTAATATAAATGAAATAAGTAAGTTAATCTTAGTTATAGTATTAGAACTAATATAGATATAATATTAATATAGGTATATTTAATAAGATAACTAAGGTATCGAACTATATAGGTGAAAAGAAGGTATAATATAATAGAGGATGTCTTCGCTAAGGCCCGCTAGTTATAGGGCTAAAAAAAATTTTTAAAAAAAAACCTTTAAAAAAATTTTTTATAAATATTTTATTAAGGGGTTAAAAAAAATTTTAAAAGTCTATTAAATAGTTTAAAAAAATAAAAGGCCTATATATTAAAGAAAGCTTCGATATTTATATCTTAAATATCGATCTTAATATAGCTATAGAGTAATACGATATTAGTAATCTTAATAAGATTCGAGAATAAGCGAGATTTACTTACTCTAAGAAAATACGTTAGAACTTTACTCTAAATATTATATCTATTAAATAGTAAGAGTAGCGAGTTAAATCTATTACTATAGTCGAGTAATAAAAGCGTTTTAAATATATCCTCGATATAAAGCTTATTTATATCGATCGCATCGATTTTAAAAGAGATATTTAAATCGTAAATAAGTTTATATAATCTTCTTTTTATCGTTAAATAAGAACTAGTAATCTTAAAGATTAGTATACTATTATTCGCGATCGATAAAAGGCTCTTAGTAATTATTTAAAGTAATTAATTACTAAATAGAAATATTAGATTATAAGTTATAAATATAAGAGTATCTATTAAATTAATAAGAATAATAAATATTATAAGATAAACGCTATAATGAGAGAGAGATAGATTACTACTATTTAAGACGATTAGATTACTTAATATTAGTCTCCTCTACTCGTATATAAGATCTTTATAAATATAAACTCTAGCGTTAATAATAATAGTTAGAAGAAGAAGAAGATAATTTTAATAAAGTAAATAAAGGCTATAATAGAGTAGTAAATAAAGCTTAATCTACTAAAGAGTATAAAGTCTATAGCGAGTATAGTTAATAAAGAAAGTTAGCCATCACACTCGTAGCAATTCTATTAGCCTCCTTCTTATCAGCTTTCTTCTTACTAGCCTTCGCTTATATATCCTTTTATATCGCCTTAATATCTTAATAGCTATTTATAATAGCAATTAATTGATGTCCCTCCTTCTCCTCCTCCTTCTACTACTATAGAGGTTTCGCGAATAAAAATACCGTCTCCGTAACGGTTAAGTTTTATCAATACGCGCATTAAAGAGAAAGATATTATTAAGCGCTTCTGGTAGTAGAAGAAGAAGGGTATAAATAAAGCGGCGAGAAAGCTTTAGATCTATTAGGTCTAGGCGTTTATTAAGTAGTAGATATAAGATATAGATAATATAAAAGCTCTATCTAACGCGTTTATTAATATCTATAAATATATAATAAGTAAAGATCTATTATATAGTCTTCTTTAAGACCTAAAAGGAGATCTATTAGTCTTTAAGATCTTATAAAAAAAGATTTATTAATATACTTATACTCTAGAATAATTAAAATAAGAATAAAGATAAAGTAAGGGATTTAATTAATATTATATAGTATTTTATCGTAATTACTCTATAATCTCCATAGTTAAATACTTTAAATCTTATTTAAATATCTTAATTTTACTATTAAATATATAGTTTATAGTGCTATACTTAAAATACTTTATCGTAAATCTATTATAACTATTAATATCAATCGTATACTTTAGAAATTCTTTAAAGTTATTCTAAAAGACGTATTAAAAGGTCTTAAAATAACGTCGTATCTACGCCTTAAGAATACTAAATATTAATTCGATAGAATTATAGTTAGACGAGTATAAAGAGAGATATTTAATAAGATAGTCTTTAATCTATATAATCTTAATAATACGAGAATCGATATAAACGCTAATATTATTTAGAACAATAATACTACGCTTTTTAAAATACTCGTTATAAAGAGAAAGTAATCGATTAATTAGCTAGTCGAGAATATCTTTCTTACTATAATAATCTTTCTTAATTTTAGTATAGAATAAGTATTAAGCAGTGATATATATAGATAGAATACTAAAAGTATTATCTTATCTTATATTACTATAATATTAAGTAGGGTTATCGATAGAAGTATAGACTATAGATCGTTACATTATTTATAACTTAAATAACGACTTATTAATAAAGACTAGTTGCTTCGTCTTAATTTAATTCATAAACGTCTATTATATAATATAAAGTATATTACTTTAAGAATTAATTTTTTAATCCTTCTTATATATAACTCTAGCTTATTTTAGAGTCCTATAGACGATAAACTTATAAACCTCGATATTCTACTTCTCTTTTAAGAATCGCGCTAATTTATCTTAATATAGCTACGACTTTTAACGCTAATAGTTAAGAAAAGCGTTTAAAATAGTAGATAAGAGATTATAATATTGCCCTTATATATAAATATATCTATTATAAGAGATTACGATATCACTATAGATAATAAGATTTCGCTTCTATCGATACGCTATTAATATACTAAAACGAGTATCTCTAGCTATAACTTTAGGTCGCTAATAAAATTTAAGTAAGAGTTAGATACGCTGGCGTATAGAGAGATTTTTTCTAAATAATAATATCGCGTCTAGAGTAAAGGCTAAGGCAAAATACTAGAAAAAGCGTATATACCTACTAGCTTCAGTATCGCGAATATTCAACTAAGATAGTAGACGACAGTGGCTATTGCAAGAATAATAAGTACGTTCTCTACAATTTTCTATGAATAGCGCTAACAAAAAGTCGGAGGCGGAGCTGGGTCAGCTTTGCCAAGCATTCTTATTTAATTTGCAATTCATAAAAACACATCCCGAGCGCCGACAATCAAAGATATGGGAATTCTATGGGACATGACAACGCTCGACGAAACGATCTCTTTCTTGGGACTCTTGCACACAAAAGGCAATGATATCGTCTTCACATTGACGATGGTAGCAATGATGGACAGTCGTCGGAGAAAGCACGCGAATTAGAGTGCCCGTAGCCGCCCTTCTGCCAAACCTTCTCTCGTAGCCGCACTAGGCGAGGCCTCGCAACTTCTCACTGCCAGCATCTGCTCTTCCTTTCTTACGTATATTATTATGGTAGCTACGACGCATAAAACTCTTTGACACGAGAAAGGGTAGCGTGTGACCCGCTGAGCGCCAAAATAGTAGGCAAGCTACCAGGAAAGTGGCAGTCTCAAGCGCCCAAATTATGGTCATCAAGTCGAAAGTTTCCGCTGTCATGACACAACATATTTGGGATTCGTACCGCAACAACTGCAAACTTACAATTGCAAACTTTTCTCGCAGCATGTCTGGCAGTCCAGATAGACAAACAGCAGAATTAATCCCAGAGTATCAGCTAGTATCCTGTTTATCCAACAAATCTTCGAAACCTATACCGTTCTTATCGAAGTAAAAGCTCGACAACAAAATCGGCCGCGTGGCTCACTGCTCTTAGCGCGCGATCGCGGGACGTTTGGGAGCTATTTCCGTCACATCAACAATGCCGATCGACCTCGTATTCAGAAATCCCCCGCCCCATCTCGTGTTCAACGACAACTCTCAGCCGACCTACGCGAATGGGCAACTTAGGTACGGAGGGTCGCATGTAACATCGATGTATGAACAAGTATATGTGTACATCAGCGGCCTCCCTTCCTCATTCATCAATTTCAACCACTGCAGCGATTCGAAGACACGATGTCTTTCATCAGATGTCTTCAAAAGTGTGCCATCGGCTACCCTAGCACTCAACCAATCCGTCTTCTCCTTTTTCTCTTCGACCTTGTCAGCGTTATCTGCTTCAGCGTTCGTTTTGAATTGGTCCAAAGATGGGTGTCTACTTACGGCGAAGTACAATATCATGACAACTTAACGACTGCGGCTTTGATCGCTATTGTCCGTCTTCCAGACCTCCCACCCTCCTAGATCTATGCTCTGCTTACATGCTTCTATGCATAGCTCATGCTCTCACTCCCCTGGACGCTATACGTTCTCCTGCGGCCATCATTCACTACCTCGAGCCTCTACCCCGTCTATCACGTCTGCTGCGAACTCCTATGTTGGGTTGCGCTCTTCGCCTGTGCTACCACGAGCTCGTTGGACAATATGAATGCTTTATGGGATGTCACAGGCTTCGAGTGCGAAGGACAAGGTTTTGCTCAACCAGACTGCACGAGCGCATACACTAAGATACAGAAGATATGTAGCTAATGCGTTTCTTTCGTGGTAGGTAACTATCTATTTATTTTAGGCAGGGAAAACTAACACCGTCGGCTAATGTTCGAGTAGGATCCTGCATTTCATCCTCTTTGCGATTGCCTTGCGAACCAGTGGCTACTCGGAGGCTGCGAGAAGAAGGATATCTCAATGGATACCTACTTTCATCAAGACACTCGCCCGTCGCCTCGATTCGCGAAGCGATGGCCAAAGCAATCTCCTTGGCATCCGCATCCCACTTCTCTTACTGGAGCTCATCAGCATCATCCTTTGGGCCGTTTTGTTCGCACTTTACCGCAAATGGATACCCAACACCCGGGGCTTGGGTACATATTTTTTAAATGGGGAGTGGGAGCCACCCTCAGGCTTCGACATCAGCATCACTGTCATGCTCGCATTGGTAGGTCCCTGATGTACGCCAATTATCCAATACCACTGTTCTGACAAAGTATCACACCCAGGTCATTGCCTGCTTCTTCTGGACCCTCGTTGTTTTTCTTCGGCCTCTAATCACGGCCTCTCAGGTTCGTAATGGGTACCATATCATTCTGGAACTCCTCTGCTCGACCCTCCTCCTTTTATGCGGTATAGTAGCATTCTGGTGGAACGACATGATCAGTTTGAGACATTCTGTCACTTTCAATGAACAGTGCATCACAATCGGGCCCCCGATCCCTGGCGAAGATCAAGATGGACCCGTGCAGTGTGAACCCCATATGAAGGCGTTGCGAGGATTGAATTTTTTGGCCCTGGTCTTTGTGTACTTGATGGCGTAAGTAGGGTCTCTTTCACATGATGTGATAAGTGGCTGATGGACGCCAAATCTTGATCTAGATTGCTGCATCTTGTGCTTTGTGTATTCGCCTGTCGAGCGTGCTACAAGAGAAAGCGGGAGAAGAATCATGTGTACGCGATTGGGTCGGAAGTTGAGTTGAACATTGTGACTCGCTCGGCAACGGACGGGCTGGCTGCGGAGTTGAGCAGGAACCGGAGTGAAGAGCGAGTGTCAGAGGCTGTTCCTGCATAGTGGGGCAGTCAGATGATAGTCAAGCGTGTCTTTGACTATTCTAAATGCTAGATTCAGAACCATATTGTTCGCAATGTCATATGTACCATTCCTGATATATACTCACTAGCTCTCCCACGTCTCTCACTCCTCATGTTCATCCCCTTCCTTCGTCATCTGCAGACTCTTTATCCAACCCATCTTCCCGAAGCATAGCCACGTCGTAGTCCCAAGCTCTGGTCCACACATCTTTTGGCAATATTCTTCCCAACGAGCATTAAACACAGAGACCAAATTCCTTCCTGTTCGCATCTCCAAAGACTTCACAGTAGCTCTCTTTACATGTTCTTCGGGCAGCCCACCCCTCACTTCAGAGGTTTGAGGCGTGTCTGAAGACAACTTGAAGCTTTTGTAAGCCGTCCATGCTTTCTCGACCACCCAAAAGTCGCCAAAAGGGGTAAGAGATAATGGAGCACGGTGCCCTGATCTGGTTCACGACCTCCCTTGCAGATCCACACTTCTCCTGCGGAAACAGCACTGTCCTCGACACCTCCCGTTGCCCCAATTCATCACAGATCTTGCCCCGCATCTAGAGTCATGCTGATCAACGCGAGCACGGTCCTCCCCCATTCCTTCACCATGTTTTTCTCCCTTGGCATCTCGTAGAACACGCAGCCTTTGAGGAGCTCAAAGCGGTGGGGGCGGGTGTCCAATCGGCTCAATGTTTGTTCTGCATTGGATGAGGCGGTGTTTGAGACCAAAGTCGTAGTTTGAGGGGGTCTGGACGTAGCGGGAGACGCTGCAGCGGGCCAGGCGGCAGCATAGAGGATGCTGTGGCCTTTGATAGGAGGATGGGGCGAGTGCGGGAGGGAGGGAGGCGGATGCGAGGGCGTATAGTTGACAATTGCGCACGCTTTGAGCTGGGGATTCGGCCAAGGTAAAGGTTGACGCGTAGAAAGGTTGGACTCGGTGGAGCAATACTCGCGTTTGCTAAGCGCATCACGCGCGGTCACGTGCATCGCATTCCTCTTCTGAGACCTATTAATTGTAACGACGATTATCTGTTCAGAGATCTGATGAGAGTAACTACAGATAACGCTGTCACACGTACACTGTAATGTCGATTCGTTAATCTTACAGTATTCACAGAGCTTTCTTCGAAGCGGCGCCCGCCTGTACTCGTACTGCACCACTATTGAGTTGTATGGCTAAGAGGGTCGGGAGGGTCGAGGGAAGGTGGAGAATGAGAAAACGGCCTCTGTTAGTCGTATTCTTTTGGCAACGGTCAAGTAACGCCTGGTGTATCGGACGGACTCGGCCATTCTGAATATGCAGGATGATATCATAGGAACATTGGCGGCTGCCAACATGAGGCTGAGCAAGGATTGACATCTGACTATGACTCGCTCGCTTTCTTTATCCACCAGGTATCCATCCCTCCCTGTCCAACCTTCAAGCGCTGCATTTGCCAATCTCAAACCTAACAACGGCTTGATCAATCCATCCCACCATGGATCCTGCCTCATTTTCCTTCGCAGTAGTCGGCATGTTTTTTACATGCGCAAAAGGCTATAAGATCTTTTCAGACGCTTACAAGGCACCAGCGGATGCCCAGAAAGCAGCTCGAGATGTGCTGATTGAAGGGTGTACTCTAGAGGTTTGGGGCGAGCACTTTGAAATCCATCAAGCGAAAGACCAGCGAAGCGAGAAGCTCAAAATCCATCTGCTGAGGGGACCCATGTTGTATGGTTGCTTTGAGGCCCTTTGCGCCATATCCGAGATCTTTACGGACATCAAGGGGTTGGACAGGAAATACGGCATCTGTTTCAATTATCATTCGAAAGGTGATAGAGTAAGTGGGCAGTCTGTAGCATTACAGCAGCAGGGCTCATGAATTATAGAGTCCGCATATACCTCGAAATGTTCGAGCTCTACTGGAGGGGCGTGATCCGTCACGGAGTCCATCACCAGCAGAGCGAAACGAAAAGAACGGAGAAATGGATCGGAAAGTCCATGACTACAACAACAAGATGTCGCTTCTTCAGAAATGTCGATGGAGTTTGAAAGGCAAAGGTCATGTTGAAACACTCCTCAAGGATCTCAGAAAGTACAATGATGATCTTGTTCGTCTTTGCACGTGGGAGGCGCAAGCACAAATAAACCGGGGTTTACCTACCTTTGCCTTACCACAGTGCAAAAACTTCCTCGATCTGCATTTCATGGCCGACTCCGCCCAGGATGCTGCTAAAGACAAGTCCTCACCAATGGCCGATGGTCGTGAAAGGATTGCGGAAATGGCCAGGTTCAAAGCGAAAGTGGTTACACCTGCTCAAGTTTCTAAGCGGTTCCGAGCCCGTTGGCGTCTTCTTGATAAAAGGGACTATGTTGTGAAAACATCTGGTCCTCGGACGCTTGCAATCTCTCGGCAGGATCAGCAAATAGTGTTTGTTGAGTGGCAATCCTATATTGGTCATGCAGGTCGACCTAATAAGCTCGCCGAGGAACAAATCCAGCAACTTGGAGACTTCCTCAGTGTCCCCGATCGTCCACATGACTTCCGTATACTAGACTGCATCGGACTGTTTAAGGATGAACCAAATTCTCGATACGGTGTGGTGTATCACCTGCCCTCGTATATGCGCGATCTCGCGCGCCGCACTCGCCCTGAAAACCTCGGGCACGTCTGCAAACCAAGTTCATTGACCCATCTCCTGGACAATGTTGATGCTATACTTGACCTCGGCTTTCGCTTCGATCTAGCAAAGAAGCTCGTGTACAGTATCGTTGTGCTGCACACCTGCGGCTGGTTGCATAAGAATATCCGCTCCAACAACATCTTTTTCTTCCCAGCTCGACCAGCTGACAACAAGAGCTTTGAGAACCGCCGAAAGGACCTTGGCCGTCCCTATATCATGGGCTATGGGTTGTCGAGGCCTGATGACGTTGTCCAATCAAATGAACACGATGATCGTGGGCCGCAGCACTACTCAAGGAGCCCTGAGGTCCAAAGGTCAGGTGGCTTTATTAGTAGACGGGTTGAGGTAGGAAAAACAGCCGATCATGATAAACTTCTGGTTCGCCCATCTAGGTCTCATGAATGGGGCTCCGACGCCGATGAAAAGCCTCAATTAAATATCTATCAACACCCGGACAAAATGGCAAACCCCGCCCGTCGCTTCCGACACAGCTACGACATATACTCACTAGGTCTGGTGCTCTTGGAAATTGGACTGTGGCAGAGTCTTCAGACGTTTGAGAATGGCCAGTGGGACGATGCCTATGCTTTTCGACACTTTGTGCTCACTAAGCTGGTTCCTGATCTATGGGGCCAGTGTGGATCGATTTACGGCGGTGTCGTGAAAGATTGCTTGAAGATGTCGAGCGATATCGGTCTGGAGGATGAAGAGGGACGAAGATTGGCTTGGAGTATCGCTGAGAGGTTGAACTTGTGCAATGCATGAGAACGTCGTTATGAATCATCCAACAAGTGTCGCTGTTCCTAGCCGATCAAGCTCAGGGTGGTGAGGCTTATATTTGAAGCAGAGATCGAGAACTCAGATGCAATGAAGAAGGCGAGCAGGTAGATCGGACGCTTCTTGGAAAGATGCCCGCGATATTTATCTTGCTGTTTGCGCTACCTTTGTCTCGAGAAGACAGAACGGACTACACAAGGAGCCATGCGTATACATCATTGCTGGCTTCCTGCCACTACAGTATTTTAAACCTCTGTTCTTGTGAACATGTGAATGGCAATAAAAATGACTAGGATACCCTTGTTACCCCTATGTCCGAGGCTTGGCTGCAACACAAATTTGAATCGCTTGCAGTCTGAGAAAGAAGTGAATTATACTCACATCTGGTATTCACAGCGGCCAAAATTCATTCGGTCGATATTCACAGCGGCGAACATTCATTCCCTTGCAGGTGAATTTGCTTTGAATTCCTTTTAACACAGTGACAACTAAGTGTATTCACCAGAAGCATCCTCTACTATATATATTCCCTCCACTCCCAACAAAACCATCTCTCCTACAACATCTTCCCATCTATATGTATAAATATACACCCGCATAACCATCCTTCTTAACTATCAGTTGCTGGCGAGAACGATAGATCTCTAGTGCAGTGACCTTCACGTTGCCATTTCGCACAGTACCTGTCTTGTGTCAAAAGGTTGTCGCTTTCGAGCCTGCTCTGCTGCAGAGATGACGAACCGGTGAAGCGAAGCGAAAGGAGTGTCCGACAAAGGCGCGATCACTGCAGAGCAGGTAGGTGACAGAACGCTCCCCGGTTCCGTACTGTTCTAACAAAGCTGCATCCAGGGACGATCTCACGTCTCTACGTCGCGTCTCGACGTCGCGTCTCGAAATACTGGAGAGATGTCGCCTCTCCCGTTCTATTCGAGACCTTGGTCATCGAAGCAGAAGAAGATGCCATACAAGATCTCGACTCGAGGCCTTATGACTCTTTGAAAGAAACGAGGTTCGAGTGCCTCCATTTGGTCAGGCATTTCAAGATACATGCAGTCTTCCATCGCATTATCGAAGATCGTCGCCTCCACGGCGTTTATCCAGGAGGCGAATATGAGTGGGAAGAAACTGGTGTTGACGCGTTGAGAATCGAGATGTTGCCCTTACTAGCGCAGCTCAAACCTAGGGCTCTCCGTAGCTTTCGGTACGCTTCTCCTCGAGGACATTCAAGTTCTTGCTGACCACAAGTAGTTGGGATCTAGGGTGTTGTATGCCCAAAGAGATACTCGGTGTCGAGGGCCATCTACAACAAGAGCAGCCGGAGATCGATTCACTATCCCTCAATACAGGAGCTCCGACCGACAGAAACTGGTTGTTTCACGGTGGAGACTACACTATTCCACCACCAGCGCCTCGAAGCTTCTCCTGGACAGGTGCTAGACTGGCATCAGAGTTAGAGTCCTTGCGTGTCTTTCTTGCGGCAAACAGAAGTATCCTCGAAACGCTGGAATTGGACTTCATTGATCGGAATTCAGTGAACCCTGCCTGTCAAACACGGCTGGCGAGTGAAGACCCCCTGCACCTTTACTACACACGTCTTACCTCTTCCGCTGGATCCATCCATCAACTCCTTTCCCGCGCTTACCACTCTCTCACTCTCGGCCGTCTGTCTGCCGTTGAACCTTGATACGACCGTTTTGGCATTCGACTTCGGCCGACTACGCGCTTTGAAAATCCACAGGTGCAAAGACACACACCTTCTACTGCGAGCTATCGTCCATGCTGCCCAGTCCCTCAAGCTCGAATCTCTAGACCTTATGATGGAGGACTTCGCTACCAAACAGGATTGGGGAGGTTCAGGCTTGACAGCATTTCTACAGTCGTTCAACAGCCTCCAGCAACTGTACCTCTCGATTACGCCATCAGGGGAGATAACGACAGAACAATATTTCGAGTCGATACTATGCCATGCATCGACCATGAAGAGACTAGTGTACCACGAAATGACTCTCCATCAACCGGATTCTTTATACCCGAGTGAAGATAGAGATCTGACTCTCGCAACTCTAGATTTGGGCTACGGTTCGACAGGGGGCGATGCACCGTTTTATGCAACAGTCAGGTCTTGAGAGCTTGGGATGCTACGACTCGCTCTCTCAGCTACGACAAATACTGGAGTCTTGCACCTCTACGCAGAGCTTGAAACTTCTCCATATCAGACGTTCGAAGTATGGTTTTGAAACATTGCTCCGAGACAACATGATTCAATGGACCGTGAAGGGGGTTGTTGAGCCCGTGGGGCCGGAGAATCACTCGGCGCAAGCCATCGCAAATTTTGAGCTGTTCGACTTCGTCCGGTGGGCTTTCTGTTCCAGAGGTTTATCAAAGCTCCAGATCTTGGCGTTTGGAGACTTTTCCTATGATGGCCGCTTCGAGGACAAGCGCCTTTTGTTCTGCAGGCAGCGTATGGGTTCACCCCATGGATTTCGGCTGGCATCAAGGGAGAACGTGATCAGTCTGGGCGGCATCCCAAGTGCGCAACTAGGAGAGACGGTGCATAGCTATGACCAAATACAAAGAAGAGATTGCAGCGAATGAAGTGAAGACAAAAACTTATCAAGTACACATTCTTCCATAGATTGAAAATTTTCACATGAATCTCCCACTAAAGCTTCCTACTGAAATCTCTCATACAAATCTCATACATATCTCCTTCTTTTGGTCTGCAGTCCTGTGCAGCGGGCCATTGCTCCAGCCAACAACCCTCTTGCAATCCTTCCTAGGTATCGCTTTGGGATCATCAATTTATCCTTTGCTGTTCTTGGTAAGTCTCTGCTGAGTCCCAGCATTCTCTCTACCATGCGGCTTCATCTCCACGCTCGTTCTCTTAGAGGCCACATATTCGTCCCCTTCCACCTCCCACTTCTTAGTATCTTGGTAGCAAGGTACACACGCGTAAGAGCCTCTCAAGCATGTGCGTATCCTCGTCGCCTAGGTTTGATTCTTCTGTAGCAATCCCCCAGTAAGATTCGCCATCGTTTGCTGGTTCAGCTTGGTTTGCGGCATCCACTAGAGGCCTAGGACTCAAAGAAGTCATGTCGGGTTCTGTAACGTTGGTAGGAAATAGAGCTCCTCAGCTCTATTGACAAGTCCGCTCCTCGTGTTTGATTCGCTGTCGATCTTCAGGGGAAGAAGGGGGGTTTCTGTATCCCCTAGCAGGATGACTGGATTGTCCGCGTCTGTAGGACATGAAGCTATTGGGTTGAAAGACGTTGAGATTCAGATTTGCGGATAAGAGCATTGTACTATCGTGACTTGTACATCATTTGTTGACTTCATGGCCTATGTGACTGCACTGGCTGCTGATCACCGTGAGTGTGTAGATTTGGAGTTTGGGCTTCTGGGACTTGGGGAACGCGCGAGCATCTCCCTTTGCTGGTTCTAGCATCCATTTCCATTCCCATTTCCTCCGGGTCTCTGACTCTCGAGTTGGAGCATACATGGCTAGTATCCCATGGTGAAGGACTGAGAGAAGAAGTACGTGTGCTGAGGAGGAAGATGAATCGGACCTTGGCATACCCCACAGTCAGCAGATGGAATATCAGGACAGGACTAGCAAAAAAACAAGGCAAGCCTTTGGGGCTTTAGATAAAGCTTTATGGTGAGTCAGTCTCCAGCATGACTGACCCATGCAGGGGCTTGGAGAGAGGTACGGTACGGGGGGTTGGGAATTACTTTCAGGCAGTTCAATCCATCGTGTGGAGGAGATGATTTGCTTGACACATGTGTTCACTTCGCTTCATGATCAAATAATCTAGAAACGTAGCTAGGACCTTAGCAAGTAAAGCTGCTACTTGAAAAGCAAGTTCACTCTTCGCCGTCACGTGACCATCCACTAGCGCGCCGCTAATGCGAATGACCTTCGCACTCACTCACTTCTCTTCCTTCCTTCCTCAAGACACTGACCACGGCCAAAGCAGCCACACTGCTTTCAGCTTTGATTAAATCTTCTTCCTTGGCTCACCAGGGGAACTGCGGTCTACGAGGGGAAAAAGAGCCTCCGGGCTCTGGTGCGTCGGTGCGTCTCCACTGGGTGGTTTTGCCCCCAGCTGGTAAAAAAAAAAAAAAAAAAAAATCTTCCACATCTGTGGTAGTCGGACCTCTGGGTTTGGGTGTGTCTCCACTGGGCGGTTTTGCCCCCAGCTGGTAAAAAAAAAAAAAAAAAAAAATCTTCCACATCTGTGGTAGTCGGACCTCCGGGTTCGGGTGTGTCTCCACTGGGCGGATTGGCCCCCAGCTGGTAAAAAATTAAAAAAAAACAAATCTTCCACATCTGTGGTAGTCGGACCTCTGGGTTCGGGTGTGTCTCCACTGGGCGGTTTTGCCCCCAGCTGGTAAAAAAAAAAAAAAAAACAACAAATCTTCCACATCTGTGGTAGTCGGACCTCTGGGTTCGGGTGTGTGTCTCCACTGGGCGGTTTTGCCCCCAGCTGGTAAAAAATAAACAAATCTTCCACATCTGTGGTAGTCGGACCTCCGGGTTCGGGTGTGTATCCACTGGGCGGATTGACTCCCAGCTGGTAAAAATCAAACTTTCCTCTCTCGTGGTATCAGGGTCCTTTGGACTCGCTGGTTCACCGCTGCAGCTCACTTTGGCTCAGGCTGGTACCATTCCCTTGATATCTTCAATGACAGCACAATCTGTTGGTACGCTGGCTGAGGATTGCAGCAGTTCTCCAAAGGTCATGCCGAGCTCAAGACGCGCGCTCGAGAGCGAGATGAGGACAACCTAAAGCTCAAAGCGGAGAATGAAGCACTCGGACTCCATGAACAGGACTTGCAACTCGCGTTGCAAGAAAAGGTCAATGAGCTACGCAAAGCCTGCGAAATGATCGATCACAGTGGGCAAAGCTTCCAGAAAGTGAAGAATATTCTGAAGAAGCGAGTGGAAGCTGACAAAGAGTTTCAGGAAGCGATTGAGCGACTCGAGCTTGGAGAACGTGGTCCTACGCAATATACCGGGGATTTGTCGGATCAGATTCAATCCGATTCCCTTCGCCAGGCCGAGCCTGCACCAATCGCGCCGTCCCCGCACCAATCGCGCCGTCCCCGCGAACAGAAGTTGTCGCCCAGGTCCAAGCAAAGATCCAGACATTAGAAGGAAGAATCAGAGACCAGGACGCACAAATCACAGCCGCGGTGAATAGGGACTGGACAGCTGTGCAGCCGCACCTGGATAAAGTTCTAAGGGAGACCAATGTTGTTCTGGTCCAGCAGCGAGACGTGCTTATGAAGGATCTGGACCAAGCCCATAGAAAGAACGATGATCTACAAAAGCTGACACAGGGTCTCATGGAAAAGCAAGAAGACTCAGAGTCATCTAATGTTGCAAAACTGGAAAAGGAGCAGCAAGAGCTTGTTCAGCTCCGAGTGAGGGTGTCGGCATTGGGAAAAGCAGCCGAGCAGGCTGATATCCAGAGGAAGCGACTCGAACACGTCCGAAGGGCGGAGAACCGGGGAAGGGAATTAAAGTTCGAGCCTGGAAACGACAAGCTCCGAGCCAAGGCTAAAGCTCTCGAGCTTACATGTAACGACATGAAACCTAAGATCGCGAAGCTACAAGCGGTAGTACAGAGAGCTCGACGGACACGCGAGGCTTTTGTGCACCGCTGGGACGAGATCAAGCGTCTCACCTACTCTACCCACAAGGAGCAGCAGCTACTTGCAGCATTAGCAGAAATCGTGAACGAGGAACTTTTGGAGTGAAAATGGAGATGCGAGTGCTCAGCTGAACAAAACCCAAGGGTTCAAAGATAGTTCGACTACGCTGTCTGGGCCAAGTCTTCCATTTCGGTCTCATCCTTTACATGCTAATGGCTGGCGTCTTTGTAGTCCCACCTTCGCTGTCTACTTCTGCGACCTCGAGAAACAAAAACAAGGTCTTCTACATGCCTCCACTGAACGGCTTGTAGAAGACCTTGTTGACCACTACTAGAGCAACTCCCAAGCTAACTTTCGTTAGTAAGCTCAACTCAGTACTCGTCTCCATTCTCAGCAAGAAATGCCACACAACTATCCCACCGTGATCACTGAGATCATTTTCTCCTGCCACCGTGTCCTCTTGCCACACCAACCTATCGGTTTGCGAGAACAATATGGCTAGTCTGGGCCGACTTTCAGAAGAGGTATCTGACTATTTGGCCGATCAGATAATCTCGGCCAAGACGAAGAATCTGAAGAGCACCATGTGCGCGGAGTTCTCGAACATACTTCACCTACGTTCGAAGACTATGAATGCTGCGAATTTTAAAAGCCTGACAAATGTGACGCGGGAGACTCTGCTACGGTTTCTTGACTGGATCGCGCTTATCATCATCCTCAAGACGCCAATCATCGATACATTACCTATCGGATGCTAGGAGACCCTAAAGTTCCGCCACACATCTGTCAAGTGCTTGACACAGATCGAAGGCCTCGAGGTATCGTCATCAAACTCATATGACGAGAAGCGGAAGAAGGCCAGGGTCGAACTGGATCAGTTCCGTCGGGAGAAAACCGCTTCGGAAAAGTTCGTTGGAGCCCAACTACCCCTATTCTAAGGCAACCTCAACAGGTCACCGGAGTGAGTCAGGTACTCATCAAGAGGACTTGGTACGTGATACAAGGTTCAGACAACGAGGCCCTGAATCTTGTACTGGAAGTAAAATTCTCGGACGAGAATGCGAAACCGATTGTGGGCTTGCCAATCGTCAAGATTGATAAGACGAAGATGAAGACTGTGCAGTTGCAAGCGAAGATGTTGGCCTTGGAAGAAGACGCAGCGCTGGAAGCATTGCGTTCTCGACAAGTTGACCGACATCCAAACAAAGGGTACGTTTCCCGAGATATGAGGAAGCATTGACTCACGCTTATAGGCCCGCTGATAGCAAAGAGTCCATTCGCAGCGCGCTAGTCGAGGTTCTGGACAGCCTCATGGAAATGACTCACTACAACCTAAAAAAGCGCTACATGGACGATTCCGCCGCATTTTTGCGACATTTGCTCTTCGAGCGTAGAACACTGAGATCCAACAACGTTTTGAAGATCCGGAAAATCATATCACGGCTCCCAAAAGCAAGCCACCAGCACAAAGCAAAGAAATCGGCTAAGAACGCATCGGCATGTGACAACTTGCACAAACTGTATGTTGAAGATTCGAGCAGTGAGTTTCGCAAGAAATTCGAAGAACAAGACCGCATCGCGAACTTGCGGGTTGCCGAATCGCAGCAAACTGTGAACAAGCTCAGGCAAAAGTTCGTCGACCTTGAGCGGTCTCGTTCGGCCATTAAAGCAGGGTACTCTATTCACAAGCCAAAAAGCCAAGCCGAGGACCAAGCACAGGAGCTTGAGAATGCTCTTACCGAAGTAGCTCGACTACATCAAGCTGTTGAAGAGCAATTTCAGACTATTGAAGAGCTGGAGCAGCTGCTGATGAGTACCGTAAGTTCCAATAAGAAGATTGTTTCTGGGGAGGTTCAGAGTCACCGTTGCATGAGACTCAGATGGCGCTTGCAAACGAGCACGTGGGAGATCCTGCAGCACAGCCTTCTTTAGTAGATGGCCCTATTCAAGAGGATTGGACATCTTCAACATTCGGGGATCAGCTGGAAGTACCAGGAGAGGACATCGACGAGCTCGAAGCGCAATACTCGGCTAAGGACCAGATGCGTGGAAAAGAAGCCACGTCGGAAAGCCAGCTCGGCGATCTCAGAACAGAGAACGCTGAGCAAAGAAGAAACGAAGGGTCTTCGGCACCAGAAGCAGGATCTCCACGAGAAGAACCTTCTAGTCTAAGAACAAGACAAGAAATGGTGCAAACTTTTCGAGGAATTCATGCAGCGGGCAGCAGATGTGCAACGCAAGGATGCCTCCAAAAATCAGAGCAAGAAAGGATTCAATGATCTGCATTAGATCGTCAAAGTGGGGGAACTGCTGGACGTCTGAGTTGGCTTGAAGAGAGTTTTTGGTGATGCATTTTCGAGTTCAGGCTGTCGGAATCGCAATAGCACCTGTCAGGACAAGAGGAAGAAAAAAGAGAAGCTCTACCAGGGCGAATAAAAAAGCCCGAAGATGATCTCAAGCATACAGAAGAGAAGTTCCTGTCTATTCCCGGAATATTTGACGAAGAAGTCTCCCAAATATAACTAACGGACAACAGATCTGGGTTCTCGAAGAGGACATTGACGTGGCTCGACAAGTCTTTCCTTGCTCCGCAGCTCGAAGCTTAATCACCCACTCACAAGCAAACTCCAACATTGTGCAGAACCAAAATGAGGAGCAGCATCACACGGACTTGGAAACCTCAGCTTGGGAACACGACTCTGAGACAGTAGAGCAACACTCCTCGGTAGCAGAACCCGGATCTCATGGCAATGAATCGCCGCACTGAAGAACGCGAGCGAAAGTAGCACAAGCTCCTTGAAACATTCTTGCAAAGAGCGCCAGAAGTCCTACGTAATGGCACGGCTCTACACAAGATCAGGAAAGCTTTCTCCGATTTGGAGAAGAACGCGAACGAGGGATCGTAAGGCATTTGAATCAGTGTAGCCGTCGTTAACATGATAGCGCCAAACAAATACGGTCGCGACACATCCAAACAAGCCCCTTCTGTTGGCCAAGCGGAGTGAAAGCAATGGGCAGCAAGGTAATTATGCTACGTCACGAGATTCGATCGTTTCACATACGCTTACCACTTGCAGGCTGGTTCGAAAGCTCTACTCCTCTCTCTGGTTCTGAGTCAATCACATCATTTCTCTAATTACGTCGGTCCCCAACGTCGTCGAGTGCCAACGAAAAGAGGATGAAGTTACAAGAGGACCAAGTGAGCCAAAATGGGGAATGGGCGCTAAAGATGGCTGAAATACGTGGACAGACGACTTGTGTCTAACGTTGCGGTACTGATCGGGTATCACAATCCATACTACCTGAAACCTTTTTCGCAAACAGCGGAGTGCAATATTTGCATGGCCCTCTCCTACCTCGTACAGCGGGTTTCCGGAGCTGACGGACCTCCTCAATTACAAGTGCTCGGTTCGGCAGATTTTTCCATGATGGCCGCTTCCCAAACCAGATCGTCTTGTTCTGTAGACAGCTTTTGCAACCTTACAAGACCCTCTGGCGACTGGCAAAAAGGGATGAGTCTAATATATCCGATGGCATAGACCGTCCGATGGACTTTCTGGGGGCTTGTCCGAAAGACGTTACCACGCTGAACAGAGATGTCTTGAGGAATGAAATCGAGCGGTGCCCAGGATGGTCAGTGTAGGAACCTTATTCGCAATGATTACGCAGTAGCAAAGTCGAATCCACCGTCATTGCAACTCGGAAAGCCATTGGTGGAGTTGGAACAAAGATGAACAGTGCCAGCGTGAGTGTCAACTCTTCTGCCGGGTGCACACGCTCTGCGAACGCCTGCTATTCGATCGCAATTCCTGCCACAAGAAGTCCAACGGAAGTTAGACACACGATTCGTGCAAGCTGAGGGTTCTCTATTCATGGTCGAAATCATTGAGGAGATCCTTTCCGACTCGGCCCCAGTCTATTATCAGGATCTGATGCACCATCCAGACCTCTCTTCAAGACTAGTCGTACTCAGACACTGGTTCGCTCTCTGTACCGCAACCAGTTACCATGGGTACATTCAGAATTTCGAGCAGGACGGAGCATTCGCCGCTGAGATATTTGGCAAGGGAACCCAAATAGGCATTTGAGCGGTGGGCACAAGAGATCGAATCGATGGTGGATACCACTGAAGATAAGAAGCAACTGGTCGAAACATATGGCCTTTTTCGATGCATGCTGAAAAGGTATATAAAAACATCATGGTGTTTGGCTGGCTAATCTGAAGACATTTGTGTACCTTCATAGGCTGTACGACGATAGATCTGTATACCTAGAGTCAACGATTCGACTCCGATGGCGCATTACAATGGAGATCATGATGTACGTGGCGGAGGAGCTGTTGTGGGGCGTGGAGCGTTGGGAAACTTAGCGAGGACTGAGATTGGACGGACCCATGGAGGTAAAAGAAGAACGCAAAACCATTCTTAAACATTTAGAGAATAAGACCGTGCAACGCGGAGGATGGAGTAACCATGGCTAAAGGGGTGGTTGTATGGAAAAGACAAGGTCGTCTGATTGAGCGGTGGTTCCATGGCAATCGTCTCTTCATCTGGAATTGTTTGCATATGGGACTACTCGAGTGCTGTCGAAAGGAGGTCATCAGGGTTACTGGGGCTGGAGGAACGCATTGTTCAAGAAAGCAAGGCGGATAAGAGAAGCAAGTTGTGGGAGACGGAAAACGTGTGGCATTGCGAGCTCGGTGACGTATCACAGAAAGTACATTCGGTTCCGGATGCTTGTCTTCTATCTCCTGCCTCATGATGCCGGGGGCAAAGGTTCAACGGATATCTGTCCTTAATCCGTAACCCTTGTTTTTGAATCAGTGACTGCTCTTCCCCCACTGTTAGTAGCGACCTCCCTGATCGATTCATGGGATCACTGACTCAGACGCCAGGTTCTCGGCAGTAGCATGCTCCTCGCTCTGTGTTTTGCCGCAATGAACTAGGAAGCTCCGCCACATCATGTTCCATCATATGATGAAGATGAATTCCCGGCCTTCCAGAGCCCTGATCCAAGCACAAGATCCATTCCCAACTCTTGATGGTTACAACACATTTTTCTAGCTTTTCATGCCACACGAGCTTGCGACGGTTCGCGTGGTGGATAGTCACGACAGCTTCCTGGGATTTGGTGATTGTTGTGAAGCTGACCGTTACTTCATCTTCGCCGAGGATTGCGCGAAAGAACACAACACCACCAACATCATGAAGAAGGTTCTCCAATTCTGTCGCGTGCGCCTCTTCCATAGCCTCGGTGTTCGACAGTTGAGCGCGGAGACTCTTCTCCCTCTACGATTGTCGTCAGCAATCCAACAAGATTCTAGCAAGTGCCGCAGGAAGGAACACACATCGGCCCGCACCTTTTCCTGCTCAGCAACTTCCTCTGCCATCTTTCTTCTCTTCTCCATAATAATTCTGAGCTCGTCTTTTCGTAGGTCGACCAGCGTGCGAAGGCTTCTCAGTATATACCAGGTCCCTGCTTCGCCAGCTCTTCCACGTCCGGAAAGTTGCCTCGGCCCAGGAGTAGCTTCATCGTACTAAGACGCTCAGCAACGCCGCTGATAACGGTATCTAGGTCATCAGTCACGGTTGCTGAAGCAGAAGAATCGTTTGCTGGCTCCTCGGTGGCTGACTCGTCGGTTTTCGGCCTCTTCGCGATTGTGTTGACACCGGCGGACTCTGTTTTGATCTTTCGTTTCGAAGATCTGCTCTCAGCTGACGAACCCACCTGCTTGATGGAAAGTCCAGGTAGAGAGTTGGGAGTCATCTTGGTAGTAAATGAGGTGGTCAGGGTCGAAGTAAATCTCTCGACGGAGAGCGGTCGCGTTGAACGCAAGGCTGTTGGTGTGGCTTCCCAGGTTTGGTTTTCTCTGAAAGCGCTAGAAAGTTTTGGGAAGGCTTGGAAAGATGCTGGTGATGTAGTGTAAGATCTTTGAGAGCTGATGTCGGTAAATCAGGTGGGAAATTTTGTGTTGATTAGAGAATTTTCTCGAGTCTTCACACAGGATCTCCGACTTTCTAGATGGTTCTAATGTTTGTAGCTTCACTTAGACATCGCAACAAAGCTTTTCTCGGTAAATCCATTTTACGGCTGCTAATGCCGCCTTACAATACAGTGGTAGCTACCGAATAGAAAGGGCCATATGTACGCCGCACTCATTTCCCTCTCCATGATTCAGAAGGTAGGACATCTTCACGGATAAGACTCATTGCATCCCCTTGAGTGCAGTGGACCGCGGGCAAGCGTCTCGAGGAGGATTCAACGGCACTCTCGCAATGTCGTTACTTTCGGGGCGTGTCGACGCCTTGCTTTCAATATGGCTAAGGCTGTGGAGGATGATGCCCCTCTACTGGCAACGTCGACGCCATTACCACAGATTGGCGAGGCGACTTTCGACCACTTGGCTCTGCTACGTCACACACCTCCAACGGCATTGAACCGTTTGGAGCCAGCGTCGCAGCCTCAGTACATAAACCAGACATTGCCTATGATAGCAGAAGGCCAGAGCAGAACAGAACACAAAGACAACTAGAAAGCTTACAGTCGAAAGCAGCCACACTGCCACAGCTCTGACCACAATTCTGTCCTTGGGCCCACCAAGAGAAAGTATCAAAGGATATCCGTGGTGGACCCTGCGCAGAATCTCATTGCGCTTCGGTGGTACGGAAAGGATGCAGAGGCCGTTGCAAAAGCAAAGAGTGCTTTCGAGAACATGCTGGCTGGTGATGTGTCAATGAACGGAGATTTTGGAAAGGGAGAAGAGGAAGAAAGTCCTGGTAGGCACGGAAGTGAGAAAGATGGAAAGTCGCCGTGTTATATACTCCAGAAGAACAGCGCTTCGATGCAGGAACCAAGTTCGATTCCCCAAATACAATACTGCATACAAAAGTGTCTACTCGAAAACCAGTTTATTTCGGTGCGGTACAGCGTCGTAGAGATTAGTTCCCTGATTTTGCCAAACATCAACACGTGACGACACCCACTAGCGCGCCTTAGATGGTCAATAATTTTTCGGCCCTCACCTTCCTTCTTCAAGACACTGATCATTGCCAAAGTAGATCTCACTGGTCACAGTCTCTGATCATAATCTTCTCCTCTGGCCTCGGCAACCAGAGGAACAGCGGACTTCTGAGGGAAAAGGGGCCTCCGGGCTCTGGTGCTTCTGAGTCTCCACTGGGCGGATTTACCCCCAGCTGCTAAAAAAAAAAAAAAAAATGTCGTCTATCGGTTACCAAACAGCGCCCAGCAACTCTGCGCAACATAGAGACAAGTCGCGCGTCGAGGTTCTCGAGCACCTTCTCGAAAAATTGGAAACGGGAGAGCTTAGCTCTTGTCCGGCAGTCAGAAGCTGCGTGCGAGCTCCTTGGAGCACGCGTTGAAGAATTAGACGAGCAGGTTCAAGAACAAAGTCGACAGGAAGACTTCCTCCTGGAGCGTTTGTACTACTGGCGCCAGAGATTTAGTGACCTGGAGAAGTCGAAGCAGTACGAGGAGCGGCGACTTCAGAATCTTATCAATGATCTCAAGGACAAATACATGGGGGAACAGATGTACCGATTGATAAATGAGAACGAGATCTTTCAGAATACTATCAGGAACAAAACCCGAGAGATCAACGGGATGAGGTGGGTTCGCGGCTTTGCAGAAGATGATGGCCCGCAGTCAGCAGCAACCAAGGAGACCAAAGAGCCAAAATCGAACGACGACCCGACCCCATACTGGCTTACTCACAATCATCCACAGGACTGGTATGGCATCGCGTTAGAGGCATCACGTCCATCAGAAGATTTGAGCTCACGCTCGCGGTCTTGGTATAGTATGCCTCATGAAGAAGCTTCCAAGCAACCATCGCCAGAGCCACAGTCTCCCGAGTCTCTTCAATTCGGTCCCTGCCCACCCGACCACCATGGTCCGGAACTCCACCACATTCCAAGTGAGGGGCTGGTTGTTTGACGAAGAGCTTGAGAGCGCTCACGTCGATAGTGACTTGAGTCAGGGTCGAAATGGAGAGGAGGGAAATCTCGACGATGTCGAGAAGCTCAAAGCAGAAAACGAGATGCTTCGGCTCCAAGTACGAGTCCTTGAAGACAAGAACATGGCCAACGCCGAGCAGGAGCAAAAACGGGGCAAGTTGTATGCTGAGTTCCTACGATGGGCGCCGAAGGTTCAGCAGGAAGGTTGGCTCACGAACAAGGTTCGGAAGGCGTATGCAGCCTGTCAAAAGATCGTTGAGGCGCTGGAACCAGGAGACTGAAGCGTATTAGGGTCACTCTTGGGTGAACTCTGTGAGTCTAGAGGTCGAACAGATGGAGGAGATTCGTGTGCTGCATCAATTGATGTTGCGAACTTTACGCTAAGTATTCTCAATCCCCTAATTTATATTTGCTGACTGACGTGTTGCAAGAGTACCAGAGCATCAACATCATCCTGATATCCTCCCGTCTCGAACTTGACCTGTCGTAACATTGTTCACACCCTCCTAGTAGCCACGTTTTGGAACACCACCTGATCTGTACTGGACATGAAATGTGGCCCATGGGATTCCTGAGATAGGACAATTTATGCAACCTGCGCATCACACCTACCACCGTTTTCACCACCTGATTGTACTGACATGAAATTGGCCCTGGATCCTGAGATAGGACAATTTATGCAACCTGCGCATCACAAAAGCTGCATCTTGACACGACCACCCCTCGACAAACGTCTTGTCCAAACTCGAGTCGGGGAAGGAAAGGCATACCAGTGAACAGATGAAAAAGGGGGTGAAGAACTTGGAAAGGCTCATGGGTCGTAATAGGGTATGTATAAACTGGCGCTCGTAGGATCTCAAAATAACCTGTTGGATAATGGGCGGTTCTGCTCCAGTGTTCGAATCAAGACATCATAGTAGCAGCAGAGTTGGCTTGCTGATAACAAATCCCTTCATCAACTCATTATCTCACTTTACAACTTAATAATCAACAAAGAACGTGGACACATCCCTCCTTGCTCACATTCCTTTTTGGCCCACCTGAGACTTCTGCCATCGAAAAATCCAGAACAGAATTCGAATCTACCAAAGACGTGGGTCTGGTGCGATCTGGGGAGGTATGATTGCGTATTAGGCATAGGTGGAGGAAGCAGAGAGCTTGAAAACTATTGTAGAGAGTACAGCTGCGATTTGAATGAGGTACTGGGAGGCAAAGTTATACTTGCTGGGCTTGCGGTTTCATGCTGTTAAACGTATGCTGGTATTCCTAAAACTGCAATGTTTGCGTCTGAGCAACTAAGTTCGGTCTTCTTAGCAGTAGGAACATACCACGACTTTCCTATATATCTCCTCACCACTTAGCAATGGCACTGCACGCGTAGTATTGTAGGAAAGTTTTAGGACACTTTAGTACCTGGCGGAAGAAGTATGGAGTCCCGATCATCACCGCGCTTCCCGTTTTCGTGCTAGCGTGGAATTAAGCGAGGAACCAGAACAAAGTTGCTTGCTGCTTCTTCTTTTCCCTTTTCTTCTTCAAGTGACCGATTACTGCTAGAGCTTATGCTTGCCGTTTTAATCACGATCTCCCCTCTGCAAAGCAGAGGACAGCGGTACTGTGGGAAAGGGGCTCCGGCTCCTACGGAACTCGTGTCCCAACACACCTCCGGGTGTGAGTGCGTCTCCACTGGGGAATTGAACCCCCAGTTGCTATAATTTAGAATGTCTTCATCAGGGACATCTCAACCTTCTATCGATTATGACGAGGATATTGCCCCTGCCCTCCCCGCATCGGCCGAGCCCAACCAACCACTGTCTGCATCATCAGCGATGGACGCAGCTCTTATTGAAATCTCGAGTGGCGCTCCTACGTCAAGGACGATAAGAAACGAAAGGCGAGCCGGTGGTTTCGACCCGGTTGCATTGCTCAGAGAGAAGGTTAAAGCTCACCAACAAGTCGAAGCTGACGCAAAGGCCGAAGCAAACAAGGCAGCTGCGTTCGGTCAGACTCAGGGACCTCGACCAGAAAAGCGAAACCGACCTCTTTCCGGCATTTCACCAACCGCTTCAGGCAAGAAGGCCAAGAGCGACCATCCAACGGCAGATCAGAACGCCATGGATATCACAGGAGACGTGCCTGCCAATCGACGACCAACCAGCTTTGAGCACCTCTTCCGAGCCGGGCCGATGCCGTGTGCAGTCATGATCGATGCAAATGTGGTCATGGGCAACCCATTCCCAAAATCATCAATGCCAGGCTGGGATTTAAAGGTCAAACTCGATCCAGGTGTTTTGGCACAACCCTCCGTCGGACTCAATTTCAAATTCGGTAAGGACGGCAGCGACTCCAAACGGGCAGATCACTACAACACCTTCGCCGTAGGCTGGGAGCCAGGAGTCAAGATCGGAGGCAAGTGGATGATGGAAGAATTTGGTGTTGAGGCAGCTACGAAGCCATCAGTTCCCCAACTGCTAAAGTTCACCTACCCGCCCGCCATTCAAGCGCTCTGCAAGAAGCCAGAAGATGCCGACAAGCTGTTCTGCATGACTTTCAAGAGCAACGTCCACAAGTCATCGCCAATGAAGGAGGAGTGGGCCCAGGCTTTGAAGGGTGATGACTGGGTCGCACCTTCCGATAATCTGCACCGCATGTATAGCGGAGGAGAGCCAAGCTATCAGGTCACCGTGTGGTTTATGAACCCCTACGCCACATCTGAACGACTCATGGACGGCTGCATCTTACCACTTACCCATGCAGTGGAGGACCACACACCGCCATTCCATCAATACCTGGATGAGAATGACGAGCCCATGATAGACTGGGGCCTAAAAACCATCGGCATAATCGGCAACGGTATGTATAGGCGGTATCCCAAAGTGACGGACCCGGCCGGCAAAAAAGTCGAGGATAGGTCGCGCAATCCTACATACTACAACTTGCCGAAGACGGTAACCTGGGATTCGATCAAGACATTCCACGTCACCTACGGTGTTCCTCTGGTCCGCGAGTTGCAATACAACGAAGGTGTGCACTCCAAACTCGCGCTGGATTACCATAGGGTTTTCCTTCAGAGAATGCCAGAGTTCACCGTTGAGGGCAAGAACCTAGTGCCCGCCCCGAAGATGTTGGATACCTACTGGGCTGGGGTTCGTATGACCCGTGATCAGGAGACCGGAACGAAGGCCGCTGTTCCTCCAGTAGGCACGACCGTCACCATCGAAATCGGGGACTCCGGGCCGGCAAAGAAAGGGCGCGAGATGTTCGGCGAGCACCGCTGCTATGGCAAAGTTGACAGCTATGGAGGAAGAGCCTGGCTCGAGACGACTGGGACAGACTTCGTTTGTCTGATGACCATGCCGAGGCGCTTCAATAAAGACGTGAAGAGCTGGCCTACTAAGAGGTACTTGGTGGATGAGAAGCTACCCCTTGCCATGGTCACTGTCAAGGTCGATCGTACCACAGCAAATCGGGACAAACGAGCGTTCGCCAAGCTCTGTAGCGAGGACTATGCGCCAGGGCTCCTTGACCCGATCCGTCTGGCCTTTTGGTCAGATCCCAGCAAAACAGGTACGGTCACTGACCTCACAGCAGGGCCCGCGCACCGTCGGTCAGACGCGAACAAGGATAAGTACAAGCAGATCCTTCAAGACTTGAAACAAACCCGCAGGAGCAACCAAAGCCAGGACAAAGTACTCATGGCAGCCTCTTCCATGCGAAGTAATATCGCAGTGGTACAGGGCCCACCAGGTGCAGGCAAGACGAGGACTCTTCGTGACAAGGTCATTGCTCTGACCAAAGTTGGACACAAGGTCGTTTGTGTCGCTTCTTCCAACGTTGCCGTGGATACAGATGCCAATGCTGTCTGGAGTGGCCTTAGCCCAGAGGATAGGAAGGACATCAAATGTCTTCGTCTTGAGACCGATGGCGCAGAGAAAGCGCAGCGGCTTGCAAAGATCGGCTACGCTGCGTACACTGGCGCGGATGGTGAGGCAGACAAGATGCCTGAGTACCTTGGGCCAGAAGAGGCTCAGGATAACCCAGCCATCCGGAACGCCCTCGACAAGATCTGCATGGAGTTCGCCACACGGCAGGAATACGCTACTGAGATGTTCGAGAAGTACGAGAACCTCAATGAGGCGTACCAGGCTATCCAGGAATACGACCCAATAAAGCGGTCCAACGTTGCCGCCGGTATGACACTCGACTACCGCATCTGGGAGATCACCGAAAGAGATAGGCGGATGGCCGAAGCGGACTACAGAGACGCTCGAGAACGCTTGTCACCGGATGAGTTCCACAGGCAACTTGCCACCGGTGCAATCTCCATCGCCAGTTTCGACAACTCCAAAAAATACAGGGAGTGCATGGCAAAATACCAAGCCAAGCGCGGAAGGATCACTAGGGTAGAGAGGACGGCATTCGAGGACGAGAGCGACTCTATGGTCGAGCGAGTGCTGGCAGAGACTCATATCTTGTTCAGCATCGCAAGTAATTGCGGAGGGTCTCTGCTCGAAGGCTCCCGCTCCTTTGTGCCGACGGCCATCTTCTGCGATGAGACTGGCCACATATCCATTCCCAGTCTCTGCGTGCCACTCACGACGTTCGAGAAGTGGGAGGGTCTCTTCTTGTTCGGCGACATCCAACAGCTTGAGCCCACGGCGCTGTCTGGGCAGTCCAATGAATTCTTCGCGAATGCCAAAGTGTCACCACTGGCTTTACTTGCCATGAAGGGATTCAACAGCTTGGTTCTGGACACGCAGTATCGTATGTGTCCAGCATGCTCAGCGTTTCCGCGGTGGCAGTTCTACGACAATGCAGGTCTGCACGACTCCGATGAGGTCAAGGAGGACAACGATGTACGGAAAGCCATACGCAAAATGACCCGAGCTGCCAATGTCGGAGGAGACAATGGCCAAGGGTCAGAGTACGTCGTTACCAACGTGGCAAATGGTTGTTCGCGGGTCGAGCTCAACGGGACGTCCCTCGTCAATTACGCCAATGCCGACTCTATCCTCAGATTGGTGGACCGCTTCCTCACAGAAGGAACCATCAAGGCTCGGATGATCAAGATCCTTAGCTACTACCAAGGACAGCGTCGCCTTCTCAGAAAAAAGATTAGCGACATGCGGTGGCCTAAGGCGATCAAGGACGCCATCGAGATCTCCACCGTCGATGCCTTCCAGGGTAAGCAGTCTCGCGTTATCATCGTCGACATCGTCGCTGCGAAGGACAAGCTCAAGGCTTCGATGGCAAGATACGGGAATCCGCTCGAGGATGAAGACGACAATGGGGGCGAGGGCTACATCCAACCGGGGATCGCCACTCGCCACGTGAGGAGTCCCAACCGTCTCAACGTCGCCCTCACTCGCGGTAGGGATGCTACCTTCGTCTTCTGCCAAGCGGCACTGCTTGTGTCGAACACCAAAACGAACCGCGGTAAGCAATACAATGCTATTGCCAACATGATAGGCGACGCCAAAGAGCGCGACTGCATGATGACCGATTGGATAGAAGACTCGCATCCCGAGAGCATCGAGGACCGTGCCAAAATGGGCGAGGAAAAGCTCCTGGTTGAGCGAGAGACCCAGAGACTGAAGGATTACGATTCCCTAGCCGCTGGCAGGGTCAATTGGAAGGATATGAAGAACCTGCCGGCCAGACCCAAGGCTGGTCCGTTGCCAAAGTACCGCACCCGCGGAGGACACACCACGCGGCCTATCGGTAATCCCGAGCTCACGGCAATTGCTGACGCTCACGATGCGGAGCAAGCGCAAATCGACCTCGCGAAGGAAGCCTCCGAGGTCACTGCAGAGGCCCATGCGGCGGAGCAACGGTCTCTGGAGCTAACGATGAAGGAATCCCTGAGCTCGTCGGATTTCCCTCCCCTCCCTACCGCCAAGGCCGTGGACACCTCCGAGCAGCCCTCCGCAATGGAAATTTCGAACCAACCTACCGCAGCGGACGCGGAGGCCGACGACGACCAGAATCATGAGTCGTGGATGGTATTCAGGCGGAGAGGATAAGGAGGACAAGGATACCCGGGATGCTGGGGCTGGGGAGGAGGAGGAGATGGTGGATATAGGCCAGGAAGATGAGCAGTTTGCTTGAGATCTTGTGGGCGTGGGAGTGGGGGGAGGGGGAAGGGGGAAAGGAGAAGGGGTAATTTAGACCTGATGTTGCTTTGTTGCATCGTGAAACACAAGTCGTCATATTCGGGGATTACTATACACTTCTCTAATATCCATGCCTACGTATGCTAGAAAGCAAAGAGTTATATGCTCGTATTCGCCAATGGAAGTCGCTATTGGAAAGAGATAATCCCTACAGACTTACCTGAATGATGCGAAACGTCGGCAACTGTTTCGCAATGACTTCTCAGGGTTATGCGACTTGCGAACGGGTATTCTTGTTTTCCGCCCAAGCAAGACATGTTATAGCCGATACGGCCTGACCTGCAGTCGAGGCTTCCTCCCCTCCAGAGTCCACTTGGTCGTAGAGACGTTTGTGGGAGGCGGAGCAGTGGCAGGACTGGAGCTGTGCTGTCAGGCGTTTGAGCTCGGCTTCGGTAACGTTCTAGTTCACAACCAAGTCAGCCTTCTCTCCGTTCAGACCATCCAATTCAGCGATCAACCGGTTTTTCTCCGCGAAAAGCTTGTTACACTCTTCATTGAGGTCATCCCGCTCCCGCTCAATGGAGTCGCAACTTCCGTGAAGCTCCTCAAATGATCTGGTCCTTGCTGGCCATTGCGGTGGTATGAATACCGAGGTCCTGCTGCATCTGGGATTTCAGGTTGCTGAGGTCCTGCTGGACTTCATCGCGATGCTCTCGAAGCTCCTTGATCTGAGAGAAGCTCAAATCCTGGAGGCGTTTAGCCGCATCGAAGTTGATCTTGCAAGGTCTTAACTCGTCATTCTGTATCTGGAGATCCAGTACTTGCTGCCGAAGTTGCTCGATGTCGGAATGCTCCGATCTGCAATTGCGGGCGGCTGCTTGCAGCTCGTCGTTGGTTTTCAGGAGTAGACAATTGTCGTTCCAGGCCGTGTTCAGCGACTGAGTTGTAGTCTCGGCCTCCGTCAGTTTCGTTTTCGTCAATTCCGCTTCACTGGTGGCCCGAGTGGCAACAGCTTGTAATGAGGTCTTCTCCTGATCGAGTTGGCGTAGCTGAGTAATCTGCCCTCGAACTTTGTCCTCAAGACTCAGTACCTTCGAATTGAGGTCGTTGATCTCTTGTGTCAGGTTTTTCCGGGATGCGGTCAGCTTCTTGATTGTTGCCTCCTTTTCCGGAAGGATGTTAACGCAAAGATTCTGCATGCCGACCTCCAATCCTTCACTTGCCCTGGACAGTCTCTTGCTCTTCTCAGTGGCTTCGTTGGCTTTGGCCACGGCGCTTGCAACCTGGTGGTCTTTGTAAGCTTTCCATTTATCGAGCTTACCCTGCTGCTCCCCCACCGTCTTCCGATCCCGTGCTAGTCTCCTTTCTTTAGCTTTGTTGCTGGCTACCTCTTGATCCAACTGTGCATTTGCTTTGGACAGAGCCAGGGTCTGAGACTCTTGGTATTGCTCTTTCGCTTCTAGATCTCTCCTCAAGTTGTCGAGGTGATTTTTCTCCCCTGTGAGGTCGGAGAGGGCTCGTACCGCGGCGGCCGTACTGGCTTGTGTGTTAGCAAACGTCCGGTCGGCCTCAGCTTGACGCTGCTCGAAAGTAGTCTCGCTCTGGCTCATGCGTTGCATCTGCCCATCTAGCTTGGACTGCTGCTGTCTGATTTTGTTATCTGCTCCTCGAACCCTTTTGTCGAGGTCTCCAAGTTCGCCTGTTCGATCGGATAACGCCGTCTGCCACTGGTCGTGGCATCGACGAATGTCGTCCAGCCTCTCTTTCTGAAGGCTTTCCAAGTCCCGAATCTCGCTCAGTATGACTGGAAGCTGATCTGCAAGCTCTTCATAGGCTGGGCGCCCTCTAGGCGGGACATTCCTCATCACTGACGTTGCATTAGAGGCTAGAATCTCGTGAAGATCATCGACATTCTTCCTCCAATCAGCATTCTCAGCAGGAGCATTGGGATTCTCGCTGGTATGCATTGGGAATGTGGACATATGGGTTAATTTTTGTCAGCTGGGGGTCAATCCGCCCAGTGGAGACACACCCACACCCGGAGGTGTGACGAATTCTGGGAATCCGATTTACAAGGGAAAACCTCCCCCGTCACACAAGTTACAAAACTTAAGTGTGCCTTGCTGGAGAAGCCAGACTTGTCACCATCAGTTTATCAGATTTGTACAACGGTCGACTGTTGTGATGGATTTGGAGAAGGAAGGTTTCGGAGAAGGAGGATTTTACATGAGAAGCCGGTAATTTTCGGTCCAGCTAGTGTTACAAGCCTTGCATTTATGCGTTAGAAAACCCCCCCCAGATTCTACCTAAAAGCCACTCAAAAAATGGCCTTTGGTCCATCGTAATCTGGTGACTCAGGATGGCCACTCCCTCTTCGTTCACTCGTAATCTACCGAGCAAGCAATCCGGGCATGATCATTTACAAAAAATTGGAAGAGATGCAAAGTAGATACAGAAGACATGAGAGTCAAGCGTGTTTTTCTACATGTAGAAGTTGAGATATGGTGGTAGGAGCGATGGTTCCTCTGGGAGGAAAAGGGTTTAGATAGGTAGTAGAGGGTATCACAGTGAATATCATCTGTTCGTGATCACTGCATTCTTCCGGGACTTGAAGAGAGCAAGAACTGCATTTATGTCAGTATTGAATGCCATGCGTGAATGCACTCGAGTTGATTGCACCTCTGTCTTCTCCGCTTGTCTGCAACACCGCTGTAACCTGAGGGGCCCTTTCCCCACGAAAACTGCCTCTGCTCGGAGACTGCTCTTAGGGATTCCTTTTCTACGTAAAATTAGGACTTCTCACCCACTCGATGTAGCCCACTTCACTCGGAGAACTTCCATGCCTTCGTCCACCTAGGGTTTCATGTCTAACTGATGTAGGGTTTCCTTGTCTACTTCACTCGCAGCACTTTCTTGGTAAATGACCTCAAGCTACCTCGAAAACGAATCGTATTTCAGCTACTGGAGAGCACAATGATACAAATTCTGCTATCGGATAGTAACAATGAAGACGTGACTACCTCTTCTCACTTGGCCGGCTTTTCCTCAGGCTTTCCTCCCTCAGCCTCTGCCTCCCCCAATGTCTTTTCCTGACGCTTGAACTTGCCATTTTGCCTCCCTTTCGGTCTGGGTCTGCCGGGAGCATTTGGATGAGGCTTGAACATTTCCTCCTCCTCAATGTCCCTTTTGCCTCGGATCCAACTCCATGGGGAAGGGAAGATCCGGGGGCGGCTGGAGTTGATGGCACAGTCTCGGCCTTTGCTGGGTGGGCGGGAGTAGCTTCTTCACCTTGACGGGTGGGTGGAGCGGTGGCGTCCTTCCCTGTCGCTTCGTGCTCTACCTTGCCTGACACTTCCTCACCGGGAGAAATCTCCACCACCGCAGGCGCATCTCTAGCGACACCGGCGTCCTTCGATGATGTTTGATCACCTTCACCAATAGCCAGTGTGGAATTGGCAACGGCGGAACCCTCAACGGCCGCTTGATCGCTTCCACCGGAGAGTGGATTGGAGCTGGCGACTGGATTGCCATCATTGCCAGCTGGCGTAGAGCTGATACCGGCGGTACCTTCCACAACCGCTTTATCGTTCCGGGAGGGAGAGGCAACTTCTTTGGGGGTGTCTTTGTCAGATGCAGCGTCATGACCCTTCAGACTATCATGTTCCGCCTCTTCTGCATCGCTCAAATCGCTCCAACGTTCTGACTTTTTGCCAAGACTCTTGTCCAGATCTTTCAATGGGTTCGACTTTCTCTCCCCCAAGCCTAGTGGGACCGGCTCCGGCTTTGGACTCATGGGCTTCGGCCTCCCAGTCTCAATGATTTGCGGGGCCGGCTTCGGCTCCGTCTTTGGACTCATGGACTTTGGCTTCCCAGTCTCAATGACTTGCGTGGCCGGCTTCGGCTCCGTCTTTGGACCCTGGGGCGCCGGCTTTGCTTCCCAGTTCCAACAACTTCGTCTGCCAGAGCTTGGAGCATAACCTTCGTATTCTTCTCTGCCGACGGCTTGACTTCGCCCTCAGCGAGATTCCTACTGCCGTGAGTCTCAGACGCCAAGTCTTGTGGGGTCAGGGCTGCTTCCGGCTTCGGCTCCGGAACCCGGGGTTTCCGCTTCCCAGGTTCGACGACGTTCCCTGCCGCAGCGTCCTGCATCTTCTTCCTGTCCGATATCCTCGACTTTTTTCTTGGCTCGTCCGAATCCGACGACTCGTCCGAATCCGAAAACGTCCCGTTCAGGAAATCTTCTATAAGGTTCGTGGCCGCCGGTTTCTCGAGCATCGGCGGGTCGATTGCCACTTGCGCCATCGTTCTCGAGGACTTTGGTGCGAAGGAGGGGGCTGCTGGGTTGAGCGGGAAGTTCGGGAAGACTTCTTTTTTGTAGGCGGCGCGGACTTTGATGAAGGTCTTTGTGTCCGACCTGCTGGGGGCTTGACTGCCCTTGAGTATTTAAACTCTTTTGGGACTGGCCTTGCGCTGCCAGCTTTCTGGTCCCGCTTCTCAGCATTTTCGTTGGCGATCGGCCGGCTTGGAGAAGGTTGTCGATTGTCCGTAGAGTTCTTTGCCTGGGCAGCGGACTTAGTGGTCCGCTTCTCATCGTCAGCCAGCGCGGCGAAAGGATTGCTTGAGGCTGCAAGTCCTTTGTGGACTCCTTGTTTGAGGCCTCGAGTCGCAGGAGCCGACTTGCTTTTGCGTGCTCTAGTGACCACTTGGCCAGCCGTATCCTGAGGCTTTTCTATGCCCTCTTTCGCTGTTTGGCCCTTCGACACGCCCTTGGGCCTTTGCTAACCAAAACCCCTATGTTTCAGTCTGCGCACCTCAATGTCACCGGGTGAACGTGCCCTTTTTGCGGCAGTTTGGGATGGTAACATACTCGCTGGCGTCGGAGTGATCTTTGATTCCAGGCCTTGGGTGAAGGGTTTCGCCTTGTCTATGGCAGCGCCGAGTCTTATCCGTATCAGACGAGAGGCATTTGTAAACTTGGAAGGAGAGTCGGTCTCAATTTTCTCTCGTTCTGCCAGCGAAATGAGCGCATGATTCGTTTCTTGCACTTGTTGTGCCAACGAAATGAATTTCCGACTCCTCGACGCCTGAATGTCCGCCTGGTTATCAGCTTCAGCTAACAGACAATCGAGTTCTCTCAATAGCACCTGGTTGAACTCTCGAAGCTCCCCGAGTTCCTCTTTGGAGCTCGCGAGCTCCGTATTGGCATTCGAGAGCTGTTTGTTGGCCTTCGAGAGTTCTTCTTCAAATGCATCGATTTGTGAACTCATCTTGCGCGCATTCCTTGTGATAGTCTCGTTGAGGTGTGGCGCGACGTTCCTCCAATCCCCATTTGCAGCTTGGTCAATCTTCTGGCCCAGGTCCTTGATCTGCCCTTCGAGAAGCCTGTTCTTTGCTTGTAGCTCTTCGACATTCTTGTCGTCACCTGGGGCTCTAGGTCGGTCAGCGTCGTCGAAGGCTGTCTGAAGCTCTTGGATCGTAGCATCCTTGGCTTGAAGTTCCTCGTCCTTGAGCTCAAGCTCCACTTCTAAGCTATCGATTCTCTCGATGTCGGCTTCCTTTGTCTGGCGGTCGTTCTCGCGGTCGGCTTCCAACCTAGCGATCTTCTTGTCGAGTCCCTTGGTTCGAGCCTTCTCAGCTTCATATAGCTGTTGAGGGGTTTGTGTCGATGAAGACATTATATATTTTTATCAGCTGGGGGTCAATCCGCCCAGTGGAGACACACTCACACCCGGAGGTGTGTGGACACAGGATCCAAAGAGAGGCCGGAGCCTCCTTCCCTCAATACCCGGTCCTCTGCTGAGCAGAGGAAGATCGTGATCGTGTAGTGAACAGTATGGGGGCTGTTCTAGCAACAATCAGTTTCTTGATGAGGGAGGAAATCCGGAACGACCGTGTTGATAATGTGCGGCTCACTAGCGCCATCAGATCACGTGATGACGAGCTTTTCGGGACGCGTTCAGCTACAACACAAGCTGAGCTACTTGCATTAAACCCCGCGTTGTCAAAGGCCGTCGAAAAATCTTGCAAACATTGTCATGGTTGGTGGCATCGGAAATCATCGCATGAGGGCGTCTTGAAGCGTCTCGGTATGGTCAACAAGGCACAGAACTCTGTCTTGGTCTTTTCGAGAAAGGATTTCCCTCCCATGTTGTCGACACGGCCGTAGCAGATATGCTCCTCGATCGTTTCGTGCTCTTTTTCTTGTGCACGGTCGCCGTTGCATATGTCGAACAGGACGGTCGTGCGATCTGGAGGGCTAGCATCCTTCAGGCCAGTTGCCGGATCACGAGTTATAAGATTGCTAATCTGGAAAGTGTCCTTCATGCGCGGGTGAGCCTGTAAGTCCCTGCCTTCGACGGAGTACACTGGCAGTCTCTGGCCAATCCTTCTCAAGTCTGTGTAATAGAGTCATTGGCTTCTGCCCGGTACGGATCTCGTTGTAAGGCCTTGCCGTTCTGACATGGATATCTTGATTGAATTGCATCTTGCGTGCAATGTGAACACCGTATGTGATGTGGAAGGTCTTGATGGAATCCCACATAGTTGTCTTTGGCATGTTGAAGTACGTCTTCTTACCCGTCTCGACTTTCTTGTCGTCCCGGTCCGTCACCGTGGGATACCGCCTGTATATGCCGTTGCCGATTACGTCGATGGTGGGTAGGTCGAGGTTGATCACGGGCTCGTCATTCTCATCCAAGTATTGATGAAACGGTGGTGTATGGTCCTTGACCGCGGCGGAGTACTCGAACTTGGGAAGAGGGTTCATAAACCAAAAGGTGACCAGATAGCTAGGATCACTTCCGCGGTATATGCGCTTCCTTCAGACTGCTGTAAGGTGCGACCCAGTCAATGCCGGGCAAACCCTTGGCCCACTCGGCATCCATTGGCGATGTCTTTCGCGTCCTTCAGGCCAGTCTTCGGACCACGAGTCATGCGAACCCCAACCTGGAAAGTGTCCTTCATGCGCGGGTGAGTCTGCAAGTCCTTGCCTTCGACGGAGTACACTAACAGTCTCTGGATATATATCGCATACCAATCCTTCTCAAGTCTGACATGGATACCTTGGTTGAATTGCATCTCGCGTGCAATGGGAACACCGTATGTGACCTGGAAGTTGCTGTCTTCGGCAAGTTGAAAGTATGTAGGGTTGGCCGACCTACTCTCAGCCCTTCTGCTGGTATGGTCTCATACTTCTGTGAGTGCCGGAGCTCCTTTCCCACAGTACCCTCGTCCTCTGATGTGCAGAGTTGGATCGTGATAGATACGGTAAGCTGTGCGCTCTAGCAAGAACCAGTCACCTGAGGAAAGAAAGGGAAAAGAAGCAACAGCAAGAGGCTTTGATGCGGAGAAGCTGTAAAGTATCAGTCACACTTCGCAACCTGGCGAGGAGATGATCGGGCATGATGACTTACAGAAGACTAGAAGCGATGTGGAATATATATAGCCGACACGTGAGTCAAGCGTATGTATTTCTATATAGAGATTGGAAGATAATGTAGGAGAGATGGTCCCTTTGGGAGGGGAGGGGGTTTAAATAGTACGCAATGCCTCTGGTGAATATTTTCTGTCCAGGATGAATGGAGAAAGGGAATGACTAGAAAATAGGAATGACTGAAAGAAAGGGAATGACCGGAAAAAGGGAATAACTGGAAAAAGGGAATGACTGAAGAAAGGGAATGACTGGAAAAAAGGGAATGACTGGAAAAGATGGATTGATTGGAAAAATGAATGATTGGAATAAAGGAATAAATAGTGTTGGAAATGTGTATGAAGGATTGATTGATTAACTATGGAATAATATGTAGGCTACTTATACCATGTGAAGCCTATGCTAATTTGTCACCTGATTGCCATCATAAGGGGTAGCTACAACACAGGTGCTGCAGCAAATCTCAACAAATAGAGATAGGGAATGATCGAGAAAAGGGAATCATTAGAAAAAAGGAATAACGTGCTTGATCGGTCAACGAGAATAACTGGGCTTCGAGACTCTTGATATATACACCAAAAATTTAGCGGTCTAATCGAATATAGCATAGATTTATCGATTAGGGTCTTTCTATAAAATAATAATATTCGTAGAATACCCTATTATCTCTCTATCGCCCCCTCTATTATTAGCTTATAATATTTAATTAAATTATTCTTCTTTTATTATAACTTATAAGAAGTTCTCTAGATCTAATACGATAGATATTTAAAAGACTAAGACTCTAAAGTAATAGCGAAAAGATCTTATTCTAAAACTCGTTAAACTCGCTATTTAATTTAATATTTCTAAATTATTATTATATATTAATACCCGTAGTCGAAAGAGTTATATAAAAGAAGTCGAGTCTTAAAAGTATTTTACTTAAGAAGAGAAGGATATTTTAATTAAATAATATATAAAATTAATTAAGTAAAGATACTTACTTAGAGTAAACGCCTTATAAACTATAGTCTTAAAGCTTTTATAAGCGAAAAAGAGAAACTTAAGTATATAAATAAATAAACGATAAATAAAACGATTTCTAAAATATAATAATTAATTAGAAATTATATATAGTAGAGCATTAGACGATAATCGAGTAAAGGCTATATATTTCGAAATTATTTATCGCTAGTTTAATCTTCTAGTTAGCGTTATTATCGAGTATAAGATTCTTCTAAAAAATATATATAATTTTAATAAGAAAGGGGTTCTTATAGATATGGCCTCTACGGCGAAAGCTATTATAAAAATTAAAGATAAATATCGCTTTAAAATATAGCTAGAAAATCGAGAATTAATTATAATTATCGAGGTCGTTAATACTATAGACTAGACTATTCTATTAACTCTTATCTTTAAAGATAAATATTAATAAAGTAGCTAATAAGAATAGAATCTTATAAATAAAATATAGATAGCTATTAGTTTATAAGACTAAATAAATTCGAAGCTTATTATATAATAACTAATAGAAGTCTTTAATCTCGCTATTAAAGAAGTAATATACGATATTATATATTAACTATTAGTTCTAAATAATTATAATAGTTATATTATATAGTAATTCGTTATAATATATTATAATCGAAGAATTCTTTCTTTATATTTATTTTTCTATACGATATATCTTTTATAGTCTCTTAATATAGCAATTTTTAGATCTCTATAGAAAGTATATAGAGATTTTATTAATCGAAAATACGAGAATAGTGTCAGGACTAGTATAGAGGCATATCATATGGGTGAGGTAGATAGGATAATAAGGCTACCGAACTATGTATGTGGGCAGGAGGCATGATATGGTAGGGGATGCCTCCGCCAAGGCCCGCTAGCCATAGGGCTGAGGGCTGAGTAGGGTACGCTCGTAACAGTACTCCCCCTCTCAAAGAGCCATGGCCCCCATGGCTGGTAGACCGGAGATGCAGGCCCATTGCTCGCCTTGTATCTCCAAACATCCATAGTTCTTCGAAAGAACCATCGCTCGCTGAAATCCATAAAAACAAAGACTTTTGGTGTGTGCTGTGCCAGGCCAAATTAGTACCTTTCTCCGGCGGCGACGGCGACAGCGATATCGCGTCCCGGAGATTCCGCTAGCGCGTCGTCGATAGCACTTTATCGTAGCGTTAAGGGGCTCCTAATTTGATGAGGAACCATGAAGAATTGAATGGATAATGACCGAAAAAGGATTTGCTATGCAATGGTCACCTGATATGATGGAGAAGAAATCGATGAAATGATGCAATCTGATTGGTCGATGCCTCCCGAATCGAACCGAGCCGTAGGCGCTAAAACTCTAAATCAATATCAGATGATTCCGGTGTGAGTTTCTCTATGGGACGCCATATAGCCGATATCGATCGAGGCTATTAACGACGACAGTGAGGTTTATAGGTGACGCACTATGGCTTCGGAAGTCGTTTAGGCATATAATAACACGGGGAGCCTGGTTGATAGGCCTGACATGAGGTAATTATTCAGTAATATGAGTCTGAGGAATTGATTTACGAATGTGAAAAAATGAGACCTTTCTGAAGATATCAGATGGTTTCAATTCGTCCAAAAATACAATGTCCGAGGATTTGCCGGTGTTCATGCTGATTTCGACTGTATCTGCAGGGCTGCTGCGTTCTTGACTACATCTGCTGCGTTCTCATGACTATATCGTTTGTAGGTCTGATACGTTCACATGGCCCATCGTTTGCAGGCCTGGTGGGTCCGGCCTATCGCCTATATTCCTCTAGATTAGGGCGAGGAATAATAGCATATTTGCCACGCGGTTTGCTTGCATCTTCGAGTCTCGCCTTGGCATACTGTTTGGTAAATGCCTTTGCTTTCTTATTTACCAGCCGTTCGGTATATATTAGATCACGATATTCTAATATAATAAGGTATTCCTTTAGGTCTAGTAATATTCACTTTCTTTTATATATAGTATATTCGTCTAGGAGACGAAGGTTTGCCTTGTCCCTTAAGTCGATTATAAGATCTAGCTGAATAATATTAATCTGATATTCTTTATCGCTATACTTCTATATATACGCGATATATTTTATAAACTCCTCGTAATACTCGGAAAATGACTGATTATTATATCTTCTGAAGATTGAGTAGTTATAAATATTTCTTTATCGAATAATATTTAATAGAGTCTTATAAAGGTCACTTAGTTGATCTAGGAGGTCGTTGATTAAGAGATAAGGATTTTTTATAGTCGTTCGACGTCTAGATATCGTGTGCTCGATAGTCTTTTCTTTAAGGCGTGATATAACGTAGTTTATCTAAAAAGCGTAGATAGAATAATAATCTTTATTGAGGCTGAGTTTATCTATAATTCTTATTTTCTAGTTCTTAAATTTGGATCTATCAATATTGTTGAATATAGGTGAATTTGATAGCCTCGGGCTAAGTGGCTGTCTAACTGACTGTGGCGAGATTGATCGATATCGATGTTGATATACTTTTAGTGCTTCGAAATCTCGTAGTATAGGTAAAGATGGGGACGGGGGCGGAAGGATAGAGATGCCAGTAGAGTTTTGGTTTTGTGTCTCGGGTTTTTAAGCCTAATTCTCTTCTTGGTTAGTGTGAAATCGCTGGTAAAGATTCTCAGCAGATAGAGAGCGCTGTACGCGTGGCATACGAAGTCGTGGCGAATTTGAAGGCGAATATCTCGTATGTAGGTCTTCGTATGTGAGATAGTGTGTAGGATAAGGCTGGCCACGGTGTGTAGGAGATCGTGACCGAGAGGAAGAGGAAGCGTTCTTATGACGATGATGTGGAGGGCGATATTTTGGTGTCGATGTAGGTGGATTTGAAGAATTCATGATGTGTTGAATGTAGGTAAGAACGGAGCGGAGAAGATAGGCGTAAAAATGGCGATTTTGGCTGGGCTTCCTTGTTGAGGGATTGTAAATATCGAATAGTGTCTTTGCCGAGTGGAATGGAGAGATCTCTGGAACTCCGGTACTGTGAGGGCGTATGCGAGTTGAGAAAGGTGGTAGATCTCTGTGTTGAGAGTCGAAATTTGACTGTGACGCTCGAAATAGTGTTGTTTCTTTCGTTTCTTGACCGATCAAGTCGCCGTAAAGACTATGAGTACTCTGAATGGTGTTCTTTCGAATGGTAGGAAGTCCGCCGAGGGTCTTTTAGCCGGTGATAGACTTTTTGCGGGTAACGGAGGCGGAGAAGGATTTCTTGTATTCGATGTAGGGGACTCGTTTTTTGATGGATTGGGCTACCGTTGATAATGTAGGTTGTCTGATGTAGGTTCTTATGATTTGGATGTGTGGTGGGGCTTCTGTATGGTAGAAATACCCAGCGTTTTCTTTATCAGGCTCGGTCGCTTGCTCCGAGCAGAAAGTGAAAAACCCGTCAATTTTCTTCGCCGGGGGGGTACGAAGGAGTCTTATTATAATGTCAGGACCAGCATAGAGTCCGTGAATGAAAGCACGTTTATCCTCGAAATGAATAATATATTAATATAATAAAAAATAAATGTTATGCGTGAATACACCTAACATATTCTTATCTCCTTCTCTCTTAATCTTCACCTCATATGCATAATTACTACATCTCACCTCTCTTCAAAAGCTGGGTGATATTACTTTATCTCTCCCTCTCCTCATCAACCCGGAAGTATAATTTTCCTTCTGATGAATATGATATAAGATCCAATATTACTATTTACACCTCTAAGAAAATACTAGTTTATTCTTAGTGCTTCGATAACCTTAGCTTTGAAGATACTAGACTCTCGGGATTGACTAAGCTCTACTTGAATCTCTGAACCTCTCCACTTTCATCTTATCTACCACTCTCTTTTCTCTCACTCTTATTTCTTTTCTGAGTCTATATCTCTGTTTACTTAGAGTATCAGCTGAAGCTATGCCTTAGACAAGACTGCCTTAATATTGGTTCTAGAGAGTTCTCTTCGACACAACTTAGTTTGGAACTCAAAGTGGCACTGGTCTTTCTGAGACACTGGTTGGCCAACGTGTGGTAGGATGTTTTTCTAATCACCCTTTGTGGCTTACCCAATCTTTCTGTTTGAGTCCTCGATCTGACCTAAGATGCTTGATCTTCGCTTGTAGCTCTTCGACACGGTTGTCATGATCTCGGACTCTAGACCGGCCTGCGTTTTTAAAGGCCGGCGAAAATTCTTGCAACAATCGTCATGGTTGATGGCATCAGAAGTCATCGCATAAGGGTCTAGGATGCTCCCCTTTCTATATAGCATTTATTTTAATGGTACCTCGCAGTTCTGCAACCATCTCTCTGCGGATAGAGCTTTTTACAACTTCGACACGATCGGAGTAAGAGTGCCTCATGTCCTATTGGGCTTCGAATAGCTAATCGAACCATTAATGAACGCTACTATGCTAGCCAGGAACCAAGTCTGTCGATTCGAGGAATCTTGCTTTCCAAATCGTCTCATATATCTACCCTTTTTCCAAATTCTCGAGCTTCGAGGGCCAGAAGATCGGCGCCCTTTTGTAAGAAAAGTCTCATATGTGTAACGTTTCTGGCAAAAGCCTGAGTTCAAGAAATCGGGAAATGGGTGAACATTCTTTACGACAACTAAGTGAGCTCGAGAAATAGAAAGTTACCGCGATGTAAAGGTCGAATCCCCGTGAATCCTATTTTTTCTGACATTATGAAAGTTAGCAACCGTGAACTCGTCATTATCTGGGGGTAAGATCCCATAAATCCGATCAGTTCCGAGTATAAAGCAGCTCAAGAATTATAAAATCACCGTCATTCTGCCGGATTGTCCCCACGTATCCCATCATAATATAAAAGCATCGAGCTTTGCAGGGTGCTATTATCTGAAGGAAAGTTCTTTAATTCCCGTCATTTGATTGAGTGTTCGAGGTATCCAATGCTATAATAGAAGAAAACCTACGTCACATCCCCGCTATAAATTGTCATTTGCCGGAGATTTCATACGCAACTTCTCTGATACCCATCCCGTGTATGCTGGAAAAGAAAGAAAATATCTAGGGTCCTAATCGCCATTTCGAGTCGACATTTCGAGTCGCCATTCGGCGGGGTTATTCCCCGTCAGCCTATCTGCTTGCTTATTTTATAGAGCAATTTTGATCCTCGTCTATTTTGGCAGCCTTCACGGTGTTTGTGACAAACGCAAAAACTTGATCCGCGAGGATACACCTGACTTGCAACCAATAACACTCTTGGGTCTCTAAGTCCAAGATAGCACGGGAAATGAACGCCACCATTCTTCACGCAACAAAAAAGGCGCATTCCGAAAACACACGAAGTCACTAGGCTGGTTCACATGGAATGTTTCGCACTCAACAAAGACCGTTTCTTGTGCGACTATGCAGCAAGCAACGCTATTCCCGCATACATCGAGCTAACGAGGGTCAAACGGGCTGTCTATCTCCTGTTCACACTTCAAACACTTTGATTTATCTTCCATGGATGTAGGGAGTTTGGCCATTGTTGGGCAGGTGGCATTAAAGCAAGACTGAAAAGACAGAAGGAAGTGGCCAGCGTTTGTGGTACTCTTAAGTGTACACTGCACTAGTCAAATTTGAGTTCCAGTCTCTATACACACACTTTGTTCTTCGTGTCAATTCTCCCAATTGAAGATGACAGTAACGGCGAGCGACTGGGGCACGGTTGTTCTAAGCGGGCGAGATGCACGCGGGATGCAGCGGATGGGCTCACTTGCGCCCGAATGAATTATCGCCTCGCTTACGGGGGCTATGTTCGCCGGTTCCGTCATACTTCTGCGGTAACGCGTATAATTATATTGTATCTTGTAAGCGCTATTGGCGTAAGTGACTATGAGGCAGACTTGGGAGACGTGTCATCTCTTTCCTTGACCTTCCGACGTTTCGTATCGAGCAAAGAAATTCGTATCAAGCAGAGAAATGCGAAAGTGTCCTTCGATCCGCCTCGAGCTATTTATCTTCTTGGTGAAGCATACAGCGGAGCTTTGATTGCGCCAGATCGTTGTTAATATTGGGAGATAAACCACATGATACATGTTAAAAATTGTTTGTACTCAGCCTGGTATAAACCTTATGGTCAATTTCGAAACAAAGGGAGACTTTCTCCACTGCCTCCATGATGCGAAACGTCGGCAACTTTTTCGCAATGACTTCTCAGGCTACTGTATGTCAATATCTACGGGAGGCTATGAGATAGTGGCATACAATTTTTTTTAAATTTATTTTTTTTTTTTTAATTTTTTTTTTTTTTTTTTGGGTTTTTTTTTTTTTTTTTTTATAAAAAAGGGGGGGTTTTTTGTGGTTTTTTTTTTTCCCCCTTTTTTACCCGGCTTTTTTTTGGGAGGCGGAAGGGGGTGGTATTTAAAACAACACGCGCCATCTCAACTTGCGAACGGGTATTCCTGTTTTCCGCCCAAGCAAGACATGTCGTAGCCGATAGAGGCGCACAGGGTTTCTGGAATAAGTACAGCTCTTGAGCTGCTGGTTAGCCTCGAGACATTTTCAGCACATACAACCTTAGGATTCCTATCAAAAATATGAGTCTGTCTCTTTTTCAATTGGCTGTGAACGCCTCTGCGGTCCAGGTAGCTTATCCTCCGCTATCTCTTCCAGATGTTTCCAATTGTAAAGACTACTACGCGTAAGTATACAGATCGGAATCCTACATTTATGCTTGTGTCAAAATCCGAGTCATAAAGCATGCTGTGGGACTCATGAGCCGTTCTATAACTGTTGGCTGTATTCGTACTCCATAAAACAGTCTAGTTTAATTTTACAAGGACGAAGGCTGACTCGAGTTTCCAGCAACCCTTCTCCGCCTCTCCTCTCCGATTGCCAGATCGCTTTCAAAAATCTACCGAGTGGTACTGCGCCCACTGCATGGTACACTCAACCTGCCGCTGGAGAGGAAAGAAACGTGCTCCCACTCGAGGTGCATCATGGTAAGAAGCCGGTCCTTCCAGCGAGATGATAGAAACGCCTAATTCGGAAATTTGTCAGGCACGTGCGATATCATATTTCACACATCTGGCCAGTCCGCCCAAAGTCTGGATCCCGTCTGGATCGTGCCAAACGATATCAAAGCCATGGCAGCATGGGTACTTGCGCGTTGCGTTTCCGCCGGCAAAGGAGGAATGGTCACGAAGGGGTTGGAAAACACAATAGACCCCATTACCAACAGCGACAGCAAAATCTTCCCCGATCCCGCACTCCGTAAGATGATATCCCCAAACCTTCCGCTGTGTTGCTGACGTGAGTCAAAGCCCCAAGCAGCACCTTCTACAGTCTCCACGTATGGAATCACACACCTAGCGACATAGACTGGAACCCTGGTAACAGCGATCCCGACGTTGGAGACGCTCTAGCCCAAAGTCTTCACAGAGCTGGACGAGCAGCACCAGCCGGCAGTCCTGCGGAGGCGGAGCTCGAGCGCCGTGAAGAATATCTTTGGGCGGCTGTGGGCCGGACGGAGTATGGGGAGCCGGTCACTAACTGGTGGGACGGCCCTTCCAAACCTGGCCTTTCCTCAAGTGCACGTTGACTCACTGCGGATACGAGCCATGATTGTTATTCAAATGATTGTGATGGTGATTTGACAGTGACGCGACTGCGCAAGGCGTTTCCGTATGCCCATATCTCCACGTTGTGAAATGATACAGATCAGTCCGTAGGTTCCAAAACCAATGGCAAAAGCTCGTTCCGCTGCATATCAGGTGCACAGTATTCCAATACACTATGAGGCTTGCAATAGATGCGCACATTGTACTATTCACATCAACTTTCGGCTTTTTGAACAAAGTGAACAGCTAAAGCAGACACATCTCATAACCCATTATCATATCTCCACCAAAATCCTTCAACCGCCCTACTCCTTGCCTAACGCATGTCATATAACAGCGATCGCGCCCATCACCACCATCCCCAGACCGACAGCGGCCGCCAACGGCACTCCAGAATGCCCTGCCAGACTCTTCTTCGAACCTGTCGCCACACCCATGCTTGTCACCGCCGCAAGTGTCGCTGGGGTGGCGGTCGAGGACGTTGGAGAGGACGAGACGACATGAAAGATGGGAGTTCCTATGGAACCTGACGCTGGAAGCGTTGTAGGATGGACTGATTGTGTGGAAGACGCTTGCGTGGTCATTGGAAATAGGTGAGGATGTGGTGGGAGAGCTGGAGTTGTTCCTGAAAGTGTAGATATCAGTTGGGGGAAATTGTTTAGCAGAGAAAAGATTACGAACGGCTGAGCAACGGCTTGGGCGTGGATGAGGCTCACGGACAGGGCAACGATCTGCAGGAAGGACGAATGCATTTTCTCTTTTGGGTTTTCAGCGCTTGACGATCCAAGGATGTGTTGCAGGGAAGTCCTGAATATATTATCCAACGACGGTGATGATATGGCAATGAAAAACCACAAGCAAGTCCACCCGTAGATGCACTCCTACAAAGACCACGACCCGAGACTTTCTCCGACGTGTTGATGCAGGTAGCCGGATTGCTTGTCGCTCGGCTTCAATCACCATGCATCACCGAGATCAATATTGCACGGCGGAGATATTACCAAGACATCGCGATATGTTTGTCCAACAAGCAAGCCCCCGTTCCGACACATGTTGACCTACCTAAAAGGTGGCGATGGAAGTTTTTGTTAGAGATCAAGCAGAGGGACCTAAACCTATTCGTTCTCGGCTGTTTGCCGCCTCTGTAGGATCAAGCCTAACAGTCTGAGGTCCAGTGGAGCGTGAATCGTCCAAATTTCACACTGGATTACCGGGAGGGTACAGATCTCATGCACACGATCCCGTAATATTGTCCCGAAGCAGCAGATTTGGGAGTCGGATGGCAAAAAAATCGGCGAGGCGCAGATTACAGGGGGAAGACGAAACATCGATATCTGGAAACGATCCAGTAAATATGACATCAGCTCAGCATATTGTGTTCAACTTGGAAGAGGCGGGCGCGGGGTTTATATTCGTGCTTTCTGGGTGTGAGAAAGGTTGCCCAGGTTTTGGTTGCGCAAAATGTTATCAATGTAGGTACGATGGATAGGAGCGAGGTCGCTGGGGTCGAGTTCAGGAACCGGCTTGGAGTTAGGGGAGTAGAGAGGAGAGGGAAGGCTGGGAGGGGCGGGAGGAGTCCATAGCTGCTGGGTGGATAATGAGATGAGGGATGTCAGAATAATCGGCAGTGTAGTCGGAGATGCGCTTTAAGAAGCAATACCAAAGGCAAAAAGTGAGTATCTAGAGCCAACTATCGGCAAAGGTTGTCTAATTAGGCTTCTAGATGCACCGAAAACCAACGACCGTGCATGCAGAAACTTTTATTACAGTAAAGGCATTTGGCATGCCGACAAAAGAAGCAAGGAACCTGTCTGACACATCCTGCAACTCAGCACTGGCAATGCCAGACTTCGGAACTCCTAAAGCCCTGCAAACACCCCGACCAATAGGGGGATCCCAACGCTACCGGCGACGCCACGGAATTGACCGGCGCTATTCTTCTTGGACTTGGTAGGCGAAGCGGAGGCAGCCGTGGTCTTTGTGGCCTGGAGTAAGTCAGCAGGCCGTGCGATCTGCCAGTTCATATATTCCTCGTCTCACGTTTGTAGGACTTGACATAGCGGTTCCGGTGGCGAGTCCACTTGCTGTCTTGCTTGATGTCCCTGCTGGGCTAGAGGATTTCGCCATGGCGGACATCGACGAGCCAGAACTGACAACGGCCGCTGGGGTGGCCGCCGTAGATGTCGTTGCTTCAAGGCTCGTCGTCGCAGATGGGGTGGTTGCCATTACGAGGGTAGGGCTGCCTGTAAAGGTGTCACTGTCAGCTCTTGCTGCTATGATTGCGCTGCTCGCAGTCGCGCTCATCACGCTCAAGGAAAAGCCGATGGAGTCGAGTGCGAATTGGTTTCGTGCTGGGGTGGCGGTAGATCGATGAGGAAAAGCCGTACCAGTCTGGAAGGTGACAGGGACAGCGGTCGAGCCCGCAGTGGGGCTGGCTGATGGGTGTGTTCCGCTCTTGTAAAGGCTAAACAGAGAAGCTGCGACATCTGCACCGCCAAGAGTGTTGGCATCAACTCTGAATTTGGCATCATGTTAGCTTGGTCAATTTTGTGTTAAGGAGAGGTCCACCAACGCTGCAGGGGCAACGTTCCCTTGACCGAACACCAGACTCGCGAACAGGATAACTGTAGGCACAGAGAAGAGATGCATGATGACGCTCGAGGGTTGGAGTGTTTCAAATTAGGTTTTAGAATGATAGAAGTGTGCTTCTTCGAAGGAGTGATGATGCAAAATGCAAGACAACGAATTTCGAAAATAAAACTAATTTCCCATCACTCACAGCTCAAGCACCTAGCCGTCGCCTTTCCTCTTTGGGATGCTTCGCCCACATCACAAGACCTTGCCGTGACACCGTGACTATTAATAGGAAGATTGAACGTTGTTTCACATTGTGATTTGCTTGCGGATTTCGAATGCTTCACACAAAAGACATGCATTTCATTTCGTTTGGCTGCCAAGATTCCAGGGGAACAGGTCAAGATCGGATTTATATTTGCTGCCGCCACCGCCTCTGCAAGCGTCACCTGATTATGTTGCCTGAAAGATTGTAGTCATGTCGGGAACAGCATGTGGTGAGATTTGACACTATGCTTGCTACAAGCGAAGCAAAAGGATGAAAGAATTCGGAGTGCGTATCGAAAAAAACTCATTACAACAAAGGTATCTGGCTCGCCGACAAAGGAAGGAAAGAAACCTGACTAACGCACTCCGCAATACAGGGTTGACATTGGACTGTTTCAGTTGTACAGCCCAGTGATCATCGCGATGAGGAAAAGGATCCCGGCAGTACCAGCGAAGCCACGAGGTTGACCGGCGATGTTCTTGTTGGAGCTCGTAGGTGAGGCGGAGGTAAACGAAGCCGAGGCAGCCGTAGTATTAGTAGCCTGGGCAGGGTGGGGTTAGTGGGACACTCTTTCCGACATGAGAAATGCTGCTTCTCTTACATTGGCAGTACTTGAAGCAGCGGTTCCGGAAAATGTTCCCATTGTACCAATGTTGGTTGACGTGACCATTCCGGCTGTTGCTGATGACGCTGATGAGCTTGATGCTCCCGCCATGACCGAGGACGACGGGACAGAAGTGGCGGGCGTTGGTGATCCCATGGATGGTCCTCCGCTAGTACTGTCTGCGAGCGTGTCATTATCAGCTCGTGCAATCGAGGCTGTGCTAATTCTAGTCGCCCTCATCATGCTCGATGAATACGCGGCCGAGTCGGTTATAGACAGGTACGAGGCTGGACAACTGTGAAGTAAGGGTGATGGGGCCGTACCACTCAGACCAGAAGCGACTGTGGCTACAACAGCACTGGGATTACTGGCAAGGGAGCCAACTGCGGTGGAGACGGAGCTCGGCACTGAAACACTCGGTGATAGATCTGCATAGTTCGTGGAGCTGAGGCTGGCTCTGGAGACCGTGGTATTAGCATAGAATTCTTCTCAATCTTGGAAAGGGATACGAACGCCGAAAGCCCGGATGGTGCTTGACAGTGGACAAGACCTGCAAAGAGAAACACAACTTGCAAAGAGGAGAGAAGCATGATGATACACGAGTGGTAGGAGACTGAACTTAGGTTGCAGAGAACGACGGGATGTTTCTTCGTAGAGGAAACGAGCGAGTGACTGCCATTATACTCGGAGGGGGGGGCTGTACATGTACTCTCGCAAGCAATACAAATCTGCAAGCATAGTCAAGCTTCTGGCCGTCGCTTTTCCCCTTTTACGAGCATCGGTCCTCATTGGGATACTTCAGCTAAACACCATAAGACATTTCCAAGACACTGTAACGAGATGTGACATTGATTGAAATCCAGATCACATGGTGAACGGCGTGCGAATTTAGAACACTCCGCCCAATTGACATGAATTTTACTTGGTTTGAATGCCAAGAAGAAGAGGTCAGATTTGGTTTTGCGTTTGCTGTCGCTACCGGCCCTGCATGGATCACCTAATATTTACCCCTCAAAGTGTGGGGTCAGGTGGGGAACAGCATGTGTCCAGTGTGAACACTGAAATGATAGAATTCGTGGTGTGTAAGATGTTGGTACTGGTATTTTCTTGCTACGAGAATGCTAGCTATGTGATCGTGCTAAGCCATATTTGGCTTAGTAAAATGTAACTTACCGGGTTATAAATCTGGCCTTCTCCCTGCCGTAAGACATCCTCTCACCAAAGTACTTTTCAAGTCAACTACACAGCAGAAACATCAACTTTTCAAACTCCCCAAGTGACAAAAAAACCTCGTTCAAGTCAATTCATCTCAATCAAGATGTCCCAATCATCCGGATCCGGCGGAAAGGGGTACGACGTGACCAGCTCCGGCACCAACAGCCAGGTATATTCCCCATCCAGCCTGCCCTGAGACACTTGCCAACCTATTTGGCAGGGCAACCGCTACGACAGCCGAGACTACACCCCATCCACCGGAGGCAGTCAAGCCAACGATAACACCTATCATTACTCCAACAACGACGGTAAGTCGGAGTTTTCCATAACCGTGCGGCGTGGTGATGTAGAGATTCCAAAAGTAGCGAGAGTCTGAGACAGAGGACAGGAAGCTACTATTACAGCAACTCGAACGGATCCACTTACCACAACGACGGCAATGGCGGGTCGAAATATACCGCTCCTGGAGGGAAGAAGTGACCCGATTGACAAGACATGGGCCTGGCCTGAACAAAGATGGTCATCTTCCGGGTTAGAGGCGGTGATTGTTCCGTGATATTTGGCAAGAGCTCCGAAGAGATGCTTGCTGTCAGCTAGATTCCGTAGAGATGCAATCCAAAAGGAACTGCTGCTCGGTATCCCCTAATATGTGGCAAGATGTTTGATTGAAAGCCGACATGGTTTCGTTATACGGAATAAGCGTGGCGCTTCTGCGACATGAAACAGCACGGTAGCTCAGCCCCAGCCCCTCCTTAGGTAGTTGTCCCCAAACGTTCTCACGGCAATCACTACCAAAGTGTGGACTCCCCTCCTCTTCCCGGTAGAAAGGGTAAGTCAATCCAGATCCTTACCAATCCTCTGACGAGGACGGTGAGTTTCTTAAGAACAGTTGATGTAGGTTCTGTCTTATGATCTTTGGTACGAACTGATGAGGGTCAAAAGGGAGTTATTATCACGACAATCCGAACGGCTCGCGGTATTACGTTGGGGGCAACGCTATGTCTGCTACAAGTGGGACAAGGATCGCCTCTGGGGAAAAAGTGGGAGGGACGTCGTATGTTGGGGGGATTTTGTCACTCGGATCTGAAAGCAAAACATGTGGGCAGGGAAACGAGGGTAGCATAGTGAAGAGGTTGATCAGCTATAAGGGCTTCGTGATTACAGAGCTAATGAAATTTGATGCCATCGTTGACTTATCAAAATTGAAGGATTGATCCAATATTTCTGTTTGAATAGCGTGGAGTGAAAACCCGTCCTCTGACATCTCCCACTGACAAACAGCCTCTAGAGTATTTCCATCTGCAACGCAACCATCAAAAACTACAAGGTGGTTATACATCGTAAGAGAATACAGCGGAACAGCCTTTTTCTCACTCACGCAATCTGTAGGACGCCCACGACGAGAGATGTCATATAGACAGTCGGAGTAGAATCTAAAGCTTCCAGCTTGCATTTTGTTTGACATCCTTGTTCAGAACGGTCTTCCGCTCCTGCACATACCTTGCCAAGTCTTGGGCGGCCAAATCTTCGAAAGGCTAGTAGAGAAGATTAGCGCCCGAACCAGCCTGGAATCTACAGCGACATACCTTCTTCTCCCCAACTGGAAGACCCTTCCATTCTCTGCCTATCAGCTTTGCAGCCTCAACCACGCCCAGGCCCTTGAAGTCACCCGATTGCAAACGCCCCTGGTAGAAATAATTGTATGGCTTACGCAGGCCTATGACCTGCCTGTGGTCTTGCAGTGGGGTTGCAGTGACCCCCAGTCTTCTGAGTTGCTGCCTCGCAAGATTGGCGTCGTAGATGATAATTGGAGTGTGGGATTCGATCCATTGACGATGAGCCGCAGCATTCGCGGCTCTGTTCTGATTTGCTAGGTGATTGTAGTGCTTTCAGGTTTTAGTTTGGATAGACGGGTCAATTCTTGAAAGTCAAAACATACCTCAACTTTCTCTGGAGTCAGCTGTCTGTACTCCGAACTCGCTTCTTTCGACAACGCTGCAAAGCTGTTTCCTGTTACACCGCGACCTGCCCTCATCTTTTCTGCTAAATACACATTCCATGCACTAGAAGGAGTTTCATGGGGGCGCTTGAGAGCTGTCGCCTTGAGCTGCTTTGTAGTCGCCTTGAGCTGCTTTGTAGTCAAAGCAGATTCTTGTGCCTCCGTCAACACCTTCTTGGGCTTCTCAGGCTTGGGCTTGGGCTTGGGCTTGGGCTTGGGCTTCGCCTTCGCCTTCGCCTTCGCCTTCGCCTTCTTCTTCTTTGCGGGCTTTGGCTTGGGTGTGATTCTTGGCTTTGCCTTCGACTTGGCCTTTGGTACCGCTTTCGGTGTTGTCTTTTCGGGTGCGGGCTTCTTGGCGGCTTTCGTTTTCGAGGTGGTTGGGGCCTTTCTTGCTGCGGTGGTTGTCCTGCCGGTGTGGGCTTTGGGCCGTGACACAGCTCTTTGCGCGTAAGTTCGGCGAAGTATCGGTGCATTCAACCTGGAATTGAGGATGAGATCGGGATAGTGTTGCGATTGGGCAACATTGTAGAGAGCGGGCACGCGTTCAACCCAGGAGGAGCTGAGCCCCGTGCGACCATTGCCCAGACGTTGCAGCGTTAATTGGGGCAGTCGTATGACGGACCGACCGGCCTGAAAGATCATGGCGATTCCTTGATATGTATCTGAGTGAGATTGCTGCGATTGGTAGAACAAACGAGGAATGAAGGTCGAGAAGGAGGTCTCGTTCAAGAAATCAGCGTCGCGTGAGGTGGCTGGTACGCTAGCGGTGTTCCAGGGAACGCTAAGGCTGAGCTAAATTCAGCCTTACAATGACTATATTCTCCCCCCGCTGGACGGCTCCAGTGACACAGAGATGAGAGAGTAACACTTTCGCTATCCATTTGCAAGAAGCAAAGATCTTCTGTGCGAGCCAGCTGCTTGCTACTCATAGACGTCTATACCATCTTTAAGCCAGAGAAGAGCTCGGCTGCTGAACACGCGAAGGAGAATTTCAAGGTAGCTTAAGATCACTTCTGCGAGCATTCCTCACCAACACTCCCCTGGCGATACAAGGAGTGTTGTGAGAGCGATATAATTTGGTTGGAAGCTTTCCCCTTTCACGCAACTCACTCTCCGAAGTACAGTTCACAGGTCAAAGGCGGGATCTTATGGCTCGCCACGGGGATACTCGCTCACCATCGCCTGTAGGCAGCTCCTACTCTGCGTCTGCGTCGAAGAGGCATCACCGAGATGGAGATCGTTATGAGAGAAGTCGACGGGAGGATGGGCGGGGACATCGACATAGAAGTCGAACAAGGAGCCCTGAGGTAGGTTACACGACATACTCCTATACCACGTCTGACCTCTGCTTGTCACAGAAGCGGTATCGGGATCGGGACTCTCGTCATCACAGAGATCGATCGAGGGACAGGCATAGGGACGACGATGGGTACCGCTCGAGCCGTAGGGATAAATCTCGAGACCGACGGAAATCTCGGGATCGAGATACCGTAAAGGACTACAGAAGGAGGAGTCGTGAGAGGGATCCTCGGGCGTACAGGGATGATTCTCGCGACCGAGCTCGAAGGCGGAGAGAAGGATCTGCTGACTCTAGGCGTAAAGGGAGAAGAGACGACAGTAGAGATAGAAATCAGAAGTCGGCAGGTGGGAAAGAGGTGAGCTCGCCCTCCAATTTTTCCATGCAGGCGCATCGCTGAACATGACGCACAGATAGCACCGACTCCTACACAGACCGACGAGGAGAAGAAAGCCGAGCGCCTTGCAAAGTTGGAAGCTTGGAAGCAAAAACAAGCCGCCGAAAAAGATCGCAAACAGAAAGAATTAGAATCCTCAGGCGGTACCCGAAACCTCCTTGCCGAGATTGACAAGAGAGCACAAGTGTCGCCAGCCGCAGCTTCGCCTGTCTCTCCTTCGACGCCTGCCGCCACCAACGGAGATGCTTCCCCTGTCCCTTACGCCGGCAAGTTCGATCCAAAAGCTCTGTCCAAGAAGAAGGCATCTGCATCATCCAGCGCAAGCAAGCTCGGAACGGACATTGCCTTGCCGGAAAATGCCAAAGCGTCCGCCACCATAAAACCCACCGCGATTGGTTTGAAGGCTGACAAAACAGTAGCACTAGCAAATGGCTCATCAGGTACGTCCCTCGCAAGTTTGAATCACCGCCTCGAACCTCTTCTAATGAATACGCAGCCGCTCCCGCAGCTATGTTAAAGGCTCGTGGCAATGTCAGTGGCTTCGGGCTTGCGAGTAAAGCAACGACCGAACCTGAGAAACCAGCAGCCAAACCCGGTCTTAATTTTGGTGAGGAGGAAGGAGGGCGGAAGAAACTAGAGAAGCTGCCGACCCCTCCACCCGAGGACATTGCTATGGACGACGATACTGCTATGGCTAACGGTGATAAAGAAGACGATTCTGACGATGACCAAGGCATGCAAGACGCTGGTACGGAAGAAGAAGCAGCCGCTGCTGCAAGAGCTGCGGCGGAGAAGCGGGAAGAGCGCCTCCAAATCCAAAATTTAGCTTATCAAGCTGGTGAAGATCCTGCTGCAGCTGTTCCAGAACAAGCAGAGACCAACGGCGATGCGCTAATGACAGAAGCTCCAAACGATACAACGCCGGACGAGGCAATAGAGGAAGAGGAGGAAGCCGATCCTCTGGATGCTTTCATGACCGGTTTGGGAGACCCAATGAAAGCACCAAAAATTAGCAACGGTTTCAAAATCACGAAGAGCAAGGTCCAGCGGCCCGAGGCCATGTTTGGAGATGACGACGTCGATCTGAACACGGTAACCGCAGACACAGATGACATTCTAGCCATGGCGACCAAGAAAAAGAAGAAGGATCTACCGACCGTTAATCACGCCAAGGTGACGTATCAACCTTTCCGAAAGAGCTTCTACCATGAACCATCGGAGCTGGCGGAGATGACGGAGGAGGAAGTCGCTGATCTGAGACTAGAACTTGATGGGATAAAGATCAGGGGTATAGATGCTCCGAAGCCCGTGCAAAAGTGGTCTCAATGCGGTCTTGGTGTGCAGTCACTCGAGGTAATCCAAAGGCTCGGGTACGAAAAGCCGTCGTCCATCCAAACGCAAGCGATTCCCTCAATCATGTCTGGGAGAGACGTTATTGGGGTTGCCAAGACTGGGTCTGGTAAAACCATAGCCTTTTTGTTGCCAATGTTTCGACATATCAAAGATCAGCGACCTCTCGACAGCCTGGACGGTCCTGTCGGCCTGGTCATGACGCCCACCCGGGAGTTGGCGACTCAAATCCACAAAGAGTGTAAGCCTTTCCTCAAGGCTTTAAACCTCAGAGCGGTTTGTGCGTACGGGGGCGCTCCGATCAAAGACCAGATTGCAGATCTGAAGCGTGGCGCGGAGATCATTGTATGCACTCCTGGACGCATGATTGATCTATTGGCTGCCAATTCGGGTAGAGTGACGAACCTTCGCCGAGTCACGTACGTTGTGCTGGACGAAGCTGACAGGATGTTCGACATGGGCTTTGAACCGCAAGTCATGAAGATCTTGGCCAATATTCGACCGGATCGCCAGACGGTACTGTTCTCAGCCACGTTCCCCCGCCAGATGGAGTCCTTGGCCCGCAAGACGCTATCGAAGCCCGTGGAGATCGTCGTGGGAGGGAGAAGCGTCGTTGCTCCAGAGATCACCCAGGTCGTCGAGGTGCGAACCGAGGAGACGAAATTTGTCCGTCTTCTGGAGCTCCTTGGCAAATTGTATGAAGAAGAGAAGAATGAGGATGACCGAGCCTTGATCTTTGTGGACAGACAAGAATCGGCCGATGGTTTATTGAAAGATCTGATGCGCAAAGGCTACCCTTGTATGTCAATCCACGGCGGCAAAGACCAAATTGATCGTGACTCTACAATCGAGGACTTCAAATCTGGAGTCATCCCCGTCATGACTGCTACCTCTGTTGCTGCTCGTGGCTTAGATGTCAAACAGCTGAAACTCGTGGTCAACTACGATGCACCTAACCATCTCGAGGACTACGTTCATCGTGCTGGGAGAACTGGTCGTGCTGGTAACACTGGCACCGCTGTGACCTTTGTCACGCCGGACCAGGAGCGGTATTCGCTAGATATTGCCAAAGCCTTGAGACAGAGTGGCCAAGAAGTGCCTGAAGAGCTCCAAAAGCTTGTGGATGCATTCATTGACAAAGTCAAGTCTGGCAAAGAAAAAGTCAATGGCTCAGGCTTTGGTGGTAAAGGCCTCGAGCGTCTGGACCAAGAACGTGACGCGGCTCGTGCTCGAGAGCGAAAGACACACAAGACTGGCGACGAACCTGACGAAGACGAAAAGGAGGACAAAGACAAGGACGATAAGGGCGACGATATTATCGCCAAAGCTGCTTCAAGCGTCCAGTCGGCTACCGCTCCACCCCCTACCCTTCTTGGTGTTCCCAAAGGCATCGATCTCGACGGCAAGATCACGGTCCATAGGACAGAAGCACCGGCGGATGGCTCGAAGAACCCTCTTGACAAAGTCAGTCGTGCGGTCGCTGGTATACATGATCGTCTCAGCAAGAACCGCGAGATGCGTACTGGGGTGCCTATTGACAACAAGGGCCCTGATGCTGGCGCGTTTCATGCAACGTTGGAGATTAATGATTTTCCCCGTAAGTCTTACTCTCCTGCTTTTTTCGTATGGTCCTTTCTGACACTCGAAAAGAAAAAGCTCGTTGGGCCGTCACCAACCGCACGAACGTCGCCAAGATTCTGGAAGCCACAGGTACATCTATCACCACAAAGGGAAGCTTCTATGCCGCAGGTAAAGAACCTCAAGCGGGCGAAAATCCAAAGCTGTATATTTTGGTGGAGGGAGATACGGAAGTGGTGGTCACCAATGCTATGAGAGAGCTCATGCGGCTACTCAAGGAGGGTACTATTGCTGCTGCTGACAGCGATGCAAGGGCTCCTGCTAGTGGTCGTTATAATGTTGTTTAGACAATGCTATAGTTGTTATATGCATGATGTTCTGAACACAAGCTGCTAATATATCTGACGGTATTCAAACAATCATACTCTGCATACTCCTTAATATCACAGCCTCCACAAATCATTCGCTAACGTCGATGCTCTGTCCAAATCTCATCCAAGCCGTATGTAAAATTGTATCGTCAGGCATCGTGAATCATTTCCTCATATCGTAGACCCACACTTGCACCCATCAATTGTAATTGGTGGCCTGACTGGTCTGATCCGCCTCTCTCCTCCTCCTCTCATCCTGGCTAACATTCTCCAGTGTCCCAGTCCTTGTCTGCGCCCTCTCCTTCGCTAAATCCCTGCCTAGCTTGCCCTTCGGCTGATTCGCCTTCGCACGCTCCTATCGTTTGATCCTAGTCAGCATAACATCCAGTGTTTCTATTTTCCGGCTAAAAGGGTTCCAAAGAGAAGAGTGTACATACCTCTGCTGCCCTCGCTGCCGCGCTTTTAGCATCGCTGCTCTCTCCACCAGATGAGCCGCCTAATTTCTGACCCTGGCTACCTATCTTGGGCACCGAGGCCCGAGGGTTTGATTGTGGAGGAGGGGCGGAACCGACTGTACGGCCTGGTTGGGAGAAGGGGTCGTTTTCTTTGGAGGCTTTACCACATAGGTTGCCCATTGTTTTCCGAGGCAAAGGACGACTGGATTCTAGATGTATGTGCCGGCAAAAGGATCATGCTCGGGCTTGGGCTTTGTTGTGGATAGTTTGCATTTAGAGGGGCATATAGCCATAGAACTTGTGTTAGATTAGCAGTATATGTCCGTTAGTGTGAAGCAATGTAGATGTTTCGAGAGTCCACCGGCCGGCAACAGACAACTCCCTCGATCTCCCCTCTGTTCTTTGAATGGAAGGTTTCCCGAATTGCGCTACTCGGCACGGGCCGCGTAGCTCATTGAACGTAATATCACCATGCCTGACTACTTATTTTTCTTCTTCTTCAAAAAATATATACATAAAAGTGGTGTCTTTTGGAGCTGCAAGAAGTGGTTCGCATTGGAGTTTTGCTGTCATGGAGGGCGCTAGCCTCGGCTCGATGGCAATGGAGCTAAGGTATCTAGCTCCCACAACAAATTTTTCACGATGTCAACCTTTGAGTCTCACTGACAGCAACAGCACTTCTACTCGCAAGGCACGCATTTTCGCTCTGGCGCGATTATCATGGATCCCAATCAGCGTCCCAAGCGACCCGCACCAGACCCACACTTCGAGCGGTTACATGGCCCTCCCTTGAGCTACGCGCGGTCGATTCAGTCAATCCTGCAAAACTACGATCCACAGCCTGCCCCCACCATCATGGATTTTCCTGCCGAGGCAAGCGGATTCTCTCATCCTACAGTGCCAAATGTTGTCGACTTCACCAAAGGAAAGGCACCTGCTAGAGACATGCCTCCTCCACCAACCCCGGGCTTGCTGAGCGATTTTCAGACCCCCTGTGAGGGTACTTGCTCCGTTACCAACTGTGAATCTGGATGCAATCCCTCGGTAGTTGGCTCTGGGACGTGTTCGTTGTCGCAGTGCAACAATTCAGATCAATGCACAAGCGAAGAGTGTTGCAGAGAACCAGCGTGCTTGGACCATGAATCCGTACCGACAACTCGACGTGAGTCCATCGACTTTAGCGCAGAGAATCAATATGCTTCTTCGTCTCAGCATCAATTTGCCAGCAGTGGCGCGATATTCCCAGCCTATGACAATCTACCGGGCTTCGACAACACCAATCACGACCCAATGCAGTGCCATTGGCTGCTTCCCGATCAAGAGTGCGACATCACAGCGCCAACCAAGGATGCTCTCAGCCAACATGTCTTCCACGACCACATCCAGCCTGAGACGAGCCTCGCGTGCGGGTGGTCTGACTGTGACGAGCAAATAGACGCGCAAGAGCTTACAACCCATCTATGGAACAGCCACCATCCCGAACAGCACGTCCCTGATTCCTATGTTTGCCTATGGGATGGCTGTATGGAGATGTTCTCGGATGCTGAGCAACTGGAGACGCACATGGAAGTCGCGCATACTCAGATGGAGAGCATTGATTGCCGTTGGGGAGGATGCGGCACAATCACCACAAACTCTGCTGAACTGCAGAGTCATGTTAACAGGGAGCATCTCCATCTCCACATCCAACCGGCTTTCTCTTCGTCGAACCTGGAAATGGGCCCATCGGACCGTCGTACTTCCCTACCATCCAAGCACCCCCTCTACTGGTCACAAGAGAACGACGATCTGCTTATGCGCGTACGTGCTCAAAACCTTACTTTCAAGCAAATAGCTTCGCAGTATTTCCCAGACAAGTCCGCCCAGGCCTGCCAAGTACACTATGCGGTACTATGGAATCGGCAACAGCAATCCGTCCCGCAGTCCACACAGCAGTCCACTCCGTTGTTGTCCTATTCACCCCTGCCACCTTCTTCATACGCCACCAGTCCGTACGAGCCTCACCATCCTTTGGTCGATCCTCCCTTGATGCAGACGTCTACGGCTCTTCTTTCGAAACATTCCACCCAGCTGGTTCTGGACCATCCTCCAACCCAAGGAAATCATGAGTGCATGTGGATCACAGATGATGCAACCGAATCACTCTGTGGAGCTCGTTTCGAAAATCCGAATGAACTACAAGCTCACGTCGAATCATTCCACTATCCTTTGTCTGACGATCGCAGGCGCAGGCCCGCCTCTCATTGGGTTTGTAAATGGATGGGGTGCGCACGGAAGGGCGAAACACGCGGAACTAGAGATAAGCTGAAGAAGCACATCCACTCTCACACAGGGTGTAAGTCGACTTCCATCATTTGAGAATCTTCGAAATAGCTCATACTTCACAGACTACTCGTTCTCTTGCCGGCATTGTGGGAAGAGATTCCGGGATAACACCAAACTTGCTGATCACGAACGCACCCATACGAAGGAGAAACCTCACAAGTGCGATGTGTGTGAGATGGCCTTTGCTAGCCGAGATGGACTGGGTAAGCTCAAGTATGCCTCTGAACTGCTACCCTACTGATCAATGCCTGCAGCAACTCATAATCGTATTCACACCGGGGAGAAACCTCTGGAGTGTGGAAAGTGTTCTTACACCTGCTCGGACTCGTCCAACATGACGAAGCACCGCAAATGTAAGTGCCGTCCTTTTTCTCACCGCAGCCGCCATATTGACAGGCGATGCAGCCCACGAGCCTCCTCTATATTCTTGCCCAACCTGCGGGAAGCAGTTCTGCCGAGCCGACTCGAGGGATCGTCACATGCGTTTACACGAGAAGGCAACTGCAGGACGTAAGCGCGTACACGGTGAGGTTGTTTAGGACCGAAGCACTTGATGGACTTGATGTATCACAATGAGGCTCGATCACGATTGCGATGAATTGATGTCTGGCATTTTCATGAGGATATACCCCTGCCTGGCGTGACTTTTACCGACGGAGATCATTCACCTCCCCATTTCTTACACTGTACAATAGCTACCTTCTGTGGCATATTCACTTGAGCTCATGAACATGAAAAAGACTGTAGCTGATCACCTTCGTCCATTATATGTGACTCCGTTACCTCTATCGTGTGCCGATAACGCTATAGTACAACTCAGTCCACAAATCGTTGATATTTTCCGGTCTATTGGGCAAGACAGAACCTCTAGGCTTGGCTGAGCCAACCACGGAGCTTATGGGCAATCTCCGGGTATGTTGCCCCCCCACCAAAGGCATCCCACCAAAACCGCATAGGACTGCCAAAAGTCGTCTGTTAACTACCATCACACAAACTCATTTCAGCATGTTCAAGAAAGAGCAAGTCCAAGATTCCTTCAAAGGATGAGCATATCTTAGCTAACATTACATACCAGCATCTCCGCTGGCGCAAAGTCCAAAGTCAAATCCTCCGTCCAGCGTGCCATCAGAACCAAAGTCTGCGAAACATACCCTCTTCTCGCGCCTCATATCGACGAGATAATACCCAAAAAGTCACAGCTAGATCTACTAAAGCTGTAAAGGCCCCCAAGTCCGTACGACAAGACCTTTTCATGCGTTGCGACTGCTGACCATGGGGTTTTCATTGCAGGCCTGATAGAGTCTCCCTTTACGCCCTCGACTCCACGCCCCTCTTCTGGCAACACATGGACGACCCCTTGATCCCCCACCTTCGAGTCGTGCACCAATTTCCTCAATGTTTTAACCGCATAGGCATCGACAGAGGGGCAATTCGTTTCGTATTATCAGGCGCAACACTCATGGCGCCCGGACTGACGAGTACTGGAGGGAAATTACCTGATAAGGAGAGAGAGTTGAAGGACGGGGATGTGGCAGTCATAGAGGCAGAGGGGAAAGAGGAGGCGTGTTTAGTGGGGCAGTTGAGAATGGGGACGGAGGAGATAAGGGACAAGAAGAAGGGGGTTGTCATGGATACCGGACACTTTTTGGGGGATGGGTTGTGGAAGATTAGCATTGATTGACGAAATCATGGCTAGGCATGCTGTTATGATGCACGATGAGCCGTGAGTGGGAGAGATAATGGTCATCTCGTGGGAATGTCCATGAGTTCTGAGGCCGCTCTTGAGGATGCTTAAGGCTTGGCCTGGGGAGGGGCTGTCAGAGTGAAGAAGTGCAATTGGAGAACTTCCAAGTACTGTAGATACCCATGTTAGAAGTACAAAGAAAAGATATCAGAGATCTATGCCTTGAACACATTGCAACATTTAGCGTCTGCAAAGTTAGGGTTACGGCCGACAGGGATAGCACTCGATGTTTCCCGACTCGAGCTCCTCAACTTTCCTTGACTCAAGCGATGTATTGGCCATTAGGTGCACCCAGAGTATATGCAGCGACTAGACGGAAAAAGAAACTTCCAGCCCCAGAGCACGAAGAGGAGGACAGCGAAGTTGTCAGAGAGAAGGCTACTAACATCCTGGGTCTGCGAGTGGCTCGTAATGGGCATGTTTTGGTCACGATTACAGAGACCACCTTGACCGTCTGGCAGACATCAGTATGTAGACTCCGCCGGAGTATTGACTGATTCTGACTGATCAATAGCCAGTAGTAGTGCTAGCCTCCGTAACACGCTCCATCCAATCCCTCAGCAATTACGGCCACAACGTGGGCGTTCTTCTCCGACCAGACTCTTCAGTAGCTGTCGTACAGACAGCCAACAGCTTTCTCGTTACTTACTCAATCATTCCCGATCCGACCGCTCGAGTATACCAACAAATTTGCGATAATGGACACGGCCGAAGACAGAGCAACGCGGACCGCTTGGCCGTGGAAGAGGAGAGAAGAGGTTTTCCGGAGGTGAACATTCGGTTTCGCATGGTCATCAAGGTTGACGCTGGGCTCAAGAAGGTTCTTGCGCTTGATGATGAGTTGGTGGTGGCTACGGAGAGACCGCCGGCTGTGCAGTGTATTCGATGGGCGCCAGATGATGCGGGGAAACAGACGAGCACAGAGCTGCTGAGCCGGATGAGCTGGATTCAGAAAAAGTCGTGCGTGACTGATATGGTCTATGATAGGGCTATGAGCCTTGCAGTCTGGATTACAAGCGAAGGTCATGCCTACGCTGTACAAAGACTGCCTCCGCAGCCGAAAGAGTCGGAGGGGCCGAAAAGGCTCTTCCGTGGCTACGGCTTTCATACGCCAGAACGAGAGGAGGACATGGCAACCAGAGCGGCAATAAATGCGAGGTTCTCTTTGTTAGCTGTAGGCTGTGGCAACGCTGAAATACACGTTTATACGGCAAGAGACTATGTTGGCAGCATTCCACTATCGCACAAGCTGGAACAGCCGGCGTCTATAGTCTCTACCGGACAGATCAGTACGCTAAGCTACTCCCCGGATGGCTACTGTCTCTTTGCTGGGTACGAGAAAGGTTGGGCGATCTGGAGTGTTTATGGCAAAATCCAAGGAAGCAGCTTCATGGCTGACCGCAAGATATCCGAAAACAATGGAGAAGGTTGGCTGCAGGGCGTACATGAAGCAGCCTGGCTCAGCGCTGGCTCAGAAATATTGCTTACAGGCCAGAACGATGACCGATTGTTCCTCCTTGAGATGGCAAAGAGTGCCGTGACTGGATGCTTCTGTGCAGCCAATGTGTCTCGCACAGTGTTATTGACCAGCTCAGGGCTCATGGTATACCGAGGATACGATCTACCCGTGCTCACAACAATCTCAGCCGATGCATCTTTGTGGCATCATGTGCAGATCCCCTCAACATATCTAGCGAACCAACGCCCGATACGGTCCGCTGTGATCTCTTCCGATGGCAGATACGTGGCGGTTGCTGGTAGACGCGGACTCGCACATTACAGTGTCACTAGCGGGCGATGGAAAACTTTCGATGATATGCAGGCTGAAAACACCTTTGTGGTTCGAGGCGGTATGTGCTGGTATCAACATATCCTGGTTGCTGCTGTGGAGACCGATGAGCATCACGAGGTCAGTCGAGAATGCTTTACGCCTTGACCATGAGCTAATAACGCGATAGTTACGTCTATACTCACGAGAACGTGGTTTAGACGACTCCTCTCTTCTCTACTTCGAACAGCTTCCTTCACCGGTCGTTTGCATCGCACTTACAGGGTCAGACTCGCTTCTCGTATATACTTATCAAAACATACTCTACCACTTCGTAATCAACGCCTCTTCCGAGGCTGTGACCCTTGTTCAGGTAGGGCAGATTGCCTTGAATGGCATTGTACGAGCACCTGCGCGAGTCAGGGCTGTCAGCTGGATCCTTCCCGACCACCAATTGCGTAAGTCTCGTATATCTTTGAATCCATGGTGCGGAACTGATCAATCCTAGGGGAGGGTGACCCATCGCAAGATGTTGCTCACGCGTCCGTGATCTTCCTCGTTGATGCTAAGCTTGTGCTACTGCAGTCCTCCACGAATGTTGGCGGCGACTTGAAGTACGACATGCGTGTCATTGCTAATAACGTGGAATACTTCGACCTCATGAGAGACCAAACACCGTTGCTGGAATCGCCCAGTCGCTCGCTGCCACCATCGCCAGCTGCTGAGGGAGCACTTGACGCATTCTACACAGATCGCGGGCTTAGGGACTCGCTCTGGTACTTTGACGGTAACGACATACAGTGCTGGATGGACGTCGAGGATCTCATCGAAGCAGCATCTACATCCAACGACAGAGAGTTACCACCTAGTGTCTCCATATCTGCAGATTTCTACCCTACTTCCATCGTCCTCAAAAAAGGCATCCTACTAGGCATAGATGCCGACCTGGTGCAACGGCGCGACGTGCAATTCGCCTTCTTCCGCTTCTCCATCCGGACGCAATTGTTCCTCCCACAAATTATCCAGCGCCACATCGCCCACTTCGACACGTCAGCTGCCTCAAACCTCGCCCACCGATATCAGGCGCTCCCTTACTTTTCACATGCCCTCGAGATTCTTCTTCATACTGTTCTGGACGACGAAGTCGATAAACCACCAGATCCTGAACATGCTCAGCTACCTGCTGTTCTCTCATTCTTATCTTCTTTTCCTGACTACCTCGATATACTCGTTCAATGCACCCGGAAAACAGAAGTTCGATCATGGCGAACCCTCTTCTCGCACCTGCCACCCCCACAGGAGCTTTTCGAAGCATCGTTGCAGAAAGGCATGCTCAAAACGGCAGGTGGATATCTGCTCGTGCTGCATACTTTCGAAGAGATGGAAACCAGCTCTGAGTCGTGCGTCCGACTCTTACAGCAAGCCAAAGAAGCTGGAGACTGGGACTTGTGCAAGGAACTCGCCAGGTTCTTAATGGCGTTGGATGAGACTGGGGATACTCTGAGAGCAGCATTAGAGCGGATGGATCTAAATTCAACGGCCACTGAGAATGACAGCGTGAAATTGAAGACGCCGCGGCCAAATACGGCCATGAAGCGGTATTCGACCCAGAGGCAGACCAATGGTAGGCCGAGTCCTGTGAGTAATGGGGACAAAAGCTCAGCGGGCTTGGGCCTAGGAATTGTGACAGGGCAAGATGGAGATAGTGAGGATTACTTTTCACCACGGAGAGCATAGCGTGGACGTTTGCTTGGTGATTTGGCTATGATAGGTGTCTCTCGGCCCCTTCTGCTACCATTATCCCTCACAACCCTACCGCCAACGCTTGGCAATGCTTAGCAAAGCTTGTGCACGACGACAAATGCCTTGATAAAACTCCACCCATTGATTCATCCTCATAACCTCATAAAATGACCCGTCGATTATAAATCTCCATCGTGCCCACCATCCAGCTCTTTGACCTTGTCCACTCGATGCCTTCCCCTCTGCACAACCAAGCCAATCTTCTCCAACCTCTTCCAAACCCTCTCAACCACATCCCTCACCCCAAACACCCCCCATCACCCTCCACACCCTCAACCCCATCCTCCAGCCCCAACACCAACCCCTTCCCCCTCCCACGTCCCCAACTTCGCGCCCCCGCTCCCCATCCACCTCATCCCCACCGTCCCAAATCCCAACCGGTATCCACATCCCCTTCTCCCCCGTGATACCGCTCAGATCCCTCCTCCTCCCGTTTCGAACCTGCGCTTCCGGGACGGCGGTGGCGGCGGCGCCGGCGAGCAGGGCGGTGGTGTGCATCGGTTTTTGCGCCTTCCATGCCTCGAGGCGCTGCTGGCGGGCTTCGGGGGAGCGGGGGTCGAGGACGATTTGGTGTTGTGGGCGGAGAGGGTCTGGGAGGGTGAGGGCGGTGGGTGCGAGGGCGAGGAGGAGGATGAGGAGGGTTTGGGGAAGGTGGGAGAGGTGCATGGTTGGTTGGTTGCTTGCTTGCTTGCTGCGATGGGTTGGGTTGATTTGGTGGAGGGTACTTCGGCGGAGATGGTGGGCTTGCTGTCGAGGCGATCGAGTGGGCAGGCGTGTGGGGATTTGGGAGACGGTCGGACGATGGTTGTGGAGGACAGCGAGTAAGTCTCTTGGGAGTGATCGAACGTGGTCGATTCTTGAGGCAGGATGCGATATTAAATGCAGAGCGGGTGAAACCAACAGTGTGGCCCGTATTATGAAACTCTGGTTCCCGCAGGCTGTACTACCTGTGTCGTAAATAATATTTAATGCTGTTCAGCCGTAAAAGTCAAATCAAGGAGGCTTGGGTAAAGACTGTAGCTTTGGACAGGTATGCTGTTGTTGTACATGCTCGCCCGCAGTAGTGTACGAGGTGGGGCCTCCACAACGAGGAGATGGAAACGCCATTTTCATCGAAGTGGGGTGCGTTCCAGATTCGCTGTTGGCTGCTGCACACCTGAAGCCAGGGAGAAAGGACGGCCAATCGAAGCGACATGTGCCGCCGTGGGAGTAGTGATATCCGACACTGCTCAGCCGATAGGCCTTTCGTCGTAAGTAAAACTCAGCCTTATCGATATCCTGCTCGCCAAGGCTTCCTTGCGCCCACTCGGCTCGCTCCCGGTACTTTAAGCAGGTTCTAGGCTCGCCGCATCAACAACTTGACCGGTCACCACCACCTCATGCAAACAGACGGAATGAGCCCCTTTAATGGTTTACTATGCTGATGAAGAGCATCCGAGGAAGAGGCTGAAGCTTTGGGATAAGAGCGCAGCGCATTTGGCTCCGGGCAGCATGGAGGATTTCAACAGTGAGACGGATAGTGATTATACGAGTTACTGGAGAGATTGGGTGAGTTGAGAAGTTTCTTTCGGCTTTTTTAGAGATCAATTCCCATTTTTGATGCCCTGCTTTGTCTTTGGTCTACGTAAAAGGCCTTACTAGGCCTCTGTGGCTCCTGCTGGACTGCTCTCCACATCGCGATCGTGGATACCGAAAGCAATTTGGGGATTTCAGGAGCAAAGCTTCAAGAGGGCAGATACATTACGGGCTAGCCCCATGTCTTCAGGGGCGCTCCTTCCTTGCCTTGTTGAAAAGCCAAGTAGCAGAATGGACGAATGATCTTCTTGACAATCATTTGCACAACATTTCCTCAGCGTTGCATTCATGGGTTACCTCGAGAGGATTGATGAGGGCGACGGTCCATTGGATTTTGTGCGTGATAGTTTTATCCACATTCATGCTTGGTTGTCAGAGAAGAAGGTGGATGCTGATGAAGCGGAGCTCCTGGCGGATATGACTCGGAAGGTTGACTGGAGCGACTACGTTGAAAAGAAAGGTTTCGTCCGGCTGATGGAATACTTCTCTGGGCGAGATTCGGTATCTGAGGACCTTACATGGGCTGGTGTCGTAGGTCTCGATTGGACTTGGCCGTATCATAGCTCCTGGCTTTTTTCTCATGTCGAGCTCCATGTTTTTGCTCTAGTGTTATTGATTCAAACACCAACAGAGGCGTACACTTGCTGACAGGTCTCTGTGCAGTTCATCTCATCTCGAGGCAATGAATACTTCTGCGAGATCGACGAAGATTATCTCACAGACCGCTTCAACCTTACTGGGCTCAACACGGATGTGCAGTATTATCAATACGCTCTGGACCTCGTCACTGACGTCTTTGACCTGGATTGTGACGACGATATGAGAGAGCAGATCGAGAAATCTGCAAGGCACCTGTACGGCTTAGTCCATGCACGATACATCACGACTACGAGGGGGCTTGCGAAGATGGTAGGCCAGAACGCTCGTCCGGGACCCATCATTCATGCTGACCTCTATAGCTCGAGAAGTACAAGAAAGGTGACTTTGGCAAATGCCCCCGAGTCATGTGTAACGCACACCCTCTTCTCCCTACCGGCATGGCAGATCTCGCTCATGTCCAGTCCGTCAAGCTTTATTGTGGCAAATGCGAAGACCTATACAACCCCAAATCATCTCGCCATGCCAATATAGACGGTGCTTACTTCGGTACATCATTCCAGAATATCCTATTCCAGGTCTACCCTGCTCTAATCCCAGAGAAGACTATTGAGAGGTACCAGCCTAGGATCTTTGGTTTCAAAGTGCATGCAGCTGCTGCGCTGGAGAGATGGCAGTCAGGAAGGAGGGAAGAGATGCAAGAAAGGCTGAAGGATGTTGGGATGGAGAAATGCTTCAAGGAAGATGTGGAGCTCGAGGATGATATGGAAGAAGACGAGGAGGAGGTTGCGGGCTTGGATGGAGCTGATGATGTGCTTGCTGAGTAGGAGCAGGATTCGAGGCCTTTAGATATGGATTTGATGCATGGCTTATGGCGTAGGACGGTAGATACCAGCGACTTTAGGGGTACATGATTGGCTTGCACATCTTGAGAAAAGATTAGCCAGCAAAAGAGCTCACAGTGTGCCAAGCCGTCTCAGCCCTACTGAAATATATCTTAGTGTGGTATGTAAAACCACCGCACAAGTCTCCAAGTCTCTGCAAGCTCGGCAAACCTCTACATCCATGCCACTCACTCTAACGACCTCGCTGTTCGCGGTACAGCTTGGATCCAGGATGCGTGGCATCTGCAGAGGCTCATTCCACGTCTCGGGCTGATCGTGTATTGTTAGTCACCTCCCAGCAAATGCAATCCTGCCCCCAGTGCCCCCAAAATGATGAGCTTTTTACGAACAATCCAAATCCTATAGCATCATGCAGGAGCACTATACTCTAGAATTACTCTGACCCTTACTTTATACTGCGTCTTGGTGTCTACTTGCGATCTAGAAGACACCTTGCTGACCCTTCACAGAATAGTGATATGCTCCAACTCGATATCGAGTTCGAGATTCCCAACAGCCAAGACCACCAGTAAAGACATTTTCGATCTTTCATGCAGCTGAACAATATCCATGCACCCGAATATCAAGCAGACCGAGCCTGATTGTGATGGGATGGCGGACCTGATCGGGCTTCAAGTCCACCGGCAGTACTCCTTCGATGCTGTCTAGGTGTTAGACAGTTTCCCTGCGCGCGTCGGACATTATCAAAGGTACAGGACCTTTACTCCTGCATTGATCGATCTCCTCTAGATGATGACCATATGACACGGAAAGGCATTCCTCAATCCGAACAATTAATGTCGATTCTGTCTCTACAAAGTTTCAGCCTTGTCTGACCTACAATCTTTCACCCACTTGTTACATGCTCAATTTTTTGGGTGATCAAGGCTAATCTGGTGTCATTGCGTCAGGTATGATCCGCTTTGCTGTCCTCCGTTTGCGGCTACATACCATTCCTTTACATGAAGAACTTTGAACGAACGGGCGGACAGATTGCGTACTCGTCTGCTGGCACCAATCTGTGCTGGAGCGTACAAACTTCAGCCGGTGTCAGGAAGATGATGTACTTGTTGAGAACTCGTCAGCTGAGCCATTACACATCCCGTTATCTTTTCGGTCGACCACTTTGCTTGGAGACCATACTAACAGCTTCTTAAGTAGGTGATTGGCCTGCTATCTCTTTCCAAGCATGCAATTCGTCTCTTGAAATGATGAACACTATTCACACTGTTTGAGCCGGGAAACGCCTTGTAACGAGGGCACCTTTCGGTGATGAACGTACAAACACTGAAAATTCTGATTTAATGAGGTATGTTACGAGACCCATCCCCTGCGTCTTCAGAAGTATGGCTGACAAGGTGCTAAGCCTGATTCACAGATGATGATTGCGATCCCACTGAAAAGCTATTCTCTTCATTTGATAGATCTGTGGCTGACTCTTGATTGGCTACGAAGTGTAGGCGCAGATAACAAGATTCAGCTGACCACCTCGTACGTACTCAGGTCAGTGGCCTTCCTTCTCTTCCATTACATACTACCTGATGAATCCAAATATTCGCTGTGTTCTTTCCGAGACACGTCATTGAAGAAACATATATTTCACCTTGGAGAACTGATACCTACTTCCCAAAACATAATCGCTTACGCATGATTTTCCCTCTGTGCAGAAGCTGATGGATTGCAGGTTGTTAACTGCGAGAAACAGACGTTCTTGCAGCTGCCGAGAAGCAAAAAGCCTTTCCATATTGTGGCGGCGGGCGTTAGGGATTGTGCAGGAGCAAAATCAGTCAATCGTGTCCATTTCGGCGTCTCTATAGCCATAGCTAGCGAATCATGACCATGCTTCTCCCACATGCTTCAGCGCTTGATGCATGCGTCTATTGACATATAACACACAAATCTTGCTACCGCCAGCCCCCAACCCTCCCCCTCATCCCACCGCTCCCTCGCCTCCTTCCTCCTCCAAACCTTCACCCTCCCCTCCCTATACCCCCTCAAAAACTCCCCCACCTCCCTCTCCCCCACCTCCCCCTCCCCATCCAACCAGCTCCCCTCCAACCCCTCACACCACTCCTCCCCCCTCCCTCTCCCCCTCCCTCAGCCTCTGATACAGCACCTTGGCACTCCACGGCGCCAACTCCCGATCCATCAGCGCCTGCTTCTCCCGCCACTGCCGCTCCAGCGCGTGCAGGCGCAGCAACTGCGACTGCGTCCGCTGGCGCAGGGCGAGCAGGTGCGCGCGCTGCGCCGTGAGGTGTCGGGCGAGGTTTTGCGTCCGCTCCAGGTGCGGGGGCAGGGGGGACGGGGTGAGGGATGGGTGCTGGAGGGAGAGGGAGCGGAGGAGGGGTTCGTTTTGCAGGGCTGCGTGGAGGGTTTGGGATCTGGATCGGTTCGGGGTTAGTCAGGGTGTTTAGGGGACGGTTTTTGGGGATGGGGATGGGGATGGGGTGGCGTACGGTTTGTCGAGGAGGATGTCTGGGAGCCAGTGCTCGGATGGGTTGGGCGGGGGAGGGTTGCTCGGTTGGGAGGATTGCGGGGGGGGTGCTGGGGTGGTGGTGGTGTGGGAGGGTGTTTGGGGGGGGACGGGGTGGACCGGTCGTTGTGGGGGTGTAGGATGGTGTGTATGAGGGCGTTGGGGCCATGGATTGAGGGGGTTTGGGCGGGGGGTGGGGGGCGGAGGATGGGTTGGTGTAGCTGGAGAGGGAGGTCGGGGCTGAGGATGCCATGGTTGGACTTCAATGGGGTATACGGGTGGGTGAGCTCTGATTCTGGTTGCCTTATCGATAAATTACGAGGTATCTTTAAATTACACTAGTGCCGTTGATAGGGAGATTTGCTGTGGCAGTGGCACCGTCGCCGTCTTTGCATTCCATGTTCTCTTTGCAGGCTCTGCATCAGGGTGAGTTGTCACGAAGATCGCTTGTGTTGTATTGGATCCACTTTATAAGAGTGTCCGTGCTCGATCCGTCAGCTATCAAGCGATTCCTCGTTCTTGTCCGTTTCATGCTCAACCCCAGTATTCAAGCAAGGCAATAGGGCGTAGACCGCCTTGGCCAGTACCATTCTCTACTTTATGGCATGCTATCTTACGTCGTCTTAGCTTGAGACTCTGCTGCCCAAGTTGCGTGTTGTCTCTATTTTGAGACTTAGTGCTGTTGGGTTCACTGGCACTACTTATCATGGTGGTCATCCAGAATGATTTATACGCACAGACTCCCCCCCCAAAAAATCCATCGTTTGTTTCCTATGCATGAAAATCCGAGGCTGAAGACCACGCGGATTGGGTCTTACCCAATCACCGTCATGTCAATGATGACCAACTTACCTACATCAAAATGTTGGAGGTGTCCAGAAATGGGTGGCAAAGACACCAAGGATGGCATGCTTACGCTTCGCCGAAAGCTTGAAGAGTCCACGTGCTTCATCCTTTGATGGACTAGCTGGTCAAAAGCGGTGGCGACTTCCTCTTACGGCCCAGATTGCATGCAAACGTTGATATCTATATAATGGAGGGTAGCATTTTCAGATACTGTGCCGCCGAACGATGCCATCATCATAATTGACATCCGAGGTCCGTTTGAACAGAGCTGATTTCGTTTGTCTTCTGATGTCAAAAGTGCGTGTCAAAATGTCCGATATGCTGAAGGCTTTGGCAAAAACCATGTGGCCTCAGGCGCATATTACCCCAGAGCTTGGCAACGACCAGGTTGTAAAGCTGTAAGCGCTTGAATCGCGACCCCAAAGCTTCAAAGCAGCGTCATGTTTCCGAAAATCCCGACATCGGGTCCTGTCGACTTGAGACAGGCTAAGTATGCAGGTGCCACGCCATTGCAAGGACTGCCCCTGAAGAAAAGATGGCGCCACCCGAGGCGCTCAAATCGCAAGTCGACATCGTTCTTCCGCCAGATGGGATCTTGCTCCCAGCAGGCCGTAGAAACATTACTGGTCCTTCTAGACGGTTTCCATATTCGAAATCCCGTCCAATAGTGTTTCAATAAACACTTATGAGACTGCGGATAGTACTCAACACATGCCAGGCACGAACAGCGCCTGTAGTAATGGTCCAACGGTCAAAATGAGAATCTGCGCTTGCGGGCGCCATGAGCTATTTATGGAGATGATACTTTCGAGATCGTCTTCGCCCGAGAAAGTCTCTCTTGTTGGCCGTATTTTGACTGTCGGCGATGTCCAACATGAACGCTGAGAGCCTGACTCCTTCCGAGTAAAAAGGAGCAAAATCGTCGCGAGAGACGAAAAAGGACCGATGATATGGTTGCATGTTGATTAGTGTTTACTATCTTTAAGGTACTTATGTATATATAGCATTTGGCAAGTCATGGCGATAAGTTCTTGCCCAGACTACGCCCATGCGTCCTAACTTGTCACACGTGGCGCAGAGGTCAAGGGCCATAAATAGCAGAGCATATTCCGCGAAATGCCAGCGATGAATATGATGCATGATAATTTCAAAATCTAGGTATTATTGCTTGCACACGATCATTAGAGATCGTCAGTTGGTCATAACGGTCGCATGTTTCAATGTTTGACTTGCATTTTGGCGTACCAAGGGTTGGGACTTGGGATAGTTGATCCCTCGTGGCTGTTGATCCTTCCCGCCTTTGAAAGGTCTTCCCCTTTAACCACGCAATTAGGGGCCACAATATGATCCAATAATGATGTGTTTTCGTAGTGTTTCTATCCCAATCATAAATGTAGTCAGCACGCCATCAAACCCTCTAATCCATCATCCGCCTCTCGCTTGCTCCTCTCTCTCAGGGCATCCGCACTGCATCGCTACGGGCCGGCAGCCATTTGGAACATTACCTGAATGATGGATTTTTCTTACATGCACAGAATGCAACCTGCCAGTATGACAATCCCTCGTAATGCAACCAGTTGATTCAGCATACGCCCTACTGAGCCTTGCTGAGCCCTACTGTGGAGGAATCGGCACGAGTTTCTGCGCTTGGCATCCTTGCATTGGTCGCTACCGAGGTGTTTCATCTTTGGTCGCTCTTTCCGCCTTGCCTTGCGGAACATCAACATCTCCACATCACCATCTCCTCCCACAACACCTCCCTTTCGACACTCTCCTGTTCTAAGAGACATACATGACATCACAGAATCCCATGATATACGGAGGCTGATGCGCATCGGGGAGAAAGGCTGGCAAGGGCAAAAAGGTTGGAGGAGTGAGGAAAGGAAGGGGCTTGCGAGACTGTACAGGCGACCCAGGGACAAACATTACGCCATTCAATAATCGACATGATACGATAGTTGTTTTCCATCGTGAACATACTCAATTCGCCACTGGCAAGCGCCTGGTTGCTCTCGCCATCACCTTAACCCATCCTTTGGTCCTGTGCAACCTGGGCGGGAATAACCCACAACAATGGTCGTTCCAGCGCCACCGGTACCATTGAACGACCATTGCTCCATAATATACAATGGCGTTCTCTACACATACCAAGCAAACGCTTTCCAATCGCTGGCCCTCCAAGATGGCGCAACCTGGACACAATTACCCATGGGCGTACCCACGAATGGCTCCACCTGCGTTGAAGGCGCTTACAACGATGACAACTCGCTTATTGTTGTAGGCGGCTCCACTTCGACTTCAAACTATCAAGGCATACAATCCTTTTCATTTTCTACCAAGACATGGACATCCCAGTCCCCTCTGGACGCCGTCGCTGCGAATCGAGTGGACCATGGCACTACATACCTACAACAATCCTCATCGATCCTCATGTACGCTGGTACTCAGAACAATGACTATGGGCCTTCATCACAAACTTTCCTCATCCAAACAACATCACCTTACAACGTTCAAGCCTTCAACTCTATTGCGCCACCAGTCATCTCACCGCTAGTGCTACCGTTTAATACTACACATGCATTGATGCTGGGAGGGGATCCGACGAACACGAAACTCTTCACGTTTGGCCCTGTCGAAGGGTGGCAGCAGCTGGATGTCAGCTTGCAGAATGCTTTGAGGGATTCATCCATGGTACAGGCTACGATATTAGACGGAAGCGATGGGAGCAAAGTACTGGAAATCTTCGATTTTAGCACATCGCCAAATCAGATCTCAACGCTTCTTCTACAAAATGCGACGAACACGCCACCATCTACTAAGAGGTCATACTCAAGATCCGCACACCACCCTGCGAAACGACGGAAACGGGATACGACATTAGCCGATAGACCAGCCTACAATAATACTCTTGCACCCCAGCAGACTCGAACGGGGTACTCGCTTGCGGAGGATCCAAAGTCTGGCCTGATCGTTGCATCGGGTGGAAACAGCCAAGATCCATTGGCGATATTTAATCAAACAGGAAACCAATGGGTTGATCCCAACCAGTTCTTTGGTGATGAACCAGCCCCGAGTTCAACGTCATCTACTCCTACCACAGCTGCGACAGGCACTAGTGCAAGCGGTACAGCTTCACCGAGCCAACAAGCAGCCAACACGAATGTACGGAACAAGTCCCTGACTATTCTTGGGGCTGTTCTAGGCGGCGTGTTTGGGCTTGCAGCTCTTCTAGTAATCCTTCTACTTCTCTTACGGTACTGTCGGAGGAGAAGAGACAAGAAGCGTGAGCAACAAGCAAACAGCTACGCACTCGAGGATAAAGCAGAGATGGACTTTCGTGATGTCGGAGCACCCTTTATGAAAGAGGCCGGAGGCAGCTTCGTTGAACCCGATCACAGGAGGAATAGGTCTGACAAATTGGGGGCTAGCGCCAACGCCAATGTCAAAGCTCAAGAGCGAGGAGGCGCGGCTTCTTCCCAATCGAAACGTGCACTACTTCATCACCAAGGTGACAGTGCCGGGAGTGCGCATTCGTTTTGGAGTCGTAGATCTCCAGAAAAGTCGCCGCCTACGATATCTGCACCCATCATGGGCCCTCCAATTGAGGAAACTCTGAGGACATCTCCGGATCCGAGGACCGACCCTCGAACAGACACGGGCTGGAGCAGGTATTTCATCAACAATAACTCCAAGGATCTCAATTCTATGCCGCTGGGGCATGACCAAGAAACAAGGCCGCAAACCTATTTCTCGGGTGAGGGTGAATCGGAATACGATTCATCCAACCCCCACGAGTCGGCTGAAGTCGAACCTCTCAATATTCGCGCTTCTCAAAATCCTTCGCTTTACCCGCCGAACTCTCGCGTCCTGTCTCCCACCGGTTTCCCTCACCCAGTTCAAGGGGTCCCTATCACGCACGGTACCAGACCGGACCCAAGAGATGAACCATCCCCGCCTTCGACCCTCGTCTCTGACATTGACGAAGAAGATGAATACGCAAGTCACTCTCACAGTGATGGACAGGAATCTTGGGATCCAGTAGCTTCCGCAGGCGAGCGAGGAAGTTCCTGGACAGAAGATCGACCGATCAGCGACTATGCCGACAGCAGGATGAAGGCGGATAGTAGAGTCCCCGTCGATAGCAGGGTCAACAGCAGGATTTATCCACATCCTGGCGAGCGGGTGCGAATACCAAACTTCCCGACCGTGCCCAATAGCCAGGGACCGTCAGGGGTGAACACTCCCACATCACCCGTTGATGATCCGAATAGAGGTCTGAGAAACGTTGCGTCTCGCGACTTTGCTCGGACAGCAAGTGGGAGACGGATTCCTCATAATGCCGCCGTGGCTAGTTACAGTGCGACTCAGGTGAGGGAGCGTGCAGTGCCTGAAGAAAGTACCAGCAGGCAGCCGGAGTATGGCGCAGCTCAAGTGCGGACGTTTCCCCGAAAGAAGGAGGAACTGGGGCCCAGAGGACGAGGAGGCAGGGAGACAGAGGACATGAGCTGGCTGAACTTGGGCACGAGTGCCGAGCAGAGCAACAATCACCTTCGTTTTGCGAGTTAATGAGCATCAACAGCACGCATTTGAAGGGTATGACAGTGGGGGCATGGGACCAAGGCGTTATCGGAGCACCATCGGCGAATACCAAATCAACACAAGAAAAGGGGAAGGATTTTAGAGCATTCAATTCTTACGATCATTAATCACACTGTACAATGTACCAACACCAATACCGACGACACAGGTAACGCTTAATCAGCATGCTGGTCTACTATTATCCATGAGGGTTTTGTCTTCTGGGAGGCATGCGGAAAAGTGGGAGGATGAAAGGGGTTGGACTAGCTGAGGCTGTTGGATGGGATGGATGATGCATGGCTGATGATGGAGATGAGAGGGAAGGAAAGGAGATGTATCCTAGCTGCATGCATGCGTATGAAGAAGGAATCAAAGTCTTGACATCTACGTCGCTTGCCCATGACGATCCCAAATCCAGCATCAGCTGCAAGCAGTAAGGTCAAGAGTGCTTGCTAGCAGTCGCAGGTGATTGCATAGCAAGGTACTGTACACTCTGTTGGCAATGTTTGCGTTGATTTTTCCTCATGGCCACGGTATCCTGCGCTAACCGCTTACAGCAAGCTTCAGCCCTATCAACCTCACGCTTTTTGGAGACTCTTCTTTTTCTCTTGACCGGCGAGATCTCCAAACGCTGGACACGCTTCTTGATGTACCATCCGGTGGGATTCTAAATGTGATAACGCCATCGCGCCGGTGCCGTCTATCTGCCGGTACGCTCTTGCGGGTCTGTTCCGTCGGTGCGAAGGAGGTTCGTCTTCGAGCTTTCCCGTTGACATTCGAGGGCGTCGGCGCGAGAAGTCGTGTGCGAATATTGTCTTGGATGGATCAGGTGCATAGGCGTCTGCTCATGGTTTTCTGGGTGGTCGGTTTCGATCAGATTGTGGGGGGAGGTGTTTGACGTGACTGCTGCCTCGTTGAGATTCCAAGAAAATCCTCCACGCGTCCACTTCCTCCCAAATACCTCCTCACTGTCTCGTCTCGTCTCCAGCTGGGTGTACAGAGGCTCAAGACTGCAACTCCTTGACGCCATGCTCCGCTGTTATAGAACGGTCCCTGAAGCGTGGATTTCGTTGAAGTCTCTGTTCATCTCCTTCAAGAGTTTTTGAGTAATCATCGAACACGATGCGCTGCACTAGCCATCGTCTTCGCGGCGTCCGCTATGCTTGTGATGTTGCCGCTCTAGGGCGGAATTGGGCTGTGGATCTGGCTATGCCTCGGCAGTCAGTACTCTGGTGAAGCGCGTTGCAGAGCATATGGATGGAGATAGGAGGCTTGGAGTAGGGTATGACGGGGTGGCACTGAGCTTGGAAGAGGGGGATGGCAGCGTCTATTTAAAGGGTGAGTCTGAAGCAGATTAACCGAGCTGTTTGGTAACGGAGCTTCAGATGATGCATCTTCCCCCCCCTTAAAAAACCTTTTTTTTTGCCCCCTTTTTCCCTTTTTAAAAAAAGTTTTTTTTATTTTTTGGAAAAAAAGGTGGGGGTTTTTCCCCCATCGAACAGCGAGACAGCCTTCCATGCTGTCCAGGAGATAAAGGGAAATGTAGCGCCGCTTTTATTTTATTCTATCTTTCTTCTACTCCAAACGGTCACAAGCCTCTGTCATCTCATCATCAGTAGAAGCTGCGACCCTGCAAGAGTAAGGAATACCGTTTGCAGACATGAAGTATTTCCAACACTGAGATATGAAGCGAAGGGCGGTAAGGTCATCAACATCTATCTCTATGGCAAGTCTAATGTATAAATTCAGGATCGAAGGCTTTGCCTATCGTTGGTCCTAGGAAAGAACCCAAGCCCTCGACGTTGATCTTCTGATCTCAGCTTGAGAAATGAGACAGATCCTGCAGGGACTCGGACTGACTTTGTGTAGGGTTTGAAAGCGATTTGTAGTAGTGCAAGCTGTGGTGGAAGGGTCTCAACCATAGGGCAGATCAACGAGAGGTATCATCCACTATCTGGGCTCTTTGTGAAGTATTTGTGACTGCTGCAAGTGGCTTTTAGGCCACTTTGAGCTTTTGATACCCCTTTTCTACCATTTCGAATTATGAAGCATAGTACTTGTTTTCTTACCGCATGGCAATATGGTGTCTTCTTCGCGGAGAAATTTGCCAAGGGAGACTTGCGCGAGCGTTGCTAATGTTCAGTGTGGTACGAGAATTGTCCCCCTCATCTGCATTCACCCTTCGATTCCATTGGTTGCAATCTCCGTCCATAGACTGCCTTCGGTCCCCGGACCGCTCAACCTCGGTCCTCGTGACTGTGAAGGCAATCTTACACCGCCTCTCATGTCCCATGATTTCCTTTCGTTTCGCCTTCGTCTTTTCCCACACACACACGAAACGTCTCCTTCACTTCTACTTGTTTCCCCCACTTTTAAGGCAGGGAATCAAAGTGTTGACACTTCAAGGAGGTCCGAAGAGAATGAAGTGAGTATTAACGTCACAATACACTCACCCTATTGGATCCTCATTATCGCTGACCATGAATTCAAACACCCTAACAGAACAGACCTAAATGGCCTCTTCCTCCAAAAGTGTGCCATCTCTGCCGAGTTACGGGTCGGAAGGGTCGAGCAACGACGTTTTCCCCCCAAGGAAGACCAAGCTGCACTCCCTGAGGCAGATGAACCCGCACTCCCTACCATCACCGCCATTCGCATCCCAGCCGACGGCACCCTACCCTGCTTGATCACCCTCCAACTCGTCAAGGCAACCTCAAACTACCACTATAGTCTCTACGACTCCAACCTGTTGCGCCACTCAAATGCCGATGACATGCGGGACATCAATCGTCACTCCTGTAAGTTTTTCAATCCAATGGTCGATGATGCCCAGATCGACCTCGATAAATTGTACGACTCGAGAGACAGTTTGTACGAGAAAGCGACCTGGAGCCTGGAAGAACTTGAAAATCATCCCGGTCTACATGCCCACTCATATGTCAAAGGCACTGACAAGTTTCTTGACGTCCCACTCGCCGAGAAAACAGAAGAACCTCATTTGACCTTCACACACGCCAGTCTACGCCTTCAGCCAAATGTCGTCGATCCATTCTGGGGATCTGGAGAAGCCTGGAATCACCGTGCCTTCCAACGACTGTACGCCGTCCCACGCGAGTATGCCGACCTGGAGATGATGACCGGCGAATACCACATCATGTACACTCAAACTCTAGGAATGGGCTTACATCCTAACAAATGGGCAAGAGATCGTGTATTTGGTGACGCTTTCGTGTTGAAGATGGCGAGTGGGAAGAATGACGAGGGCGATTGGTATTATGAGAACATGCCACAGAAAATTCTGCACTGCTCGTTGGGGAATCAGTGTTTGGAGACGCTGAGGAGTGTGAGACCGATTGCTTGGAAGTTTATGGTGGGTGAGAGAGGCGGTGGGCCACCTGGGGTGATCTCGCCTGGTACAGGGCTGAGAGGTATGGTCACCGGAGTCTATGTTACATGAGTCTCTGACTGTTTCACAGACTGAGGGGTTATGTTTGGAGGCTTAGTGTTTCAAGCGTGTTAGAAGCGCTGGCGGGCTACCCTTTCCATTATACAAAGCTGGTACTCCCTGATTAATATTGACTTTATACAACAGACAAATCTCTTCCCTCGTCGTCACTTTTCTTCTCACCCCGCTGTTCGTGGAGTAATCACAACACAGCATCACCATACATGATCAAGAGCATCATGATTTCTGGTTCACAAAGCAGATCAAGAAACATCGTCAGAGACATCATATCCGGGCTGATGTAAGTCTTTTACTTCACAGGTGCATCTTACACTGACAATCCAACTTCAGGACTCAGTGAATCCAGTGACGGTCCCCACATCTATTAAAGCTTACATCATTCCTGCTGACGGAAGTCGCCCGTACTTGGAAGAAATTCAACCACCGAAGAGCCTATCTTAACGCTCACTCGCCCCAATGAGGTCGATTCAGCAACTGGAGATATCCTGAGTTACATCGACAGGAGAGACGAAATCGCTTGGTTGTTCTTACACTTGCCTGAAGATGTTCTAAAGGACGGTGACGAGGGAATGCCCAAAAGCTTAGAGGATCTGCGCCGTAATGAGGGGGTTTATCAGCCTAATATTCGCCTCTTACCCGACACCCGCTTGAGATGGAACGATGAAGGCTGGAAAAAGCGCGGCCTGTACGGAATGGTTGGATATCATCTGTTCTATACACTTACAAAAGGAGAGCCTCTGACTCCGAATCCATACGTTGCTGGTAAAGTGTCCGGCGATATGTTCCTTCTGCAAGCTTCGGATGACATCGATAGCGGTTGGCGGCGGTTCTATGTGGACGTCAGTTCCGAAATAGGGTTTTCGAGCCAGGGGGGGAAGACATATATTGAAGACCCTCACATTGGTCGTTTTGAAATACAGATGAGGAGCGTTGAGCAGCTTGGGGGATCATGGACGCGCTACTACTTTGTCCTTACTGTCGGATTAAGCATGCCGGTTTTACAAAGCAATTCTACGACAATAGCCTACAACCTGTTCTCTCCATGGTCATATTTCAGCGCTGAGACGTCGTAGTATCCCTCGTTTCAATCCTGACTCTATTCGGCGGCTCCTCTACCGCCCAGTCATCGTATCCCGAGATCATGGCGGATTTAAAATTCCTGGAGAGATGCCTCGATTTGCTTGGCAGTATTTGTCCCCGCAGAGAGTTGTGAGAGTGGATTGGGCAGCACAGCAAGGCGGTCAAGTCTCGGAGAGCTGAAACATATTGTATATCTTTGATATTGGTTGGGTAGGCATGCCTGTTTCACAAAGAAAGGCATCTTCTAAAGGTACATGTCCGAAGCATGAAACTCATATGCAATCATCTGCCACCGCTGAGATGTTGCATTATGCCTTGTTTGAAGACTCTCTTCAGGGTATCCGTGGACGCCCAGTCATCGTGCCTCTTTCGATCTTCAAACCCTTGACGTGCTTCGTGCCATCTGATACGAAACGCACAAGCCATGACATCTGCCTAGACGTTCCAGGCAGTGCATGAGTTTCACTTCGCCTTTTGTCGGGCAGTACTCTTCCACTACATAAGCCCGCTCTTTCCCCGTTGCTTTTGGCTTCACGCATCACACAAAATCTTCCTCTATCCTCTTTCCACTTCTCATCTCGCTCCACACCGAACAACCGCAACACACCGTTGCTTTTGACATCAGACATCACATAAACTCTTCCTTTATCCTCTCTCCCGGTCTCAACTCGCTCCCTGTCAGACAGCCGCATCACAGCGTCATCCAACTCATCGTCAACATCATCATGGACGCCCCAAAACAAAATCATGATGACGGTCCTACGCTGAAGACAGTAAGTTATCAAGCTCTCATTCGCATCCTACACTAATGACTTTACTTCAGCGCTCCGATGGCCCAAAGGCAGAGCCTGAAGAAACGGCTCCCTCCCGTGTCCAAGTGTTCGTTCTCCCTGCCGATGGAACCTCCCCCGTACAGAGTTCCTTCCAACCATCGATACGATTACAAAAGTGTACTCGTTCCCCGGTACAGAGTTCCGGCCTGTCATCAACCCGTCTAGCGAAACGTCCTCGGGCCCCGCTAGACGCGACGACACAACTCAAGCAAATGCGAATGACCACGTGGTGACCAACTCCCAACTCACGCTACCTGACCCTTGTCACGGACACTGGCCCGCGGACGCCTGGGAAAAACGAGGCGTATTCGGAGGAGGTTTCTTCCACTTCTTAGTCACGCATCTGGATGAAGGGTTGCATCCCAATCCGTGGACGAAGGGGATATTCTTCGGCGATGTCTTTGTCCTGGTTTTTTTCGGCACCACGGGTTCACCGGTACTTAAGGACATTTTCCCCAAGGCCGAGGCCACGCCAGAGCTAGAGTCGGCCCTTTTGCAGCTTGTCCCTGCCTCCTTTTCGGCTTGAGTGGCTCAGGATCTTGCTTGCGAGATTGGCACAGCAGACTTGGAGGATTGAGCGGCATTGAGGAGCTTAGGCGATGTTGGCGACTTAGATATGTTGGATGCGCTACTACACTGTCCTTACTGCTGGGTTTAGCATGCCTTTTTCTCGGAATCATCTTGCATATACTGTCTCTACTGTTTGTTAGGCGTGTCCGCTTCACGGAGTTGTCGTAGCAATACTGTCCTTACTGTTGGGTAAAGCATGCATAACTGGCGAGATCGTCACAATAGCACTGTCCTTCCTGATGGGTTAGACGAGCTTTCTTGCTCAAGAAAAGCAATAAGCAAGACAGCGTCCCAGTATGATTCTTACTACAACCATATCCAGTATCCCTTGTCACAAAAGTGACTCTCTCCGACACGTGCTTTACTGTTTGACCATTCTACCCTCTTGGGTCCCTGTAGACCTTTTGCCTATGACATGACAACCCATCAACGAAACAATCAGCTAAAACATATGTTTGGAAAGTCGTTTCAGGCAGCGCTGAAGCCTCACCGAATGTCTTCCGGGCAGTCCCTTCTCTTCAACTTCTGCCTCGGATCTACTGCCTGCGAACTCGAAGACTTGACCAAGACAAGACGTATCGCCAATGCATAGGTTAGAGAATGTTTCCCCAGGTTTCAGACTGTGACTCTGTTTTTCTGCTTGCCTTTCGGGCAGTCCTCTCTTTCTCTATTTAAGATCAGTCCTTCTCCCTCGTTCTTGTTTCTGAAAACATACAACTCCTTGTACATCCTCACGGCCCAATTCCCATCCCATTCGCGATCACATCACCACAGTACCATATCGTGGGAGACACCATCAAGAAGATACCAAACACATCATTAAAAGACATCTCAGCCAGTCAATGTAAGTAGTGGATCTCTCAGATGCACATTTTACTCACTGTTGAACTTTGGCGCCTCAGAGACCCTCGAACTAGACACAACATGACGGCTCCCACGCACGTCAAGGTCCTCGTTCTTACTCAAACAGGACCCGATTATCTAGAATACATCAAGACTGTGGACACGCCTAACAGACCGCCAATCCCGCCCACTGATCTGGACCCTAAACTTCGAGCACTTCTCGAATCCCAGATGCCGACAGTCACCTCTCATCTCTATCACGGTACCAAGCACGCCGATTACTCAGACGTTGGTCCTCTACCCGACACTCGCCTACATCACTGGAGCGAGAATGCCTGGGCGAAACGTACTATGATATGTCTATCCAATTATCACGTCTTCTGTACCCTTCAAAAAGGAGAAACTTTGCTCCCCAACCCATGGTCGGGGAACATATTCTCGGGCGACATGTTTATTCTGAAGTTGTCCAATACTGAGGGTCCAGATGGGCGACGGTTCTACGAGGACATCGATCCTGGTACTACATTTGGGGAGATTTTGCTAGTCGATGCCAAGGTAGCGACTGTTTTCGTGGAAGCAGTGATGCCAGGGGCTGAGTGGCTTTGAGGACTTCACGCGACGATGGGAGGTATCCGCAACGATGGAGAGCTGGGAGTAGTGGACGGCCTATACTGTCTTTACTGTTTGGGAAGCACGTTTGTTTTGCGCAGTCATCATTCGTAATACCGTCCTTACTGTTGGGTCAAGCATGCATGTTTAGCAAGGTATCACACATAACACTGTCCTTACTGTTGGGCTTAGAATGCTGGTGCTGCAAAGCCATCGGACGCAACACTGTTTTTACTGTTAGTTTGAGGAAGATTGTTTAGCGGAGTCAACATACATAATAACACAAAAGAGGTATGACACTCCCAAATCATAATCTCTCGCTGCCAATTGGCGCAGCGTGACTTGTACTTCTCAAAGTCCTCGACCCGTGATTGACATCCTCGTCCCGTGATTGACGTCCTCGTGATCAGGCATTCTCCAATCCCATTCGCCCTCCAACCCCGCTGCCTGCTAACCCTGGAAGCACACGCGTCCCTTGCATCTCCTGCATTCCTTTCGGCGAGCATTTCTAGCAAATCATATATGCTTGCTTCCGCCTAGGGTTACATGCCTGATTTCATGTATGCGGTTGTTGATCGGGTCCGCTCAGATACAACACAGAAATTAGCTGCTGCATCCTTCCTTCTCTCCCAGTCTCGCTCGGATTCGCGCACTGAGGGAATCAGAACACTTTGATTTGATCATCATCTCCGGGCGCACGGTCCCTACGGTGTGATTCGGATTGCTATCGTGCCTTCTCCATCGGCTTCAATTGCTAACACCTTCCTCAACCGTCACGTTCGCTGAGGATTTGTACCAGGACGTCAGAAAGCGCTGGTCTTTGGCCCGAGCAGCTCCGCCTTATCTGCCAAGCTCTTTTGCGGGGAAATGCTGGGCGTTTCTGGCTTCTTCTACGCCAGTCAGTATTTTAAAATCTCAGTCCCCTCGCATCCCACCATTCGAATCTCAAACTCCAACAACCCGCCCTCAGAGTAGCGTACCCTCTAGCCCACAGCTCCCTTACCTTCAGCCGAATTTTCCTCGGATGCCAGTGGAATACCCCACCGACGGGGCAGGAACCTTTCCCCCTCGGACTAACCCCCCTCGAGATGTCGCCAAAAGTAGCAAAAAGTGGGCGATCTCCTCGAAAGCTGGTCCCCAGTCTCCTCCCTCCTTGGGAGAGTCGACACCGGCTCAAACCCCCCAAGAGATCTCAAAAATTCTCCACGACTTCCTAAAGAGTCTCCCGGGGGCCACAGAAGCGGGTCTGGGATGGCAGTAGAACATGCCACTGACGGGGGCAAAAACCCCGACCGACCCCTCCAGCGGATGCCCCTCAAACGGTCACCGCAAACGGCGGAATCCCAGCGGAATCCTCAAGACTTCACCCCCAAGCTCTCCACTCAACCTCCTGGGGTCGGAGTTACCGCGCGCTAGGACTTGTGGGATTAGATTGAGCCAGGATTTTGCATTGGCATGTTTTCGGGCTTCTTCCCCTACCAAAAGTACCGACTCTCAATGTTTCTCCGGACTCCAGTGTACTTCATGGCGGCGGGAAGGGGGTTGTAAGCTGAGAAAGTAGGAAGATTTGATAGCAAAGAAGCCAATGATACACAATCGATGGGCGATTACCCGTAAAAATGAATTGCATTCGCCAGAAGAGCAGATTCTCCTTGCGCCATGCTACCATTCCCAGCGCCAGATGCTACGATTTCGTCAAGGAAGAAGGGATTTCAACCTTCCCTTTTCGCCATCTTTTTGACTGGCAGCCCGGGTACTTTGAACCCTCCACTGTCTGTTACAACTCCATTTGCATTAGATGCAGCAGCACCCCCAACCTGCGTGAAAGTACCACCCTTGAACCACCGATCATCCTCCTCAGCTAGCTTCCTTTTCCGTTCAGCCTGCATCTTAGGATCCACAAGCTCCAGTCCTTGCACAGGCGTGAAAGCAATGCTACTCGCAGTCCCGCTCGTGCCAGCCCCAACGCCAGCTGTTCGTAAGCCATGCTGAGCGAAGGTGTTGCCACCAGACTGTCCAAATCCGCGAAGGGAGGTTGCGGTACCTGAACCAAGAGGCGTTGCAGTGCCCCATCCCTTGTTGTTTTTGCTGAGCTTGGCTTTCGTTCGCTGATCGATTTGCTGAGAGCGGATGCGGCCCTCATTCGCCTGGCCGATCATACCGAGACCTTTCGTGGTCTCTGCATAACCGACTTCTTTCTCCTCCTTACCAAATGCCATCCTGTTCTGCGCTTTGCGAAGGTCAGTCATTGCCGTCGCTTCTTTGGCTTTGCGGGCACGTCGGCCACCACGTTTTCTAGATGGCTTATCATCTGGAGCAGGCAAAGCTCGAGGACCTTTATTAGGGGGAGGTTCTGTGAGTTTTTCGAGGCGGTCTAAACAGTCCGATTTGAGCTGTTCGCCGCTGGAGCCGTCAGGGCTATTGTGAACACGATCAACGCGAGCTGCGAGGACGACTTTTGCAGCAACTATACGCATGGCCTGGCGCTTGAGGTCATTGGGTATGCCTTTGATTATGGGAGAATGATAGAGGAAGCCTTGCTGCCGTACACCAACATTAGTGGCAAAGCCGGTCTGTGATTGCTTCTTCGATCCAAGAGGAGGTAGATTGCACGCCGGGGTCTTCGCAAGGCCGGTCAAACCTCCAGCAAAGTTGAGCAGCTGCGCTGCAGTGAGGGAGCCGATAAGCGCTGTGAGATTCGGTGCGAATAGATTCATCCTTGATTGAACGTATTCGGTGAGTACTCTCTTCGCTCGATCCAAGGATAAGGTCATCTCGCAAGCTCTCAAAACTCTTTGCAGCTCTGCCTCTGTCATTCTTCGTCCTCTCGACGTGGTAGCCTCGACAGTAACAACCATGAGCGAAGGTCCGTCTAAGATCGACTTCAGCGATGCGCTGACGATGTTATCGGTCTTCTGCGCAAGTTCTTTGATGTTATCCATGGGCCCGTTGCTAATGATTGCAACAGACTTGGCGTAGTCGAGAGGGTTTGTAACGAGTGTCTCCAGCTCAGGGAAGCGGATTGAGTAGTGGTCGCGGATGTACTTGTGCACCAGGATTATCTCATTGTCAATTGACGTGGAAAGCGTATTGGACTGTGTGAGAAGATGATACTCCGGATTGTCTTCGATTGAACCAACAAAAGTGGTCTGCTGCCCAGGTGGACGATTTTGGTAATGGGAGATTTTCTGAAGGCGACGGGAAACGTCAGGGCTATGTCCACAGAAAATGTAAACTTTGGTCTTATTGTAGAGCAAAAGAAGGACCAAGAGACAAGCACATACCTGTAATACTGGTTCCAGCGTCTCCATCAGACCTGCAACACTTCGCACATCATTCACTCCCCCAAGTTGCATCTTCTCAACCTTGGCCTTGGCTTCTTCCTCATCTTCGACGTTTGCAGCGGCGCCAGTCGCTCTTACACCTCCGAGAGCTGTTTCTTCATCCTCGCTCACATCTTCTTCGTCTCCATCTAAGACCATAGACCCTTCAGGAGCTTGAGCTCGGCCGTTGGTTGCGGGCGGTGTCGCGTCATCTCGAAGGAATCCGTTCTGCTGCTCACCCTCACCTTCAGAACCTGAGTCCTCAAAATCATTGAGCAGCTCGTCAGCTAGTGTAGACATGGTAGATGACTCTTGTGGGTGAAAAAGATTCGATTCTACTCTACAATTTTTCAAGTTTGACGTCGTTCAAACTCCAGTGTGAATCAAGCCTTGGCACGGCCACTAACGGGAATGCCCGAGCTTCAACGGGCAAACTTCGGCGGAAGCTGAGATCAGACAAAACAGTCACAAAGTCCATTGCAGATGCGCCCTTCTCAGAAACACATCCAACGAGCTGTCAATTTCCTCTAAAATGGCGGAACAGTTGAGTCGGGAGGAGAGGCTCAAGCTGATCTATCAGAATCTGCAAGAGGTCCTGAAACCTGAAATTATCGAACAAGTCGTTCTCAAGGAAGATAGACCTCTGAAGATCTACTGGGGTATGGCGAGGCTCGACCATTGGATTTGCTGCAATCGTTGACTCTTATAGGTACTGCGACCACTGGTCGGTAGGTACACCAGGATTCAACCCCCCGAGACTCCGATCTCTGACATGACAGACCTCACTGCGCCTACTTTGTGCCCATGGTAAGCATCACACAAGAAAGAATCTACAGGTCTCTGACTGATGATGGATAATAGGTCAAACTCGCTCACTTCCTTCGTGCCGGCTGCAAAGTCAAGATACTTCTCGCCGATATTCATGCCTTCCTTGACGCGCTCAAAGCCCCAATTGAACTGGTCAAGGAACGCGCGAAGTACTACAGATTCGTTATAACCTCCCTCCTCAAGGCTATCAATGTTCCCATAGATCAACTGGAATTCGTTATGGGCAGCGACTACCAAACCTCGAGCAATTACACCATGGACTTATTCAAATTAAGCTCGGTAGTCACGGAACACGACGCAAAAAAGGCAGGCGCCGAGGTAGTGAAGCAGATGGATAATGCTCCGCTGAGCGGTCTCATTTACCCTCTAATGCAGGCGCTGGATGAGCAGTACCTTGACGTGGATGCACAATTTGGCGGAGTGGATCAACGGAAGATTTTCACATTGGCTGCGGAGCAGCTTCCCCGGATCAACTATAAAGAGCGAGCTCATCTCATGAATTCAATGGTACGATGCAAGCCTCTGGACTGTATGCGATGACTCATATAAGAATAGGTACCTGGTCTTGCGGGAGGGAAGATGTCTGCATCTGATCCAGAATCAAAGATCGATATACTGGACACACCTGATGCTGTCAAGAAAAAGCTAAAGAAAGCATACGCTGTGCCAAAAGAAGTGACGGACAATGGTCTGATCAGTTTCGTGGAGTATGTCTTGTTGCCAGTCAGCGCTTTGAAGACCGAAGGTAAAGGCAAATTCGTGGTGGAGCGGAGAGAAGGAGAACCCCTGGTCTATGACAGCATCGAGACGCTAAAGGATGACTACACAGCTGATACAGTAAGTCACTGATTTTGGGCCCCTTAGTCCAGAATTTCATGTGAATTATACTAGAAACTGTACCTGTGTGTCGCCGATACAATTCAGCTGACCATCTGATAGCTCACACCACAGCTACTGAAGTCGGGCGTGACCGACGCACTCAATGCGCTCCTTGAACCCATACAAGCAGAATTTAAGGCGTCCAAGGAATGGCAAGAGGTAGAACAGAAAGCTTACCCTCCGCCAGAGGTGAAAAAGAAGCCGAAAAAGGAGAAGAAACTAGGGGATAGGTTCCCTGGTGTTATTAGGGACCAGGTGAAGCCTGATGATAAGGTGGAAGAGGAGCAGCAGAAACACGAGGAGAACTTGGTCACTGGCCTTTCCAAGCCTTGATTGCTATGGAGAAGCTTGACCTAGCGGCTTGCAAAATCAACAAGTACCAAGTCATAGCATCCACGCTCGTGACAGATCAAAAGATGGACACCTGCAGCTATGGAGGACAAATCTACCTCACCAGAATTGCCTAAGCCTGTTTGAGCAACAGATATCATCTGTTGAGCGATGAAACACAGAGGGTTCAGCTAATCACGAAACCCTGCGCAATCCTGCCGTTTCCTGCTGCAGCCTCGTACTCGCAAAGGTGGACGGCAACGTCTAGGTCATGGATACAGATCTAGCAATGATAGAGTAACATCGAACTCGCCTGTTAGAACTTTGACGGATTGGCAGCCTCGAGCTCGACCAATTGTCTTCAATCGTAGAGTGACTTTCGTATTCGCATTATCAGTAATCTTGCAGCTCGGTTGCATTTCCTGATGCGGCGGCGGGCATGCCGATTCCAGTAGGGCTGATTTGGCTTGGCTTGGCGGGGGTTGATCATGTACAAGCAGCGAGTACAAACATTTAACACTTCCCTTTGCCTGCACTTCTCCCTACTCAATTGTCAAGAGCCACTGTCTTGTTTTCTAGGCTACTCATCCTTTCCATTCATATCCGAACATGACCTTCAACGCGGTTAACGACGACGACGGCTACTTTAACGATCTCTCCAGGCAGCCGCAATTGGAATCGCAAGATTCGTTCAGTCCTCACGACCAGAATGGCACCGATGCTACTGGAGAAGAAAACGGAACGGCGAAGCTAAAGCGTATTGCGTGCGTGATATGCAGAAAGAGGAAGCTGAAGTGTGATGGGAACAAGCCAAAATGCGCGACATGCGCCAGACTTGGACATAGTTGTGCATATGATGAAGTACGGCGAAAGAGTGGACCGAAGAGAGGATATGTCAAAGATTTGGAAGCACGTTTAGGTCGGTACACTCTCTGCCTTTGGCTTGGGATCTTTGGGCTGATGCTGTCTATCATGCGTAGCGCAAGTCGAGGGCAAGCTGAAGAATCAAGATAATAAAAAATCTAAGAACACGAGTGAACCTGAGCAACATGGAGTCCCGGAAACTGTCTTCGAGATCGGAGAGTCTATGGGTATGCAAGCAGGAATGCAGCAATCGATGCCCAGTGTATCTTACGATTCCATGCCCACCAACGACCCCATCATGCTACCTATGACGAATTTGGCTTCAGAGATGATGCCAGACTCAGAGTTTGTGCCACAGATAGATCTCAACCTCGATCAGAACTTTTCTTGGGAGATGATAGGTCTTGGTCTGGAAGAACCAATGCCCACGCAGGAAGCAGTCGATGAATTGTATGATCTCTGGGCCCCCATATCGGGGCATGCTGACAAGACCACAGAACACAGGTCTTTTTCGATAAGATACATACCTCTTTACCGATGATTCACAAATACCGGTATTATACTTCCATGAATCTAGCTCCTGACAGGCGCCCACCAATCTGCCTACGATACATAATGTGGTGTCACGCAGCCTCCATTACAGACAAATACATGCACCACCAGGATATATTCTACAGACGGGCACGAAAGTACATCGAGCTTGATGAGATGAAAGGCCAAGGCGAAGCGTTCGTATCCCTTGCACACGCACAGACCTGGACCCTCATTTGCGCGTACGAATTCAAGATGATGTACTTCCCAAGAGCTTGGATGAGTGTCGGTCGCGCGGCACGAATGGCTCTCATGATGGGCTTGAATCGAGTAGACGGTGTCGGCTTGGACGTGAAGCAATGTCTCCCGCCGCCAAGAGATTGGACAGAACGTGAGGAGCGGAGAAGGACGTTTTGGATGGCTTACTGTGTAGATCGGTACGCTAGTATCGGCACAGGCTGGCCAATGGCGATTGATGAAAGAGATGTAAGTCTTCGCTTTGAGAGGATTGTACCAAAGTAGACCCGGCATTAACATCACTTCAGATCATGACCTGCCTCCCAGTCAGCGAGGAGGCTTATGAAAGCAGTACAGCCCAGAAAGCGCCAACATTAGAGGAAGCCATGAGACCTCAACAAGCATCCCAGCTTTCATCTTTAGCCGGACTCGTGCTCGTCACCCACTTTTTTGGACTCAATCTCACCCATCTTCACCGCCCGGAACCCAACCAACAAGAACACGACATGAATGGACCATTCTGGAAGCGGCATCGCACTATGGATAACGATCTGCTGAAAACGGCTCTCCAGCTTCCTTCGTATCTCCGGCTGCCCTCGGGTATAAGAAATCCCAACATTGTATTCCTGAATTTCGCCCTCCACACTTCCACAATATGCCTCCACCAAGCAGCGATATTCAAAGCAGAGAAGAACCAACTACCAGACAACATAACTGAGCAGAGCAGAACTCGGTGCATTTTGGCAGCAGCGGAAATAGCCGGGGTGATGCGTTTGACCAGTCATATAGATGTTGCAGGCGTGAGTTAAACCCCCTCCAACTACATGAAGCCATCATTGCTCACGACAGCTAGATGAACCCTTTCATGGCTTTCTGCCTCTATGTTGCCGCTCGTGTCTTTGTTCAGTATCTCAAGAAGATGCCCAATGACCAGGAAGTTCGACAGTCCCTGGAATTCCTCCTAGCCGCCATGCGAGCGATACAGAGGAAGAACCCCCTTTCAGAATCATTCTTGGTCCAATTGAACATGGATATCGAGGGGAGCGGTCTAGACATCTTTTTGCACAATCCGGACTACACGTCACGATATGTGGAAGGAATGGTAAGCAGCCTTTATCTTGTTCACTGACACTCATCGCATTAAGCTTTAGCCAAATCAACACATACTGACTCAATGCCAGGACTCGAGCAATCTGCCGGCCGATTACGCCGGCAGCAAGACTCACTGCTCCCCTGTCTTCCACATCTCAGAAAAATCTGAAGATGGCCCGTCTCCCGGCGATAATCGATCCTCTGAAGACACACGATTGCCAAAAGACGACGCCAAGAAAGAAAGCCCAAGAGTCCGCACAGAAGATTCTCGCCAGCGAACATATGCCTACCGCAAAGTCGACGTCATTTCCCGAATGCATGGCACACCTCGACCCTTCTTTCCGGAAAATGTGCAATCCCATTCCTATCGGCCTCCAGGTGAAGTTCAAAACAAGCCCGACGCCCACTCTCAACGATATGAGAAAATCTTTCCAAGCGACGACTGGAATCAAGGCAACATCGCTACGGTGGCGGGCCGTAACTCATTTACGGATAACGACAAGATCAACGCCACTAATGCGAACAATCGGCACTTGGATACCGAAATGGCCGACCAGTCCGCCAATTCCCGGGGTCCAACGCCGCAGTCGAACAGCAGTTATAATCACTCGTCATCAAATACATCATACTCCCCATCGCAGGGACATGAGGATGACCAAACTACGTCCAGTACTGGCGGAGGAGGTAATTACATGATGGGATTCGCACCTCCCACTCATAGTACCATCTTTACTGGAGAGGGTGTCAAACACGCAATGAGCCCGCCAGCACAACAGCAAGAAGATCCTTTTAAGATTCCAGCGGGCTGGGACATGGGGACGGGGATGACGCCCGGCTCGGGAATGACTCCTGGAAGTTTGACGGGCATGACGTCGGACGGTGGTTGGGAGAAGCTTATGGATAGTATGGGGTGGGAGACGGGGAGGACTGGGTGAAGAAGAGTGGGAGAAGATATCTTTAGAAACGAGACGGCTGCTGATTAGCGATGTCGGAAGGCTCGTGCTAATCACCTGATGCTGGTTCGTTGTTCGAATCGTCCTTACACGCTGCTAATGAACATTTATCAAAGGCCTGCACATACTTCACTTAGAGCTGTACTATACATGGTAGCAGGATAGCTTCATATTGAGAAATTATCACCGGAACTTCCCACTCTACCTACATATCAAATCTGGAACTGCCTAACAATACAAGTTACGAGTAATCATTCCAAGATTGAGAGAAGCCGCCCCCGGTGGAAGGGGGGTCCTTGCTGGTGCAGCCACCACGCTGAGAGGACATCTTGTGGGCCAAGACCTTGCGCTAGTGGACTAGGAAAGAGGAGATCAAGGTTCTAATGGGTTCATTTTGTGGGAGGCACTGCTTCAGATGTGATTTTAGCGAAAAAAATGCGCAATACCAGCGTAGCCTCCGGTGCCTGGAATGGTAGCATGTTTTACCCCCGAGGTTACGTCCATTTCATCTATGTCATTAGCATCAATGGAAAGGAAATTCGCACGCTATGCAACGCTCTTCTATGCCCATCTATGCGTACGTAGACCCGGGCGTTGGTGCGGGTCAATCTTCCCACGGTGTGATACTCCATGCCCCGGCGCCATCGCCAATCTCGAACCTCAACCGCTCCAGTTTCCACTCCGTGTACATGTTTACGGTTGCTCTCATGGCCTCTTTGTGTCCCGGACCAACACTGGCCGGGCGCGCGTCTGCGAAGTTGCGCCATATGCCTGCCTAGAGTGTCAATGTCTGGAGATCTGGCCCTTGGGAATGGCAGAATGGGTACATGTTGCCAGGTTCCTCCCGTTTTCGTCGGGCAGTCCGAACCAATACTTCAATAATCCACCGCTTTTGGTTGCTTCCATGTGGGATTTCTGGTCGAGCGCACCGAGGTGCGTGCGGTCAGTAGTTGGAGGAACCTGGGATCTGAAGACCACTATGTAGAAATGTTGGCGCTTCCATTGGTATTGTGAGAGCTCGAGTAACGACTTTAGTCGGTCCATCACCGCCTCCCAGTTGAATGATTGGTGGTAGGGGGCCGTAGCGTAGTCTCCTCGGACGGATTGGAGGACTGTCAGTGCCCTGGCTAGAAGTCTCTGTGACTCTTCGAGTGTTCTCAAGTCAAGAAGATGCTGTAAAGTAGTGTATGGGGAGACGACAAGATGGCTTCCGAGATCGGGCTGTTGACGATCATCTGTTGGCAATGCAGGGTCTTGGCGATCTGAATGGGCTCTTGGGAGAGAATCATTCCCAATGGCCCATGGCTCTGAAGGGGAGTGTAACGCTACTTGCAACATCTTGTAAAGGTACGACAAATCACCAGAACAGAGTTGTTCTGGTTGAGGAGCAAGAGATAAGTAAAGACGGGGGGACAGAGAAGTACGAGGTACGAGGTGCATAAAGAATCGTAGAATCCCAAGGAAATATTTGCCAATTTGGAATGAGCTTAATGTGCAATGGGCAACTGGGTACCTACGCCATGTGGCCCTGATAAGGCGCGATAGAAATAATGCGAGAATCAGCTCAAAGCACGCAATAGTAAGGGGCATGAACGATGAATACTATCGGACAGATGTGAATAGCTTCATGACTGATAGCGACTGATGCAATGGAAATATATCAGTAATCACCACGAAATACGAGCGCAGGATGCCAGCGCCTTTGGACATGGCTGTACGGATGATGGGGACTTTCTCAATGTTGTGAGAAAATGATGCCACCATTTCGACGGCGGAGCGTTCGTAGCTTTGATGATGACCGTTAGAGTAAGGACACACTTACCCTCCTCAATGGATCATCAAAAGGGGTGTTGATGGAATAGAAAGAGACATCAAAATGACAGAAGTCTGACCACACTCGCCATCGGGTGAACATCGGTGCTAATACTGGGCTAAAACTCTTCAGGTTTAGCTTATATCATTCGACCTCGGCCGATACGCATGCAGGGAAGAGCTAACATGTCGCCGCCTTTACATATTCAGAGTGCAGGGAACCTTTGTTGTCGCAATGGAGGCATCTCTTCCTCATCACTTCCCGGCTCGACAACTTCATGACGGGACCATATTCCATTCGTCGCCATACCCTCCTCACTCTAACCTCGCCTCACAGCAAGACATTGGGCTAGATGACTTCCAATTCGACCCTCAATTGGCAAACGAGCCTCAATTACAGCACCCGCAAAGAGGGAACGCCTTTGAATCAAGCTCATTTGATGGTCCGAGACCCAATCAACCTCGCTTTCAGGAGATTCGCTCAAACCCACCTGTATCCTCTTCCCAGCCAAATGATGTCTTTGACCCATCCAATGCAGGCGGGTTTGGTCTTCTCTCCCGAACGCGTCCCCAGCAGACTACCGACGGCGGTCGAGGCCAGTTCGGCATCTTGGCACCGACTATGCATCCTCAATCCCAGCTACTGGCTGCGCACCTGAATCATGATGAGCAGCTGGGGCGTCTACAACATGAATTGGATCTACGGCCAGTCCCGGTTACGGGTGGGGGAACGACCGAGGGGCATTTCAGTAACATGAAGATGGTACCGAACCCTCCCAATTTGGAGCAATGGCGGAGAAGGCTGTTTGACGTTGACGAGGCTATCACTTTGACTGAGGAGCAGTAGGTGGATTGAAGGGGCCAATTGCCGTCAATGTGACTAATTCTCTGGGCTAGATTCCAAACGTACTTCCCACACGTAGACAACATCTACTCCCATCGCTCTACTCAACGCTACAAGCGCAAGCCTTTCGTCTCTCACTACTGGGATTGCAGACTCAAAGGGCGACCACCGGGGACGGCAAAGTCAGACGACCCCAATAAGAAGAAGAGAAAGCGGCAAGCCAGGGAACGCGATCTATGCGACGTCAAAATCAAGATCACGGAGTACTTTCCGGGAGCAAGAGCCTTAATGGGTACGGATTTTCCGGTTGAAACCCCTGCCAATGACAACTCTTTCGCTCCTGGACAAGCACTTTCCACTACACAAAGTTCAAACAACGGGCTCCCGACCCTTACAGAAGCTGGCAATGATGGGGCAAGATTTTATACAATACAGCGCGTCAATGGGAACGGAGCCAATGGTAAAGGTGATGGAACGGCTGGAGCGCATAAACACACCATCGAGGAGAGTGATAAAGTCAAGAAAAGTAGCCTTCATCGACATTTTCTAAAGGAAGAAAAGGAAAGAAGGAAATCCATGGTAAGCAAACAATTTTTTTTTTAATTCCGGGGGCTTTTTACCACAGGAAAGCGAGACCTCAAGGCGGCATGACACCGCGTCGAGCTTCCGCGTAGGGGCGATCCGAAGTCGGCTACACGTCATAGGAGTCGAACCATGCGAATTGCTTTCGTTTCCACCACCAAGCTTCTTCAATGCTTCCCAGTGCTTCTTTGATATCCAGACTCTCTACTCTCAATCGTACCTTTCATCCTGTCTACTTATCAATCACCTTCCGAATGATGTCTGACAATGCTAACTCTGACAAGAAAACATACCACAAGAAAGCTACTGGACTTGCTCTAACCACAGTGAAGAAGCACTCCAAGGACCATGATATGAAGCTATATGGCAGCTGCTTCTGGTAAATCCTCGATGCTTTTGCGTGCAATTTATTAGCTGCGACTGACCTCTCGTTTCAGTCCATTCGTACAACGAGTGTGGATTTCACTGGAGGTCAAAAGTCTCAATTATCAATACATTGAGGTCGATCCATACGAGAAGCCCGAAGAGCTGATGCGGATCAATCCCCGCGGACTCATTCCGGCCCTTCAACACGGCAACAACTGGGGCTGCTATGAAAGCTCAGTATTAATGGAGTACCTGGAAGACCTCAATGAAGGAGCTCCACTACTACCACCCAATGCAAAAGATCGAGCGCATTGCCGCCTTTGGTCTGACCACATCAATCGCAACATCTTGCCACACTTCTACGGCTTACTGCAATCTCAAGACGGTGGCCAGCAAGTCGAACAAGCACGGCAGCTCACGGACGGAATCCAGAAGATCGTCGAAGCTGCGGATCCGTCCGGTCCCTTCTTTTTCGGCCCTCACATTTCCTTTGTTGACATCCAATTCGCGCCTTGGATCGTGAGGTTGAAAAAGGTACTAGCACCTTACCGCGGCTGGCCTGAACCGGAAGCGGGTAGTCGATGGGCGAGCTGGGTAAAAGCCATTGAGGAGAATGAGGGTGTCAAGGCAACGACCAGCACCAATGAGTTATACATGGATAGCTATGAGCGATATGCCGGTGAGTGTCTCTGTGGCTTGCACCGATAAGAGATCGAAGCTAATAATTGGCGGTAGAAAATCGCCCAAACACCAGCCAGGTCGCCAATGCAGTCAACGAGGGAAGAGGGCTGCCATGAGCGAACGTCATTAATTGGTTGCGTTGGCAATGTGTATACATATTCAACTCGCAAATGCCGTGAACGAAGCACACTTTTTGAGGCTATGGAACATGGGCTCTTGTGGCCACGCGTATGGCTGTTCGTATCACTTTCAAAGAAGAATGAATGAGAAACAGTCACTGTCCGACAGCAAAACACTCCGTGTACACAATAGCTTTCACGTAAACCTATGAACAACGATACTTTCACTGAACGAGCAGAGCGCCAGATACTAGTACAGGTATGCTGGTCCATTTCTACGCGTCGGTATCGTCGTAAAAGGTTTGACTGCATTGTGAGCATACCGATCTTGTATCCGCATGAGGACACGGGTTCGCGCTTTGAAGATGGTATGAGAAGGTTATGGGGGAATGCTCTTTGGGTAGAGATCTCATTCATGGCACGGGTAGGTTGAGGGAGGGAGGAGAGGAGAGGAGAGGGAGAGGAGAGGAGGAGCAAGATACCCAGGCGTGGACACCGCTTCACGGCACGATTCCACCCGGGGCGGTGGACGCCCACGCGAACGCATGAAGCGATTCGACATCCTTCCAGTAGTAAAAAAAATTAAAAATTGAAGAACAGTGTCTTTGGTATCTGGATTCGATCCCACCAGAGAGGGATCCACCCAGGTCCTCCTTTCGGTGTGGTGGAGTCGGCTAGATAGACACTGCTCGTGTGGGTGGTTCGTCCTTCCGCTGAGCAGTTTGGGACCGTGGGGTTGATCAGCTGGGCGAAGCGGACGAGTCGGCAGGTCCCCGATCACTTGCTCCGGATATATCCCTTGGGTCATCATCACCCGGCTTCCAGGTCCGGCTCGGGCGGATCTACAGTTGCGCCGATGCTGGTAGCATGATGCCCGGAGAGCAGAGCAGAGATCGAGTATCCCATCTTCTACACAAACCAACCACCTTTGCATATCTGACGAGGCCGAGGACCAGCAAGCCATGCGTGTATCCACCACCCTTGAATCCCTGTTCCGCATTGCCTCTTGTTTCTTTTTGGGGGGCATTGCGCCGAGAAGATGTCTTTCTTTGCCTGCCCCAGTGCGGCAGCTCAGCCTGCTTCCCGTGCAACTCGTATCCGGGTATGTCCGAAAGCTCTGCTGATACGGAACCCGATCGTCATGGTGGCTATGAAGGCTGGTTGAGAAGATGCTTGCCCTGTCACAGATGTCAACAGTTATCAAGTTGCGGCGACCCAAAGTTTCGGCCTCGGTTGGTTGATTGATTGATTGATTGATTGATTGTGATCCGTGACTTTAGATGTGGTCCACTACTATTTTGTGAAATTGAGTGTATGGGGATATGACGATAGAGTTATCGAGAAGGAAGCCGTCATCGAAGATGGGGACTTACCTTGGGATAGCATATATGGATCGTAAGGATGAAGGCATCTGCAGCAGAATTCCGATGCGCGTTCACAGATCAAAGTCAGTGGGAACAATGCCAGTGCGGACTGGTACACCTTATGGGGTGCAGCAGTAGTGACTGTGGGGTGAATGTCAAATGGGCAGGCTTGAACGTTGCAGCGATTGTGCTTGTTTTTTGACCTTCTATGTAGAGACCTTGCTGAGCGCCCTGATCGGACATATCTTATCGAAGACTAGCAGTGGTCCAGCAAGCTGTGAAATATGAATGCCGGGGAAACTCGAATGCAGCTTCAGCTTCTGCAAGTGCCAAACTTTCTCCCCTTCAGACGACCCGTGAGCGACCAAGCCTCGTTGCTAGCATGTCGTTGTCCTTGCCCTGTCGCAGGAGACCTCCATAGTGGAAACCAAGCAATGTCGTACTATTTGGCATGTCAATGAGAGTAGAAGATTGGACTGCTGTAAAGGGCCAAAAGTACCGATCAAGCCGCAGGAAGGCAAGTCAGGGAAATACCCCATAGGCGTCCTCGAGGTACGGGATGCGCTTTTTGTCTTTATTTGGTCTGTACAAGTAATCCATTTCTGCATCGGCAAGCAACCTGATGATCTGCGGGTCTAAGACGGAAATACTAGAGGGTGTCCTATGAAGATTCATATACGCCGGCGCAGGTGGCACCCACGCTTCATTCCTCTTTTCCAGCTCGTGCGAGATCCAGCCAGAAATATGAGCTGCGACAGCAGGCCAGGGGTTTGCGGGTAGCGTGACCGCCTTTATGTGGCCGAGCTCGTTCTTTATAAGAAGCAGGAAGCTGCGGCCAAAGCGCTCAGGCCAGTCTGGTATTCGTAAGGACTTGTTAGGAATGAACTCGTCCCATGCATCGTCAAACTGAAGTTGAAGGGATTGTAGCCCACGCAGTCTCCTGAGGATTCGGAGCAATGAGCCTTCCAGAAAAAGCATCAAGACGTAGTGACTTAATTTGATGTGGAGTTTCTTGAGTCGCTCCTGACCGGGCTGGGTTTGGGAGATCAAGTCAAGGCAGTCAACACCAGATATTGTGGTCAGCTGGTCCTTTGGCAGGTTTCTCAAGTTGCTCCAACGGACAGACTTGAGACGTTCGTGTGTGAGCTGACGTATAACGGGAGAACTGACAGGTCCTTCCTCATCGTCACACCCTTCGACTCGTCAGATTCCTCCAGCGTTCGTTCAAGACCCCAGATATAGAAATTGTTCTCCCCATAAAGCACACTCAGTGCTATTGCAGAGAAATGCTTTGAGACGCTCAAGATGCCCAAAGAGCCAAAGCCAAAGCCCCAGCTGTAGTAGTCTAGCGGGTATAAGACAATGGTGTTAGCATAGGGGCCTCTCAAGAAGTGGCGCATTATCTCCATCTGGATCTCCATAGGCATGCCCTCAAGCGTAGGCTTTCCTGCAAAGGCGTGAGTTCAAGCCCGTTAATCGATGCAATTGAAGTCTTGAGTGGCTTACCTCGGTCCATGATGAATGTTCGCTTGTGTATCTCCAATGCTGCAGCTCGAATACTGTCTAGCTCTTCTAACGTTTCGCTTTGAACGTTGCTTCAGTCTGTTCCGGTGGGCGTGTGTGATGTAAGTGGTCGGGTCAAAGTGAAAGTTCCGAGTGTTAAGGATTTGAGGTTGGAGGCGTAAGTGAATTCCGTTCCTGAACTGTCGGAAAGGCGAAGATGAAACTGTAGAGCTAGAATTAATTAGATCAAATGTTCTCTCTCACTAGGTCGCGAGTATCAATCTGATGGATATCAAGGTAGGATAGACTGGAGTGAGGTAGGTTTCATCGAAAGCTAGCTTGGCTGGCTGTGTTAGGTCAGTTTGATCACAAATGTGAGTGCTGAACGTCACGAAAGACTGATTTACTGCCAGTGGTCATCTTTAAGCCCATATACGCTATTTGAGGAATCTGCCTCTAGAACATGGGGCTTGGTCGTGTACCGTAAAGGGTTGATGGTTGAAGGATTCCTGGGTTGCGACTACTACACTACACTCTGAGTGTTTAGAATACATAACTCTGACGCTAGTCCATATTTGGCCTCAGCATAGAGGAAAGCCTCGGTGGTTCGAGTATTCTACCCTTACTGTTGTTGGGGGTATTTAGTTCGTATTAGGTTCGATTCCTAATGGCGCTGGTACAATGGTGTTGCGGTGCTTTTTATTTTCTCTTACTATCTTCGTAGACAAAGCTTCCCCATCTCCGCAACCTGGGGAAGTCAAGTCGATCTCGAGCGTATGCACTCGTCCGCAAGAAGCCCGATCCTAGAAGACACCATATTTGTCTTCCAAACCGCCCCGGGCATCAAAACTCGAGCATCTAAGACAGTCCTCCTTTGCGAGCACGTTCGCCATGATCCCTCTGCGGAAGTACTGAAATGGGCTCGAAGTCGTGCGGAAGCTGTCACAGGTCGAAGACGGTGGCACCCAAGCCTTATTCCTCTTCCCTAACTCGAACGTCATCCAGGAGCTGGTATCGGCATTGTTACCAACTGTTCGATTGTCGTTGATGATGATGGTCTGGACGTGGCCAAGTTCCCTTTGGACAAGTCGCAGAAAACCTTGTCCGAATCTCGCGCGATCCTTGAAGGCCCCTATCAAAGTCCGCATCATGACGATTGAGCCGAGAGTTATCATCAATCTGCGCAACATTGGTTTTACCCGGTGTCGTTTGCGAAAGCAGGTCCAGACATTCTACTGACGATACCGACTGCAATTCTTCGTTCGTGTGATTCCTCAAGTTGCTCCATGGGGAGTTTTCTGATGTCCCTTAGCATCAGGTACTGCAGGTCGAGTGAGCTTGAGACTTTTTTCGGGGTCGATTCAACCCAGAGAAACTAATCTCATCGTCATCACAGTCACAAGAATCTTCATTGAAATCGTGCTTGTCTTCGCGTACTTGGAAAAGATTCTCGCCGTACAGCAAGCACGCCGAGAGCCAGATTCGGGAAATGTTTGGATGCTCTCAGGATTCCAGAGATGCCAGGCAAGGCAAGCTCGCCAGTGCTCCACCGTTGACACCCGCTGCGATTTTCGATTTTCGCGTTTTCCCCCCTTAGTCTCACTCAAGTACCCCCACATAGACAGCGTAAATCTGATTTGAGTACATAGAGTCCGCGTATGAAATTATGTAACTTATCAATGGCGACCTCTGCCGACCACCGGTGGACGCCAGTATCATCTACGCAGCAGCCAGCGGGCCAAACCAAGAAGCAATGATCAATTCACGTCCAAGTGTCAGAGGGTGCAGAGACATCTTCGAAAAGAGGCAATACCTGGATTTCATCAGCCCCACCACGCAACTCCAACGCCTCTGTCTTCACGGCACCTTTTAATCGCTACCTCCTCGACCACCTCCACGGAGTCTCTGCAAGCCCAGTAAAACCCACCAGTGTCCCCAAACCTTCCGTATCGCCCCATGAATCCCCCCCAAAATATCTGCACCATCAATTTCGGCACTTCCCAGCCCTTGATCCTCTCCCCCAGTGCGGACATCACCTGCAGAAGAGCTACACCGTCGCCCGTAGTGTAATCGACGGCCATAGAACCTTCGACCGTGACCTCCTGGGCTCGCAGTGCACAAGCTTCACGAACCGGCGGCCATTGCTCTCAGGTCCTTCTCGTTCATTGTCGGAATAGCGCAATCCGTGCCCGGGTTCCTCTGCCTTGAAAATGGAGCGGAGCAATCGTAGACCGCGCATCCGGATGAGTATGAGGAGCGAAGAGTAGTCGTAGGGATTTTGCATGATGTCTCGGCTTGCGGCGATGGAAAGGCGCTTGAACATGTTCTGGGCTGGTGTCAGGGGATAGATCCTGTGGGACATATCTTGAAGCAGTCTTTCCGGTATTCGCTTAAAAGAATAAGTCGTGTAGTCTTGGGACATTAAAAGGAAGTCACGCGAAGAGGATCCCTGAGGATCGAAAAAATTACCACAGTGAGAGTGAGGAGACCTATAAACTATAACGGTGGTAGAGTACGGAACACTCAGACATCCCACAACAATTTCCTCCGAAAAGAACGCTCGAGGCCCGAGTGGAGAAATGCTTCGAGACTCTCCTGGTGCCCAAAGACCTCCCGTGCATACCGCCTTCGTGCTTTTGGAGGGGCCGCAACTCGACAGCATCGTGGTCGAAGAAGGGATGTCGCACGATGATAAGCTGGAATTTCGGTCGACAAGGTCTCGAGACCCAGGCTTGTCTGTTTGTTTGTTATTGATTTATTAGCCATGGACGCAGGATGATCGTTGGATTTGAACGACTGATCTTGATCCATAGTTGGGGGGTGGATCTGGGATTGTCGAGATGAAGATGGCGAGCAATGCCTGGAGGTGGATCCTAGAATCTCTACAGATCTTCTGGCAAGAAGAGGGAGGGTTTGCGGAGGGGAGACGGGGACTGCAAGAGTTGGAAAGGAGAGGAGGTTTTTTTAGTAGAGGAGACGGTAGTATTTCTTGAGTCATGATGTCGTGTGTGTTTTTGAGCCGGAAGTTCTCTTGCTGTCGCTGAAGATGGTCCAAGATTGGAAATATTGACGGTAACGGCGGGTAAGACATTTCGCGTCGGTCACTGTGAGATGTATACCATCAGCTTAGTGTTCTTAATCACAGTTCTGGATCATGCTGCATCGTAATGTAACTATTATATGTGCCAATGCCTTGTCCTCCAGGAAGTATTCACCAATACCATCACGCAAAGCTACGTCTGTGACTGCATTTCATCTGAGAAGAAAGCTGTTATTGCTTACACTGCAAGACAAATCCCTCCCTAAACAAGGCTCGAGGCCAGCGAGGAGAAATGGTTCGAGACTTTCGGAATACCCTTAGGATCTCAGCGGCTCTTTCATATATTTTTATGGAAAACGACTTGTGTGTTGTAGTGTGCTAATGTTGGTCATGTATGAAGCTACGTGAGCGTAGGAAGAAGCATAAAACATCGCGCCAAGACGCGAGCATCTTTCTTCTAACACATTCACCATTATGATATGCGTGTGCAGATCTTTGAGGCATGAGCAGTCTTATTTATACTGTGGAAACTGACAAGATACCGAAGAATCTTCTCCCAAGGACAACGATACAAGATCTAAGAACACCTTTGCCTATCAATTCTCGAGTTGAAGCAAAATAGGAGCAAGATGGTGCTCGACCTGAAAAAACACTTGACATCAAAGTCTCAAAGAACGGAATGGACCATGAAGCCAGCCTTCGCGAATAGGCTCATCAGCAGGTCAAGACGTACCAACCGCAGGCCCAGCCCTTCAAGATCAGCTGACAATGGAATGCAAAGTTATCGCCAATGTGTTGGAAATGCTCCTCCCTACAAAGAGAAGCTCCGAACCTACCTGTTGAAATTCGACCATTCCGAGCCATGAGTGGATAAGTGTTCACACGGGCTTGGTCCGGTCCAGTCGATACCCGCGAAGAGCACGCTCAGCATTGTACAAGATAAGATACAGAGCATCAGCCATTGATCATCTCGATGTCCGTTGGCTGTGAGCCGACTCGAAGATCGTATGCGGAGCTGGAGAAAGCTGACTGTGGCCGAGGCCAGCGGCGGGAACGTGGACAGAGAGCGTCTTTGATGGCATCTAAGTGTTCTGAGATCTTCTGAGGATGGAAGTAGACAGGAGTGATCGATCGTAGAGGTTTGGGAGGATCGTGTTATACGGTGTGGATTGCAGGGTGCGTGGTCGACTGTACAGATGTGATGGCATACTTGCGTCAAAGACATCGTTTTCATGTTCGGCACTCTCCTGAATCCTAACATAGCTGTTTCCTCAACCCACGAGAAAGCGTTAGGTCCTTCGGGAGTCACTGCTCGTTAGCGTGTCCTTCGATCTTGGAACGTCTCTAGGCCACTTTTTCAAGGGATTGCTCTGAAGACCGTCTCTGGGCATACTCGTAGATATAATGGAAACAACTCTCCAGCTTTCCCTCATGGCAATACCAGCTGAATCTTCGCTTCTACTGCCATCAATCTCTTATCCCGCCTTGCCATCAAAAGATGCTGACAATTGGGGCTCTATCCGAGTGCAATCCATTCACGCGCTCACCGGTAACTCGTCTGGGAGCTCAATAGGACCGAGGAATTATCTGCCTCCTACAGCACGTTTCCCGCAACGAGTGCAGATATCGGGAGCGCTTAGTGGGCTGCGGGCTTCACATGGCACATGCACGCGCATGGCATGCCAGTTATCGATTCAGGCCGACCCAGATATACATGATTTTTCTAGCGCGAGAGATTGGATCAGCAAACCACGCGCATGCACCTCACGACCTCATTTCGGCCATCTGGAGGCCTTGGAAGCCGCTGTCGAAGCCTCTACCCCAAATTTGCGCATCTGCAGCCTTTGGATAGTCTAGACAACGATACAGTAGGAGGCAGGGTCTGGAAAGAAGGGGGCCTTATTTCCACGGAACTTCTAAGTACGATGGGGGTATATGTATTGTTACCTTATCTACGGTACTCTACCGTATATGGTACTCAAGCCGGGTCTTAGTATCTGGATAAGCGAAGCTCATGCGAAAGAGTTTACAAGTAATCTATGCTGCTTCAATATCCCAATCGTCATGTTTACAATGATACTTTCAGTGCAAGGCTTGTAGCGCTTCAACAGTGCTACAACTTCGTCGTAGTATAAGTTCTCGTAGCTCGTGTCGTTGTGGTGAGATGGTGAGTTGCATCTTGTTGTAGTTCGCTGATAAGGTGTATTACAAATTGTCTCGAGCACCCGAGGGATGCGCTTTGCCAACATGGCAAAGCGTGAATGGCATGTTTGTCATCTCGGCAATACCTCCTAAGGGATGCGGTGACTTTCCCTCGGCAAGCCTTGTAGATAAGAAAGCCCTGCGTCAAGGGTCTTTTCAATTCTCGTATTCTGGAATTATGATTGGTTAGGGACAAGGGCGCCGCCAGTGGCTAACAACCTCACTGCGGTAGCCTTCCGCTGTGACCGTATATGATGGGGGTTCAAGGTTCCGCGGAGTGCAGTCCGCACCTCCACTCCCCAGTAGAAGCTTTGATGACAGCTTCATCTGAGCCTCCAGGTGTGGCGTTGATGTTACTTATTTGTTACATTTGTCAGGTCTAGACTCTGAAGATCGACATGTCTTTGGTTGCACAAGCTGAGGGGATTCGCGGATTTTGCTTGCTTCTGATTGGCTGGGCCGGCAGATCCGTTTCTCACAACGTTTGGCTTGATTTTGGGTTTTGCTGGGCGTCGGACCCTGCTCCGCTTCTCCATGATGAGTGGTTCGACAAAGCGATCAAGCAGGTTTCAGGGTCCTTTTCTAAGGAAGCCCGGGTCTCAGATGCAACCCTCGTTTGGACCCTGGTACAACGATCTTTGGCTCTCCACTCCCCCGTTTCTCCACACACATAAACCGTCGATGAGATTGAAGGATTCTCCTGATTCTCGAATTAGATGCACCACATTCTTCAGACACGGAGCTTGTTCCAGGTGGGGCTGATAGATGTGCAGAAGGACATGGTCGTCAAGAGGACCTATATGGGCCATGCTGAATATGATGACATTGACCGCTTGAGTATGGAGGAGAATAAAAAAACCCACTGACAGCTGCATCATCGATAGGTTCTCCGGCTCGGAATTCCGAGGGTATTATTTTGTAGGCGGGGTCCCTTTATCAGTCCCTGTCACGAGGTAAAGTATAATTAGCGTGCAAAAGATGGGCTAGAGTTTATCGCATTTCCCTTTCCTTGGCGACGGGTGAAATTCGATCTCGGGTGGAAGAATTGCATGAATTAATTTGTGGCTATAGGCGGCGGAGACAATGGTCCGCAGCAGACATTTGTTTTTTTAAGTTAAAGTACATGTAGTCATGTACCTTGGATTTTGGATTTTAGAGATTTTGGATTTTTTACTTTTTAGCCCCGAAACCCTTTTATTCATTCCAGGCAATCTGATATTATTCTGAGTACCGGCAAAAGGACTTCGAGTCTCTACTTTATTAAGTGGACGGGAAGCATGGCCCCCCTGGTGCCCCCATCTGCATATGAACCCTGACTCTCGGAGGCGTGCCCGTGCACATCAGACTCACCTGCATACAAATTCACCTGCATACCCCGGCGATTGGTCCATTGGCCCATTGGCCGATTACCATCAAAAAAAAAAAGCTGTCTGCCTCTATTCCGTAAAACGTAACCCCGGAGCAATGAGCCGTCAAGAGTTGCTTTTTTGGCGCTCTGTAGTACCAGTCCAGTTGCTTGTCATAGTAGTCCCTAGCTAGAAGCAGAGGGGGAAAGAAAAAGATGCCAAAAGGACAAGGTGACTGAATGAAAAAAAGACCCTTCTTTGCACAGAGGACCCTTTCTCCATCCCACCAGCTGCTTGCTGCTGTAATCAATCAAAAGGCGCAGGGTCCCACTTCCGTCCTCGCCGTCCAAACATCCCCCCGCCTGGCTTCTTCTTTTTCTTCTTCTTCATTTGCTGCTGGTCGGTCTCTTCCTCGTTCAAGTCTTCTTGCTGGTCATTTGCTCCTCAGTCGAACCCAGCTGTGCGCCGACCAACGGATACCTGCAACATGGGAAATGAATAGCTCACAGTGCACCTGAACCCCTCATAAATGTCAATTCGAATATATTGGGAAGCATAGGAATCAGATCGCTGGCGACGGTGGTGACAAAAACCCCACCTGCCAGTCCACTGTCTAAAATAAATTCCCGCCATGTACGGCGAGGACTCCAGCGGGAGGCGAGTGTCGCTTCTCAATCACTCTTCCTCCAACACTACTACCACCACCCAAAACACTTTCTCACAACCCAAAATCCCCAACCGTTCACGCATCTCAATATCATCTGTATCATCCTGCACATCGCGCGACGGCTACAACTCTTCACCTTCGACCAGTAGTTCCGGTTCACCGCGGCACACTCGCTCCCCGCCAACACCTCAGCTCGTGCGCTTCGACTCACAATCCTCCCTCTCCCAGTCAACTCCATCGCCAATGACACCCAGCAACGGCTTCGATCTCATGGACGGCCAGCATCCGAAAAACAAAAATTACAACGATCTACTCAACGGCAATGGCAATAGCCTGCCCTACTACACCAACCCCGCCTTCGGGCGCTCCAACCCCAATGGCTATCCGACCCTACACGAAGCATCTCAACAACCCTACTACAATCTCGATTCCCAGCAGCCTCTCCCAAGCCTGAACGGCTACCCAGACGGACTCTTCCACCACCGCGGTACCCTGCAGCCTTTGCAAACCCAGCTCCAACACCCTTACAGTACGAACACCTCCCCAATCCTCCCGACACCCTCATCGGCAACCTCAACCAACACACCCTCCCACTCCCTACCACCGATCTCCGCAACGATAAAAACCGGTCCCAACACCCCCATCACAACCTCCCTCACCGCCTCCACCACCGCCACCGCCAACGGTCAGAACGCCTCCGCCACCAAAAATCCTCCCCCCGAAGAAAAAATACCCCTGCCCTCACGCCGTCCGCCACAACTGCACCGACACATTCACGACATCAGGCCACGCAGCTAGGCACGGGAAAAAACACACCGGCGAGAAAAACATCCTGTGTCCTACGTGCAAAAAGGCATTTACAAGGAAGGACAACATGAAACAACACGAGCGCACCCACAGGCACTCCAACAGCAAGAACGATTCCGTTGCAGGCTCCCCTGTCATCGGCAGCGCCAAAGGGAGCCGTCGCGCGAGCTCGAGCGCGGGGGCCGATGCGATGGATGTGGACTCGGATGGCAGTGGAATGGGCATGGAGCCGCCGCGGGCGGGGAGGGTGGCTCGGCCGAAGATGCAGAGGAGCGAGCTGAGCGAAATTATGGAGGGGTTGGATCGCGAGAACGGGATGCATAAGGATGAGGATGCGGATGCGGACGGCGAGGAGGGCGAGAGCCCCGGGTTGGATGCGCTGGCTACCGCGGCCAGTGAGTTGGCTTGATGTAGGCCGAGCCACTGTCGCTTGGTGGAAAGCCCCTTCGTCCTCGACTAGGGGAAACGCAATGTATGGAGTTGGACGGGACGCCCAGGCTGGAAACGGATGGGAGGCAAACGAAATACCCATGATCTGCATATCCTACCTTTTCCGAGCTTATCTTTCATGTATCACGAGGCCGTTATGTCCGGCTCATTTCTTGGTGCGCTACTTGCCGCGGGCTCATCAATGCCGGATGCATCACGGAGGTTGGCGATGAATGATTTACCTTACACAGGCCATAGACAGACGCTACATTGTCGTCACCAGCAATGGATCCTCTCCATCGAGTCTGTCGATGTCGGCTCTCGTTTCACTTCATGATGTACATAGTCATTATCAGGGGTTCGAATATTGAAAGCTGCTGCATTAATTCGATCGATGTGCTCCTTCCATCCTACCATCCCGCTCCTCTGTGCACCCAACCGATCGGCCCTCCCCAAACCAAACATCTTGCTGAATCCCCTTTTCCAGTAATAGCTGGCTTCCTCGCCATTCCCACACCACCATGCAACCCTCCCTTTGTGAAAAAAGTCCTGAGGCATCAAACCCGCCACCATCAAGGTTTCCGTCCGCTGGAGAGCCAACGCCCAGTACAAGTACAAAGAAACCATCGTCAGTCAGCCGGCGTGGTTTCCGAAGCACGTCCTGGGTCGAGATGAGAGCCGATGGAAAGAAAAGGGGAAAAGGGAAGGGAAAAAAGGCAAGGGGAAAAAAGGGAAGGAAGGAAGATCCCGCCCTGCTGCTTTTGGCGCGTGAATCTTTCTCGTACGTGCTCCAGCTCACGGACCCGTAGTGCACGGAAGAGAACACCAGAGTCTTGATGGAGCTTGGAAAGGTGCTCTGCGGTACGAACCGCGACCGGGAAGTCTGCGTCGTTGGTCGAGATGAAGACAGACTTCGTTGAAGAGATGTGGCACCGCAGCTTGTTCGAACGCCTTGGAAGAAAGTCGAGCTTGCTTCATTCGGATCGCTTTTGGGCAAAAGGCCGAGGGCAAGGCCCAGTATTTCCGGTGGGAAGATCATTCTGAACGACTTGGATGTCCGCCGTCTGGATCGTGGTGTGATAGGAAAGAGGCTGATCGATTGTCCAACGGCGAGAATCTGAAGCTCAACTAGTTGGTGCTGGTGTGCGTCGAAATGAATGTCGTTAGATGGGTGGCCGGCGGCAGATTTATGGTTGAAGTTGTGTTGTTTTGATGTAGCCGCAGAGTCGAGTGCAGCTGGAAGATTATGTGGCTTGTGGGCTGACAAGGACTGCTGGCTATTGGATCGACTGTAGGGATACCAGAGATTGTGTCAGGTCAAGGAGTGAGTGCGAAAGAGAGGCCTTGAGTGAGAGGAGTAGGGGATAGGTTGAAGAGCGAGCGGGAGGAAGACGTAGCGGAAGATACCAGTGGAAGTGATGGGTTTATTTATCTGGAGATAGTGTATGTGTCAAGAGCATTTGGTATAAGGTGGAGCATGTTCAGTTCTTCTAGAGTTGTGACAAGAGTGCACAGGAAAAGCGTGAGATGTCTTCGTCCGGACAATCAAACAACGACTAAGCCAGTTTGTTTTGGAGTAAACGCTATCAACCTTGCTGCACATTGTCTGATTGTCCGACTTTAGGGAAGAGGTAAATCTCGGCCAAGATTCTTGATGTCCTACGTCGAGGAAGAGCCAGAGGCAGAAACTTAATGTCCGATTGTTGTTATTGGGAATACTTAGCGTCTGCTGTGTAAGGTAGCTGCTCCTCACAAGACCAATATGCTAATTCAATACCGTGGAAACCCTTTTCCTAGCTTTTAGACCCGGTTATCCTTGGACTCAAAATCCCATCTTAGTCCGAGGTCTGTTTGCAAATTTTTATGCGTCTCCTTTCCATGGCTTCCCAGATGATCCCAAGCATCCCCTAGCGCACCGTACCATGAGAAATCATCCCAACCAGTACGCCTCTTGAAAACCCTCGCGGTACAAAGATTGGGCCCATTGCGATAGCAGAAGTTTCTCAAGCTCACCTTTAAGAACCACACGTATCACGCGTCGAAGGAACACCGGAGAACACGCTTGGTATCTATTAGAGCGCCTGCTTAGACTGTGAGTAACACGTTTCTGAGGATAGACTAAAGGGTCGGATACTCACAGCAAGAGCCTGTCGTTACTCTGCCTTCTTCCGTTCAAACGCCCCTTTTGTAAAGGAATTTCCGCCATTACGCACGAAGAAATCGCCCACATCTCGATCATCCAAAAGATTCGGCTAACCCACCCCAAGAAGATATGTAGACTGACACTCTGTAGCTGTAAGAATTGTTTGTTCCGGTGTGCCACATGCTCCCATAATCCTAGCGTCAGATCATGGTTACACAGCTTCCGAGTTTCGAGGCCTGGCGAGGACCCGAGAAAGCCCACCAGCTGATCTTCTATCGACCGGAGGCATAACAGTCCAAGGAATTTGAGCTTTGAAAACCTGCAGCCCCCTAGGATGGCCTCAAATTGTTCAAATTGGGGCAACTCCCTCTCTGTGAAAGAGAGCCGAAGCTGCTCAAGGTTGATGGCACCAACCAGGGCCTTGGCCACATGTCCTTGGGTATCCGCATCATGTGCCGAGGTCTTGGTTTTGTGCTCTTACTTGGTTAGGTAGATTACTCGTGGGCTGATCAAAAACCTAAAGCCCTCTCCGAAATTAAGAGCTCGTGCTTGCGACATGTCAAATGCACTGCAAGACATCGACTATTGCCAGCGCTGATGGCGGGAATTGTCCGAGATGATATTTTAAACGCAAGTCTTCGTGATTGAAAGAGGAAGCATTAAAGAACACCATGCTCTCAAACATCTGTGAGGCAGCCAAAACTCGGTTCCATGTCAAAGAACTCCTCATATTTGCACACAGGTCCCGAACAAGCAAAGTCGGGTTCGGAAAACTTGATTGACTCTCCAGACGTGTATCGAATGGTTGGGCAGCCAGTGATCTTGATCGTTTGAAGCTTAGAAATGTTGCCAAGAATGAAACAGAGATGTCCGATTAATTCTTCCTTTTCGTTTAAACCTTGCCAATCAACGCGCTGTGCGATGTATCTGGTCCAAGTATGTTCCAGGGTGCTGATTGAAGCATTCGGGCGGCTCAATACTCCGAAGACAAAATCTCGAAAGTACCGAAGTTCGGAAGTTGTCCAAAGCGTACTCCATGTAGGTTGATCTGAGATCTGAATACCAGAGTGCGAATGTAGCGACCAAAGCAAAGGACAGTCAGGTTCGCGATTTTGAGGTCGGCCCTGGTATTAGAGACGTAGACTTGGTCGAAAAGGAGAGGGTTAGCTGCCTGCTCAAAAGACTTGCAGACCAGCCGGACATTGAAGAGAGCAATTCTTTCGAGAGCAATTCTTTCGAGAGCAATCCTTTCGAGAGACCCAAATACAAATCCCAGGAACTCTGGCGGAAGTCGCATGATAAGATGATCAAAGCTTCCCTTCTGATCCTATCTTGCGATCTTGGCTTGGTACTACGAACTTCTCACCGAATGGCGAAACGAGGGATGATGATCACCAGGAGAAAGCCAAGAAAGTGCTAGCATCTGGGACCTGAGTATACGACCTAGGCCTAGCCCCTGGCGGTCTTTGTATAATTAGGTCTTGAGTAATGACAGTCTTGATGCGGGTATGATGAAGTCTGGACGTTGTATGGGACAAAGGCTGGAGGGCATAGGGTGAGGTGACTGAATGAGTTACAGTGCAGTGTTAGTGCTAGCGTGTACAATGGCCTCCATGAGATACAAACTAAATGACAGACACTTCTACGTCGTTGCGTAGGCGAGTGCTTTAAGAGTATGCGAATGTGCAAAATTTTCAAAAGAGGTTTCCTTGGCGAAATATCACTGATAATCTCATTGCATTAAGGCCATGGAAGCGATGGCTCGAGATCCTTTGCAGATGTGGCGGTCAATTCTTTTTGGATATAATTTTGGTACAACCCTTGAAGCTATGAGGGTTCTCAGACAAATACACACCTTGGCCCCATTTGAGACAATCCCGCGGTGGATTGCTAATGATATTGTACGGGAGGCAGAATGCATGCGGAAACAATATGCCCAAGGATGATCGAGAAAACCAATGCTCTCTGCTGAGCTCCGTTGTATCGAACGAGTAGCTGCTCGACGATGTTGGGGGCTTTGAGCCATCCTCAATGGTATTTGTTTCAGGCTGCTACGAAGTCGACATCTCCAGCGGGGTTGACCCTCTGCCGTTATGCTTTGATATCGGCATCGTACTTTTCTAGCGCTTTCGTCGTGAATGGATTTTCCCCTTGACCGAAGAGAAAGTCGCCAACGTGCCCGTATTGGTCCGCGTATTCAGTATCCGCCCAGGGCTCTTCGAAGCCACCAAATAGCGAATTGAACTCTGCGTGCTTCAGCAGCGGCAAAGAAGCTCGAATCCAGGCCGCAACCCGCAGCCACAAACCTTCAGTCAAATCGTGGCCGCGGATGGTGAGTTGTTCAAGATTTCTGGAGTGTTTGAGTAGCCGAAGCAATTCTGCCTCCGAGGAAGCAAGTAAGACCAAGGTTAACGATCGGAGTTTGGGAAATCTGCACCGTCCCAGTATACTCTGTAACGTAGAGTATTCGGACATTCCCACCCCTGGTTCGTTTGTCAAATTAAGCGACAAACTCTCAAGGTTGATGGCACTCCTTAAAAGCTTGGCGACATTACGATGGACGTGGCGTGTCTCGACCTTCGTAGAAAATCGATCAGTATCTACGTTGAGAGAGAAACGAATCTTGGTCAAGGTGTTAAAACAGAGCTGAGCCTGACTGAGCTTCTCGGGCGACATCGAAAATCCAGCTGTGTTTGTGCTCAACTCCATGTCGCTAGGCTCCATAGTCAACTCTTTGACATTTGCACTCGTGGCGGATAACGCGAGTAGCACTAAGCGCCAAGGATTGGTAAAGCCTTCTTGGGACAATCCGAAGTGGCGCATTGCGTGAGGGATGTGATCGGTGTCCTTAAGGTCACATTGCTTGATTGGGCAAGCTTTTGAGCTCCGCGGCTCGTAGGCCTGCAACGACTGGCGGGACATGACCCGCGAGCTGGAGGTGTCTGTGAGGACTATCTTCCGAATATTCGCCGAGCTGGTAAGGGCGAATGACAGGTATGCTGAAGCTGAACCATCTATGAGATTTGCTTGCTGGTTCTTGCGAGCAATGCAGTAAATTGCGAAAGCATGGTCGGACTGACTCTTGTGACTGTCACTGTCGATGTCGGACTCCCCATCGAACTCCCCATCGAACCCGCAATCAAACTGCTCGTCAAAGCTTTCCCGGGAGAGTTCTGTGTAGTAGACGGTAGAAAACACCAAAGTGCGGATGTATTGCTTGAAATGGAGGATGACAAGCTTAGCGATACGAAGATCAGCCATGTTCTGGGAAATGAAGATTTCGTCGAAGAGCCAGGGGACCGCAGCTCGTTCCCATATCTTCGAGACCTGGCGCACTTGTTTGAGATTTGGCTTGGGTAGATATCCACACACTAAGCTTAAAAGCTCCAGTGGGAGCATGATGGAAGACTTTTGTGCTGGCTCCTTGTCCTGGTTTTCGACAACTGGCGCTAGAAGATCGGCGCTATCTGGTAGTTCTGTAAGCCGAGTGGTATTTAGAAAAGGATGGAAAGCGGCAAAGGAAGACTCCGAGTTTGAGCTTGAGCTTTAGATCGATCAGTGCTGAAAGGCGAGAAGTTTCTGGGTTTCATGCGTCAAATGGCCGCAGGCGGAGCTCAATACAAATGGAACCCATGCTATCAGACCTGAGGATGGGTTCAGCAGAGATGAGGTCACCAGATGTTATGTGTTATCACACTCCTAAATGTGGCCTCCATCAAATTCATTGGGTGTTGAAGACTTGCTTGGTGAAGAGCATCGGCACGTCGTTATTGGTAGCGCGCTAGTGATTTAAATTACATACAGCCCGCGTCAAACTCTATAGTTACTTTAGCCTGACTGACTCCACGATCTACATGTGTATACCGTCACGCGGCTTCGAGTCTAGTGCCACAGAAGTTAGGTTTACGACCAAGTGCCTTTGCTCATAGGCAGTGTGTAATTCAGAGAATAGAGCTCAATCCGCGAAAATGGAGGCTTCACGCGGCCCTCCCAGGGTCAAGAACAAGGCCCCAGGTATGTCCCGCCTGAGAGTGTTGAAGGCGTACGTGCTGACATCTTCCAAGCTCCTCAGCAAATTAGCGCAGAACAGCTGCTCCGTGAGGCCGTCGACAGACAAGAGCCAGGACTACAGGCGCCTACGCAGCGATTCGCAGATCTCGAAGAGCTTCATGAATTCCAAGGTAGGAAACGGAAGGAGTTCGAGGATTATGTGCGAAGGAATAGGATAAACATGAACAACTGGATGCGATACGCACAGTGGGAACTTGAGCAGAAGGAGTTCCGCAGAGCAAGGTCGATTTTTGAGCGGGCTTTGGATGTGGATTCCACCTCGGTCATACTATGGATCCGCTATGTCGAGGCGGAGATGAAGACAAGGAACATCAACCATGCGCGCAACATACTAGACCGAGCTGTGACAATCCTGCCGCGAGTGGATAAGCTGTGGTACAAATATGTGTACATGGAGGAGACTCTGGGAAACGTGGCGGGCACTCGACAAGTCTTCGAGCGGTGGATGTCATGGGAACCAGATGAGGCCGCATGGTCAGCGTATATCAAGCTCGAGAAGAGATACAATGAGTTTTCTAGGGCACGAGCTATTTTCGAGCGCTTTACCGTGGTCCATCCAGAGCCCCGGAATTGGATCAAATGGGCAAGGTTTGAGGAGGAGAATGGAACGAGCGATCTCGTCCGCGAAGTGTTCGGCATGGCTATCGAGACGCTAGGAGACCATTTCATGGATGAACGGCTGTTCATTGCCTACGCTCGCTACGAGGCAAAGCTTAAGGAATATGAGCGTGCCAGAGCAATCTACAAATATGCCCTGGACCGGCTTCCAAGGTCAAAGGCCATGACCTTGCACAAGTCATATACAACCTTCGAGAAGCAATTTGGTGATCGAGAAGGCGTAGAAGATGTCATACTCTCCAAACGACGGGTCCAATATGAGGAGCAGATCAAAGAGAACCCCAAGAATTACGACGTCTGGTTCGACTTCGCCAGGTTAGAGGAGATGTCACAGGACCCAGAGCGAGTGCGAGAGGTGTACGAAAGAGCGATTGCACAAATCCCACCGACGCAAGAGAAGCGACATTGGCGAAGGTACATATACTTGTGGGTGTTCTACGCTTTGTACGAGGAAATGGACAATGGAGATATCGAGCGAGCTCGCCAAATATACTCAGAATGTCTAAAGCTAATACCACACAAGAAATTCACATTCGCCAAGATCTGGATCATGAAAGCGCAATTCGAGGTCAGACAAATGCAGTTACAAGCCGCAAGGAAGACTATGGGCAACGCTATAGGCCAGTGTCCCAAGGACAAACTGTTCAAGGGATACGTCGAGCTTGAACTGAAGCTCTTTGAGTTCGTCAGGTGCCGGACTCTTTATGAAAAGTACATTGCGTGGAACCCTGCCAATTGTCAAGCCTGGATCAAATTTGCTGAGCTAGAAAGGGGTCTGGACGACTTGGACCGCACGCGTGGTCTCTTCGAGCTTGCAGTCGACCAGCCTGTCTTGGACATGCCGGAGCTGCTTTGGAAAGCGTATATTGACTTTGAAGAGGAAGAAGGGGAGTACGGCAGGACGAGAAGGCTGTATGAGCGACTGTTGGACAAGACAGACCACGTCAAAGTCTGGATTAGCTACGCGCATTTCGAAATCAACGTACCTGAAGAAGGCGAGGAGGAAGATGAAGAACAGGAGGACCGGCCAATCAGCGAAGAAGCTAAGCAACGCGCTCGCGAGGTCTTTGAGCGAGCGTACAAGAGCATGAGAGAAAAGGAACTCAAAGAAGAGGTATGTCTCTTTCTAACGCATCTTCTCCTCCCTCAATAGCATTCCTTGATCCGAAAAGTTCCGCTAACATCCCCCAGCGCGTCGCCCTCTTAACCGCCTGGAAATCCTTCGAAGGCACACACGGCGCACCCTCAGACATCGAAAAAGTCGACAAGCAAATGCCGCGCAAAGTCAAGAAGAGGAGAAAGCTCGACGACGACAGCTTCGAAGAGTATATGGATTATGTTTTCCCTGCAGACGACGAGTCAGCGGCGAAGATGTCGAAGCTGCTGCAGATGGCGCACCAATGGAAGCAGACGCAGGGGGAGAATGGGGTGGCGTAGTGCTTCCGCATCTTGCGTTTATTTTCGATTATCTACATCTAACGACACCAACGTGCAACAAGCTGAAGCTGCCAGTGATGCTCAAAGCGTTCGATAAATGAATTCGAATATACATCTTCTCATGAAAAGCGCCAGAGAGTATCCGCTAAATGCATCGAATAATGGTATGAAGCCCAGCTTATACTCATTCAGCCTCCCTTAGATCCTCAATTACACACACTTTCCCGTCATCTCTTCCCCTCACACAACAACACTCCCGCCCCGGACACCACTACTGCCAGGAACGCTTCCACTCCCACTCCCACTCCCCCCCACTCCCACTATTACTAGCCCCCACCTGCACCGCCCCAGCGCCCGCCGCCGCAGCCGCAGGACAAAGCGGGTTCGCGGCCGGGGTATCCCTCACCACCGTACTACTCCCCCACAACCCCGTCGTCGCATCACAGCACACCGTCCCATTCGGCGCTCCAACGACCGTATCGATCTTCGCGCTCGGATCCTCATACACCATACCCGTCGTAGACAGTACGCAGGCCGCCGAGACGTACGTGCAATTACACGGACCCACCAGCATGGGAGGCATGACGGAGTCCGGTTCAGGCCCGGCGGACGTGGTGTTGGCGAGGACGTCGAGCGTGCCGTTCGTGTCCAGGACACAGCGGCCACGACAGGTGCTGCCAAGCGCCACGTATGCGGCGGCCGCCGCGATGGCGTTGGAAGCCAATTTGGAAGCCAATTTGCAAGTATATGTGCCCCAAGTGGAATCGACTGGGAAGTCGTCCGCCGCCGTTTTGGTCGCGGCGCATGTGTAGCCGTTGTTGTAATCGCAATCCGTGTGAGAGACGCAGGATCCCGATTGCGCGCCGCTGCCGAGTCTGTTACCGGCTGGAGGCGCAACAGCGCTGTCGGGGGAGGACGGCGGTGAAGTCTTCTGCTTTTTGGCTGCAGGAGCTGAGTCGTCGTCGCAAGAGTAGTTGCCGTCGGCGTCTGTAATGCAGGCGAATTTCATGTCGAGCATCTGTTTCGTTTTCGAAGTGACGCCGGAGACGAAGATGCCGATGCTCTGGGGTATGCCCATCCCTTCGGATACATCGCCTATGATGAGTGAGCAGGCTGTCGCCGGAATTTATGGGAATGATGCATTCTCTTACCAGCCTTTGCTGAGCCGCCAACGCCGAGTCCAGCTACGCACTTTTGGCGGATGGCATCTGCCCGGCCCCAGATGTAATCCCAATTCTCGATATTGGAGGAAGCATAGTAATTTCCTCCGTCCAGCATGCTGACTTGAATGTAACATGTTCCTACGCGTGTCAGCTGGCTAAAACGCACGGCCAGAGCGGCCTTACTTACCACTCGTCCAGTTGTAAGGTGTCTGCGCAATTTCATAACCGTTGTAAACTGATTGGGCGCCAATTCCTAAAAATTCGCAGCTATCTGTCATGCTCTCGAAACCATCCCCAATGCCATCTTGAGCAAGTTCACAGTCCGCGCTAAGAGGATGTCCATAGAAGTATCCGGTTTCGTCGCAGTCAATGCCATCATCAGCTTCAGGGTCGTGATACGTGTCCATACAACCCCCTGCATCGACTTCGTCATCGGAATCAGATTCACCTACATCAGCAAGACATTGTGCCGACGCCGGTTTTGACGAAGAAGGATCGGGGTCGCCTGGAGCGATCTGTGTACAATAGCAGTTGGCCAGACATGCATCTTTGAGGTATTGCGAGTCAGGTGGGCCCAAAAACTCGTAAAGTTGTGACGCAGGCCTTTGGACGAGCAATGCATCACCCGCGGGAGGGCAGTAATACCCCATTCCTCCTGGGTATTGGCCGCATAGCGAGGTCATTGATCTGAACGTAGCAACCTGCGCGAGAAAGGCTTTCGCTGGATCGCTTTCAGCCGGTGGGGTGGGGTCAGGATAATTGGGAATCTGAGCTCGTGGATCGCATTCGAGCACCTAAAAGAAACGTCAGCGCATAGACGGCGAACGAGCAGAAGTTGGTCTTACGGGTATCAAACGCTTCCCAAGATTGGTTTTTGGTGTTTTGGACAAGCTAGAAATAGACGGTAGTGCCATAGAGCAAGGCAGAAGTAAAAAGATCGCTGTTGACGCTACACGGGAAAACATGATGGACCCCTCGAATATGCCTCTACCATGAACAGATAGGCAACAAAGTTTATAGAAGTCGCGAAAGAAACGAACAAAATACTTGGCAAGGAACGATCGTGGGAAATGGACGGACTTTGGGTTCTATCAAGGAGATACAATTGAAATACAGCTCCACCAAGACTGGAGACTTGAAACCCCACGGAACGCATGGTTCTTCGATCGACTTTTATATTTTGATGGAGCGGTAGCTAGACCGTTACCTCGGAGAATTGAAATTTGTCAGTGTTTCGGCAAGCACAAGTGCGTGTTTGGACGATGTTTGGACGATAGCCGCGAAACTTTTTATGCGCCCCCACACCCTGAGTCTTGTCACGAAAGCAAAACGCTGCTTCATCCGTGTGAGGCTATGCATCGCACTTCGCGCAATTGCTCCGCCAAGAATCCAGAGCTAGCGGGGCGCCTGGAGAATAGACAACAGGTCGCGTAACGTGGTGTATGAGAATTGGAACCCTCGTCTCGTCTAGTCTATCTCATGGAAAGCATGCCGGATTGAAACCAGTCAACGCATGACAGGCTTTGGTATTGTTGTACAAAGTCAAGGCCAAGGTTCGCAAACAATCGGTGGTATCAATCAAGTAGACTTGAGTCGGAGATAGTAGCTGGAGCTCTTTCTGAGAACTTTTGATACTGTGGCTTCGAAAACTTGGGCTCGGAAAGGCGATCTATAAGGAAGCGTAGCAGCGCGGAGTTATATTTTCTATAGTCAGTGAGAATAGGCCGATGTTGTACAAGACAGGCTCTGCTTCATGATAGATTTGCTTGCATGTCAGAAACAGAGGAATCACGTTCTGGGTCGTCTCGTCAAAATGACGTAAGGATGAAGGTGTTTGTCCGCTGGGAGGAGTATCTCGCGGAGCATCATCTCTCGAACATCTGTATCTAGAGTCAAGAATGGGAATGGCTCATCCGAGGGTATGACTGTAATCGGTCCCTGCATACATTTTATTTCCGTTCCTTGAACGCTGTTCGCTGGTATATGGCCACCTATAGGAGTAGACCTAGAGAGTCCGGTCAAGGTATCTCTGAGCCAAGGTAGGAAATTCTCACTAGATTCGGAGTTTTCATAAAGGGTTCCTCCTCGTATTACCGAAATCTCGAAAGGGGCAAGGTCTTAGTCTGGAAGATTGCTTAAATCCATCCAGCGTCTTTCAGGCAACTTCTGACAAATCCAGGTGCTTTCTCTGGTCTCCTGGTCCCCAGAGTCTTAGACTTTGCAAGCCAGGACATTCACGAGCCAGAAAAGTCATGAAAACGGTCCAGTCAAACAAAGAGATATTGGCCCAGTAATCAAGTGAGTAGCACCTCCGTTCCCCCCTTGGATCAATCTTCGCAATCGCTTTGGCAACATTTGAAAGAACTAGTGGTTCTTGCTGCCCATGTCCCCCCAGTCAGCGTACATTAATTGCCAAGAGGATGTACCGTAGAGGACTTCCTCGGCTTCATGCTAATAGTTTTTAAGCCGTTGAGAGTGGATATGATACCTCAGTATTAAAAGCCCACCTGAAGCTGTTTGCAAGCACGGATGACAGAGACATCAAAAAAAATTACTAGAGTCTTTGATCTTCTTGTACGGGCAGATCTGTCGTACTGCAATTGGCGCACGACCCAAGCCATCTTGGCTAATGCTCTCTGGATGTCTGTCTCCTGGGAAGAACAACTCCCCCAAGATCTAATCGCGAATTTCTCGCGGCAAATCAAGCAATGGAAAACAAGTAGATAGAGCGGCTGAGTCCATGGCTTTGGAGCGAGGACCCTCAGCGCACAGACCCCCAAGTGCAAAATGATGGAGAGTACGAGTATCTCTAGCAGCCAGGGCAGTCACTCTACGAAAGGAAGGCATTCCCAGGATGCAAGCTGCGGCGCTTTCTTGGGTACAGATGCTCGACGTCAATATAGCATCGCTCTGGAGATAGTCGTCAAGTATCGCTAAGACTGCAAGTTGAAAGGTCCACTGTATGTAATCGTAGCCGACTATTCGCCCGCTTATAGGAGCGAATAGTCGGACTACGATTAGTCTGTAAAGGTAACGATCGGTTCTTTGCTTAGCGTAGCCCTAAAGCTAATCCTCATCCTCTCTATCAAAGTCCTCGTTCCACGCTTTACGCCGTTCTTCCTCACCATCCCATTCCCAAACTTTTCGCAATCATGGACAGCGTCGGTACATACGCCACCAGTACAGCCGCATGGCTCTCCCTCCAAGCTATTCCTCTCCTCATATCTCCCAAATTGATAGTCACAATGCTTTCGCCCGATGCCAGGAGGCCCACAGGTTCACCCCCTGCTCCCTCTACCATATCATCCCCACTAAACCCCCTCCCAGATCTCGAAATATACCTCTCCCGCACCCTCTCCATGACCCTCCTGTGTCTAGGTCTCCTCACCATCCTTCTCGCCGGCCTCCTTCCCCTTTCCACCCCTGTCGCCGAATCCGAAAACTCCCACGCTCCCTCTCCGTACTCCGGTCCTACAATCTTCCTGACAACAACCTTCCACGTCTCGAGTACCATATACATGTATACGAATTATATGGCTACTGGATCAGCTTGTTTTGCGCTGGGGATGACAGGGAGTGGGATTCTGAGCTGTTTCGGACTGTGGTGTTTGATGTTCGGGGGAGGTGATGGGAGAGGAAAGGTGTCAGGGTGGCCGTTTAGGAATGATGAGGAACGGACAAGGAAGAAGGAGAAGATGATGAAGAGACGGGGTTTGTGAATGTGAAAATGAATTTGTATGACCAAGCTAAAACGATACTTCCATCTCTTTCAACACTATCGAGCGAACTTCTCTCAACACATTTGAGAATACTATCATCAACACTTTAAAGGGTGCCATTATCGACACTGCATTTTTATCAATAATTGTCAACGAATCTTCATCAATGCTTTTACGAGTAGCTTCGGCAACACGTTTGAGAGTATTTTTTGCAACACTCTCTGAGGTGTCTTCATCAACACTGTGAAGAGTATTTGTATCAAAACTGTCCGGGGTATCTCGACCAGTAAGCCTACCAAAAGGCCCGCTATCCGCTCGTCAAATCATCATAAATCATTAGACCATCACGCCATCAAGCCCCTTATAAAAGACGCCAAAATTATCGTCTCCTTCTTTAGTACCGCCCGACTCCATGACCGCAAAGACGATCTGCTCCCACCATCCTCCTTGAAATTCACTTTCCGAAAAGACCTCTTTCCAACACTCCACAACCTCTCCCCTCGGATTCGCAAAAGCACCACATCCCAGTGCCCCAAGCACTAACACTCTATGCCCTTTGACTGCCGCAATCCGCAACACCACTCTCATCTTCTCTTTCATAATTTCCCTATCACCTGCGCGCCTGTACCTCTCGTTCCCACCTGCATCTTTCTCGATCGCAGGCCCCTGGATAGCAGCGACGCTTACACAGCTGAAAACGGGCAAGTCATCTGGCTTGCTCAGATCCATCAATCCATGTCCCGAGCTCCTATTCGCGCGGATAACCACAACTGTTGGACTGTAGATACCGCCTGCTTCAGGCATAGGATAGAACTTGTACTTCAGGGTGAAAAAGAGGCTGGAGCGGTAGCACATTGCTTCTTCCTGCGCTAGAGAACCACGTAGCCAGCCTCCTCCACTGTGATACGCGTTCGCCATATTGAGGACCAGGACTGGCTTTTTCGGAAGCTGGGAGACTGTTGGTGTGGAGAGATCGATCGCAGCATCTATACTATCGGCATTGAGAACGCGTATAGCGGTCTGAGGTAGTCTCGGGCAAGAGCGAGAGTCCAAGCGGAAAAGGTTGCCCGGGTGGCAGAGGACGCCTTCTGCAGGAGCCCCTGGTGTTGTCTTCAGAACGTTCGGGAGGAGAGCCCTGGTCTCAGCTGCTGTATGGGCGAGCATAACGCTGCGAGTAGGTTTGAGATTAGGCGGTGGGCGGGCGAGGTTGGAGCGTCGTTCAGGATGGAGATTAATCGGAATTTTCCCTGAGTCGCGTTCGTGCTGGGGGGGGAATTGCTGCGTCTGCTTGAGAATTGGAGGCCTCAGGGACCGGTTTGGAGAGATACGGAGAGGTGGTAGTGTCTTCTGCGGAGCCATGTTTGGGCCTGAAGAAAGACGAGGTGAGCTTGCTCTGGTAAAGCTTCGGCTTTCGGTCTTGCGGGTCTGAGTCCGCCTCGGTATTGGTCATCGTGGTACTTCGTAAGGTGTCAGCATCCTTGTCGAGGGTCGAGATGGTTACATGGTGCTGTAGTGGAGGTGTTGATCTTGCGCGGAGTTGCGTACAAGTGAATAGAACGCTAAGCCTTGGCAGCTGAGATAAAACTGGAGAGAAAGCATTTATAGAAGAGATGCCTATAATTTTACATTTTGTTGGCATTTGATGTGTGGGACTATTAATTGCATCCTCTAGTATTCTCCTAATTATATTATCAACGCTCCGATGAATTTCTAAGCTGAACGGCTCAGAGGCCGAACCTCCCGAGGGAGAGGCATAAAAAGGACAATCAAACATCTGCATTACGAACAGCCCCCTCATAGACCGATAATCCAGTCATAATGACCTTCAAATACTTAATCACAGGCGCAACAGGCGGTCTCGGTGGCGGCGTCCTCCAACAGATCGCGAAGCATGCGCCCAAATCAGACTATGCAGCCAGCTCATCTCGCCCAGAGGTTGCAGAGCAGTTCGAGAGATCAGGCATCCAGTTCCGCCACGCCAACTACCAGGACCGGGCTTCGCTGGAAAAGGGGTTTGCTGGAGTTGAGAAGCTGCTGTTTGTGTCTGCAAACACCTATGACAATGAGGCGAGGAACCAGCAACACAGGAACGTGATTGAAGCGGCTAAGTCCGCCGGCGTTGGTCATGTTCGTGATCCTCTAATGCGGTAGTTGTAAGCTAGGCTGACGATGACAGGTATTCTACACATCGCTCGCTTGGGGAGGCCATTCTTCCGACTCGAAAATCGACGTGCAACAAGCGCATTACGTCTGCGAAGCAATGCTGAAAGAGTGTGTGAGCTTCGAGAGATTGTTTCTGTTAGCATGATCCGCTAAGAATTGTTAGATCTGGGATCGCATACACGTCTGTTCGAGAGGGCATATATGCTGAAGCTTTCCCCCTTTTCTTGAATTACTATCCTTCATCCCAGATCCTGCGTCTGCCAGCCGATGGTGCCGTTGCTTATGCATCCCGCGCTGAACTTGCAGAAGCTACCGCAAATCTGATGATGAGAGGTGGCCACAAAAAAGAGATAGTCTTGCTGACAGGGGCGAAAGCCGTCACTTTGGCAGATTTGGTGGAGATAATCAACGATGTCACCGGCAGAGGGATTGCTGTCGAAAAAGTGCCGTTTGACAAGTATACAAGGGAAAGCGCGGAAAATGACGAAGGTGGCAAGTCGGAATGGTGGTTCGAGAAGAGAGTATCGTGGTATGACGGGGTTGCAAAGGGCGACGGAAAGGCAGTGGACCCTTTGATGGAGCACCTGCTGGGTAGAAAGCCCAAGGATGGCACAGAAGTCGTGAGAGGGATCCTCGCTGCTGACCCAATTTACACGTGGCATCAGAATTATGCGAAGAAATAGATCCGAGAAAGTGCCACGATAGGAGCATGGAAGCATGGTTAAAATCCGATATTCACTGTGAACTTGTGGAATTCTCTCGAAGACCGACTGATTTCCATGGCTCTGTATAATTCGAGGAGAGGAGAATTTGGGGTATCAGCCTCTTGCATAACAGGCTCACAGAAGCTCTTCAAGCCGATCTCATCTCTGGTGGCATTTCCGGTGGACCTGCAGCATATCGATACCACGGCAAAGGTCCCAAAATGGGCAGCATAGGCAACGGCAGATCCTCTGCCAGCTTCTGAACAGTCTCAGGATGCTCCCCTTTGTCATGTGCCGTCGCAATCTCGGCCTCCATAACGTTCGCAAGCACCAACTCTTTAGCTATCCACTCCTGCTTCCTTTTGGCTTCCAGTGATCGTATTTCGTCTTGCAAATCAGACCCATCCTCCTCGGACCAATGAATCTGCCGCCGTAGGAGTTTGAACAGCCGCTCTGAAGGCATTTCCAATTCTTCTTCAGTGAACTGGACATCTGCTGGGTATTCAAAGGGTGCTGCAGATAGACCTTCATTTTCTGCATCTGTATTGCTGTAGATGGTTGCGTCGTCGTCAATCTCAGTATCTCCGTTACCTTCGTCGCGTGGTTTTGAGTTTACGATGAGTTTTAGTCTTTGCGGCTTAGGCGGTATTGACGAGTAGTTCTTAGGTACTGGATCGGATGGCCGTAGTGCTTCGGTCTCATGTACAGTCCTCATATGCTTAGCTAGAGCATCAGAGCGTGTAAAGGCTTTGTCGCATTCTAGTCCGGGTAAGCAGAGCACTATTTGGTGACCCTGTAGAGCATACCTGGCAATTGGCAGTAAAACGGCTTCTCCTTGGTATGACTCCGCATATGAGCTTTGAGAGCATACCCACTGGCCTGAGCACTGTTTCGATTGCAACCATCCCACTCGCACGCATACTTTTTCTTGTTCTTGCCAATATGATCATCATGTAAGTGCTGCACCAAGTTGTCCATATTGCCTAAATCACCCGCCTGACAATCCTGCCATTTGCACGTCGTGACCTGCTCCGAGGGTACCGAAGCGTATGGCTCATCTTCCGGAAAGCCCATTACTTTGTCGCCCATTGGGGATACGGGTACGCTTCCTGTGGTGTCGGATGAGATGTCCCCTAGATCTTCTGGGATCTCATGGAGAGGAGCTGGGGTTGACTGATGTGAGTACTGGCCAGTACGGCGTCTCTTGGCTGGTGGAACGAGGTGTGTATCATGGGAAGGAAGAGTATCGGTGCTCTGCTCCCGGTCCTCGACTTTGACCTCGTCGCCGAATTCACTAGAGCCGTGGGATGAGAGAGGCGACATGTCTGGTGAGTCTGCCATTGCGAGGATTGGTGCCAAAAGATGATTCGCAATTGTAGGGACGAGGGGCAGGTTGAACATTTGTCGTTGGCGCTATGTCCACACAGCCATTAAAACCACATCCAGGGTCTCCTTATCAAAGACCTTTCACGAACTGCTTTACAACAAACTCTACTCACGTTTGATTCAACGCAATCTCAGCCTGTCATGGCCTCCAACCTCGTCGAGCTCGTCAACGAATACTACGAGGCCAGAAAACCCTACACCCAGATGCTGCGAGAAGCCCATGCCAGCCTACCTACTAAACACTCCTCCCCCAAAACCGACACATCTACCGCTGAAGCCATTGACATGGTCCAATCTCAGCAAGAGTCGCCGTTCTCAACTTCCCCCAGGATACCAAACGAAGAGATGAGGGACGTTTTGAAAAGGCTGGAGGCTACCAAGATCGAGTATGCGCAGGGAGATAAGTCTACGGGGAAGGCTTCTGCGGAAAGGAAGGGGAAGGCTCCTGTGGAAAAGAAATGATGGGCGTAATGACAGCAAGAGCATATTCGAACGGAGGCGGAGTGAAAAACAGTCGTGATCATAGCTGGCATGGGCTGCTGCATACTGTGGAAGCTCTCGTGAGAGGCAGGTCGTCGACAAGGATCGGCAATCAAGCCGCAAAATCACAGCATGTACGGAGGCACCCAGGGCCAGAGGCATTAGACCGGAAATGTTGGAGAGTATTGAGAACCTGGTACCACAACGCTCTCGGCTGTCCTTCTGATCACACGGACATCGGTCGAGCCTATCGCCATCAGCTCGCAAATAAGCGGAGTGGACTCCTTGACCCTAGCTCCGTAAGTAGCTTCGATTCATTTCATTTCTTCCTTCCTTCCTCCATTCCATATGATGAACGCACTCAAGAATTCTGCAATTCGGATTGGCCCTTTTTATGGGGGATCGCATGTCGACAAATTGAACATTACACTCGATCTGATATCATAAATCGTGGTTGCACTTGACTGACTGCCTCGCAATTGCAATGACGATTGCTGATTTGTTGGCGTTGGTTCTAGATCCGAGAGTGTTTCACTGGTACCATGAACGTTTCATAAATCAAAGCTGCAAAGGTCACGTTCTGCTGTTGGTTGGATGTCATAGGGGCAGGATCGTCTATTGGACCTTTCTTTTCAGGTCTGATTAGGATCTTTCATTCGGCACACGAAAACTCAAGCCAGGAGAAGGAGAAGGAGCAGAAGATACAATTATGGCTAGGCTTCGTCACTTGGGCTACTCGATATGGCAATCGGTTCGCAACAGTAGGAAGCAATAACAGCAACCGATGGGGGCAGACCTCAGTACTCTACAGAATCCTTGAATTTGCGACTCGTTGAAGCGAGGGGACGAGGAACGGGGAAATTAGGATATGGCAGATCACATTCAGTTGAAAAGGAATTCTTGGACCACCAGTTTCATCTATCAAGTCTGATCTCGGATGTCAATGCTGACAGGCACTCTATGTGACAATGGTTGACAATGCCAAATCACGAACGCCATTTATGGTAGACTCAAACCATTTGTTGAGATGGCTCGCTCGCTAAAGTCAAAGGGGGATATAGCCGTTGAAGGGCATATGCTTTTGTTTGTTCATCTCGTCGTAAATCGTGTTGAATGATTATTAGATGGCTGTTGAGGGCAAATCTAGTAGCGGTAGCTGTAAAACGGACGTCAGTAAAAGTATCGAACGAAATATCGGAATCCTTCGAAGGATGAATTGAACGTACATGTCGTTCTTGAAGGGTCCCTCGGCAGGCAGACCCAAGTATTCAGCTTGTGTCTCCGACAGCTTCGACAGCTTGACGTTGACGTGATCCAGATGCAGCAGAGCGACTTGCTCATCTAGAATCTTGGGCAGGACATAGACCCCGATTTCCTTCTTTCCAGTCTTCCCAAACTCGATGTAGCGCTTACCGAACGCCTCATCCTCGGCCTTGAACAACATAATCTGCGCGAGCACTTGGTTGGTGAAGGAGCATGACATGACGAACGAAGAGTGACCGGTAGCACATCCAAGGTTCACAAGGCGGCCCTCGGCGAGGAGTATGATGTGATGGCCGTTTTCCATGAGGTAGCGGTCGACTTGGGGCTTGATGTTTTGGACAGATTTGGCATTCTTCTTCAACCAGGCAACGTCGATCTCGATGTCAAAATGTCCGATATCTGGGTATGAATTTAGCACCAATCCTAATCTGCAGCTTGGAATGCTCAATACTCACTGCACACAATGGCATCATTCTTCATGACCTCGAAGTGTTTGCCGAGGAGGATATCTCTGCATCCAGTCGTAGTGACGAAGATCTGACCTTCCGGTGCAGCGTCTTCCATGGTAGTGACCTGGTAGCCTGAAACGGCCGCCTGCAGAGCGTTGATAGGATCAATCTCGGTGACAATGACACGGGCACCCATGCTGTGTAAAGCCTGAGCGCATCCTTTGCCGACGTCACCGAATCCAGCGACAACGGCGACTTTGCCAGCAACCATGACATCTGTGGCACGCTTGATACCATCGATGAGAGACTCTCTGCAACCGTACAAGTTATCGAACTTGGACTTCGTAACGGAGTCGTTCACGTTGACAGCGGGTACCAGAAGACCTTTCCCCTTGAGCATTCGGTACAGGTGGTGGACACCAGTGGTCGTCTCTTCTGAAACACCGTAGCAGTCCTTGAGCATCTCAGGGTGCTTGTTGTGTACCAGCGCTGTCAGGTCTCCACCGTCATCGAGGATCAAGTTGAGGGTCTTTCCATCGTTGAAGGCTACGAGCTGTTGCTCCAAACACCAGTTGTATTCTTCCTCGGTCTCACCCTTCCAGGCGAACACTGGAGTACCTGCAGCAGCGATGGCAGCTGCAGCATGGTCTTGTGTGGAGAAGATGTTGCATGATCTAGCCCACAAACTTTAGCCTTTTTGACTCACCAAAGTAAAGAAGTGAAAACGCACGACCAAGTGACTTCGGCTCCGAGAGATGTGAGGGTTTCAATGAGAACAGCGGTCTGAATAGCTGCAATCAATCAGCACTGCCAGATGTTTCCTCCCTTGTATCGCTTACTCATGTGTAGACATCCTGCGATACGGGCGCCCTTCAGTGGCTGATCTTCTGCGTACTTTATCCGCGTGGCCATGAGACCTGGCATCTCATTTTCGGCGAGCTCAATTTCGCGACGGCCAAAGGCTGACAGTGACTAGAATGAGATAAGCATAGGTGGTATGCCTTACGAAGGCTCCAATTGGCCTTGCAAGTCATATACGTACGATGTCGGCGACCTTGTACTTAGATGCTGGTGGTCCACTCATGTTTGCGGTGTTGTGGAAGGTTCTGTTTGTAGAATGTCTTGGAGTGGAAAACGAAGGTAGGTAGCTTCAGTGGATTGAAGGAATAGAGGGAGATTCGAGAGCGAGGCTGGGTGTTGGTGGTGTGGTGAGAGCTGAAATCGACCGGTGGCTTGCGGCGGGCTTACTCGTTCTGAGCTCGATTTTTTCCAGCTTAGCGTCGATCTGTATCTTGCATCTTGCAGGGTTTGATGCTTCTAGTCCATTGATGGAGATATTATGTGACGCCTTCTCATTTCATTTATGTGGTCAGGCTTGTCGCAGCGTTAATCATTTATTGCCCTTCAGGCTTCTCGATACCATCTTTCCCAGCATTTAGACGTAATTCAGTAGCCCGGGTTCGCTGTCTCTAACGCTACAGTACTACGAATGCATCTATTTGGAATCCGGTAGTTCCGGAACTTCACCCAGCTCGTTGGTGCCTCATGGTTCTCCAGCTCCGGGCAGAAGGTTGCCCCTAACAGCAAACATCTTCCCTGTAACCCCTGCGGCGAACCCGTCTACCTGCCTCGCATACTGCTCGACTTGCCTGCTGTTCAACAAAGTATCTAGTCTCCCTGGCTCCTGAGGTAACTTGAACAATCTCTGCCATTCATCCTCCGGTAATGGAGTCTGCTTCGCCAACGCCCTGCTCGCATTTTCCGACTTTCGCTTCGCCTGCCACGCGGTAATTTTGGTCTGTTCACGTGCAAGTTGACGTTGATAGTATTGGTAATTGTTGAGTTCGGTGTGGTGCGTCTCTATACTTTCAAGGAGGAGGTCGGTCGTCTGGGTGAGGAATGGGTCGATGGAAAGATTCAGCGAAGAAAAATTCGGTGAAAGAGGATCTGGTGTTTTCGCGAGTGAGGCGATTGTGGGCGGCTGAGACTCTTGCGCTTCTGCAGAGGGAACCGGGGAAGGCATAGAGTGTAGGAAAGAGGTTAGGAGGTGAGAGTTGTGGATTTGGACTGGAAGTTCGAGTAGGATATCTTGATAGCGGAGGTTCGATTTTTGGAGGCTGGGGTTGCGGACACGTTAGTACGTACTCGATGATAGAGAACAAAGAACTGGCAATACCTCTCGGTGGTGAATTTGGCTTCTTTGTAGGCGATCATGAACGAGGGCGATAACCTAAACGCTCGTAGGCTAAGGCTTCCTTGAGAGCTTCTGCTGACATCATGGATCAAGGCCACTGTCCGCTCATTCAACTCCTTCTGATAAAAATGTTGGTTCTCGATCATGTTAAGATTCACGAAGTTGCCCAGATTTGCGCTGGTGTACCAGCCGGTATTGTTGGCATCCACGTTGACTTCTCTTAGCTTCTTGATCATTTCGTTCTGGTATGAGGCATTTGCTTTGGCTCTAGGGGCGGCTGCAGCAAGATTTGAGGCCGCATTGTTATCGTGGTGGCCATCTGTTGGGGGTACTTCGACGGTTGGGAAGGGGAAAGAGTTGGTGATTTCGAGATTTGCTGCTTTGTCCATGCCGACCAGAAAACCGGTAGCGGTTGTAGGGAAAGTCTGCGAGCAGTGTTTTATTATCTTCATGACCACCTAATACAAAATCAGCTAACGGTGCTGCATGCGCACTTGATAGACCCCTACCAATGCCTCCAATTGAACCGCCTTCAGCGGAGCATCTTTTCTACCACAGGTTAGTATTTATATGAACAAAATGGGACAGGTTCACTCCTACATTGTGTCCGCCATGTTTTACGAGAGAATTTATTACTTGGCCGTTAGAAGTGCTCACAAAGGCTGTGGGAATTCAACTTTGGAGTGGTGGAGTAAGAGTCGCGCGTATTTTCTGTGCGGTGATATTGATATTCCATTGCCGATGAGTCCGAGCTAAGACTAGCGTTTAATATGCCAAGGAATGTGGACCCTTGAAGCACTGGCGTTCACCATAGGCCACAAATCCACGCTCTCTCCGTTCGACATTGAGGTGGGAGGAACCGTATTACGTAGACTACTTACGACGCGCCCAATGTTTGGAAGCCACAAGGACAATGGAGCCTGCAAGCAAACTTGATCATTCTATGGCTTTAGCTGCAAACGGAATCGTTGCGGACTTAAGGTACCTCGGGTGCTATTCCCCGAAAATTCGGCGTTTGGGTTATCGCGAATATCGCTGCTAAGGTAAATGTTGGGGATAAAGCCGCCCCGATGGCCGGATCTGAGGACTTTATGGACCATCTCAAAGTCCGAACCCTACTCCAATACTTATCTATAAAGAAGCCATGTATTCCCTAATTGCTGACCTTAATAACCAGCATTTATTATCCTCATACCATAAAACATTCATCATGTACTCAGATATCATCCTCCAAACATTTGACGCCTTCCAAGCCCAACAGGTCACCTCGATGAAGGCCCACCATGTCGCCAAGAATAATACTCATCACGAGAGCGAACAGAGGCATAGGCTTCTCAATTCTTCAGGCCTTGGCCACGCGCTCTCCATCCCATCACTATCTTCTTGCCGCTCGCAGCACGCCGAACGGGGAATTGGCCATTCAGGGACTGCGAAAGTCGGGCGTGCAAGCTGAGATCGACGTCGTGGAATTGGATGTTGCAAACGAGTCGAGCATCAAGGCGGCAGAGCGAAAGGTTCGGAAGTGGTACGGACGACTAGATCTTCTGGTTAACAACGCTGGGATCGCGATCCTCGAAAGGCCAGACGCTCGAACATCCAAGAAAGCTACGCTCAGACCTTCAGCACCAACATTACTGGCGTCGCTCTCATGATGATCACCTTCCTACCTCTCATGAAGGAGAGCTCTCCAGACGCTCAAATCATCAACATCTCTTCTGCTCGCGCCTTTCTTCATCTATCATCAACCCGGAATCTCCCACCATCTACGGTGATCTCCTACTCGGTCAGCAAGACGGCTCTCAATGCTTTGACGGTCGAGTACGCGAAGGCAGAGCCTACTATTGCCTTTTACGCCGCTATTCCAGGCCACTGCAAGACTGCATTCAACGGTTTCAAGGGTACGAAGGATCCATTGGACGGGGCGCGAGTGGTCGTGGAGCTGGTATTGGCCGAGAAGGGGAAGTACGAGAATGGCTTTTGGCAACTGGAGGGCAATGAGAAGGAGGCAAGCCGAGTGCCGTGGTAGCTCTTGATCATATGTTATGCGTTAGCAAGGCAGCACTTGTTAGAGGCCAGCTCTTCTGCGATCAATCGGAGTCAATGCATCACAGACCACCTAATACTATTGCCACGTAGGCACATTCAAAAACCAAAATATGTTGACAATAGAGGTCAGAATGCCGTGAACTTGTTAAAGATTTTGACCATCGAATATTCTCATCCTTTCAACTCCACAAATCACAAATTGTGGAAAAATGTGTGACTCAGCAATTGCAACCCCCTGATCTACAAAGGTCCATGGCTGATAACCCATCAATCGTCTGTAATAATGGACTTCCTCATTCGTTTCGTACAAATCCATGAGACCTTTCGTAAGCCTGAGATCGAGGCGTTGGCCGTCCTTGCAGATGTCAATGTCGAGTTCCTATCCTACAGTGAAAGTGTATGTTTTGACTTTTCCGGCTGAAATCTTTTGTCACATCTCTATAAAATCAGACGATGAGAACAGTCAATGTCTGATCTGTGTAGTCTCCATACTCAGTAGTCCGCCTAAAGGATGAAGCAACCGCAAAATCTCTCCTAAGCCGCAGCATCTCAAGCAAAGGGATCTACGAGCTATGGGGAAGCGGAACAGACTACGATGAGCTCCATGCAGACATTATTATGCGCACAAGAGGTCAATGGCCGCAGTATCAATCTTGCTCTTTCAGGTTTGAATTCGACACCTTCTGCGGCTCCCGAACGCTACGGAGCAAAAAGCTATCATCGAATCTTTCAAATATATGGGTTTCAATGGCCCTATTCGTATGCGAGGTGCAGAGCTTAGTTTCACCATCTTCGAGGAGTACGAGTATGGTGTGAAAAAACCCAAACGGCTCTATCTGGGAAGCTTTATAGGCAGTAGTTCACGGCACGCAATCGTTGACTACAGTTTGAAGACCAGGGACTACATCAACACTACATCTATGGACTCGGAGCTCGCGCTATTAACCGCGAATCTCACACTCGCCGCTCCAGGAAAGATATTCTACGACCCATTTGTTGGCACAGGTAGCTTTCCGATCGCTTGCTCTCATTTCGGTGCCAGGACCATGGGATCTGACATAGACGGGCGAATGGTGAGAGGAAAGAATGGGAAAGACATTAGGACTAATTTTCGACAGTATGGATTGCTTGATAGGTATCTCGATGGCTTTATCTCGGACTTGACGCACAGCCCGCTTAGGAGAGGGAGATGGCTGGACGGTATCGTTGGTGACCCACCGTATGGTGTTAGAGAGGGTCTGAAAGTTCTGGGGACAAAGGATGGGCGTGGAAAGGAAGCTGTGTTTATCAACGGGGAGGCATCACATTTGTAAGGCTGTTTCATCTCGACAGATACAATTGCTAATCCAGGCAGACAAGACAAATATATCCCGCCAAAGAAGCCGTACAGCTTCGAAGCTATGCTAGACGACCTGCTTGATTTCGCCGCACTATCGTTGGTAGACGAAGGGAGGCTTTCTCTCTGGATGCCGACCGCGAATGATGAAGATGGAATCTTAGGGATACCATCACATCCATACTTAGACTTGGTCAGCGTTTGCGTTCAGACATTCAACAAATGTATGTAGAGTGCCCCATCTCAGAGCTTGCAGGCTCTTCTGACAATTCGAACATAGGGTCTAGAAGGCTTTTGACGTACAGAAGATTGCCAGACTCTGAGATCAAAGGAGACTTGAACATGAGGCAAAGAGAAGCTGCAAAAGGAAGCAGTGCTAATGACTTGAACTCTTTTAGGAAACGAGTAAGTACTCCTCCTTCAGATATAATGGCCGTGACGTGCTGATTGATCTGGTCAGTATTTCGAAGGATTCAAAGCTTCAGGGGCAAGTGAGAATCCTCAAGAGGTGCCCACCAGTGAGGTGGAAGGTCCGCCAGAGTCAGCAAAAACTTTCGTTCCAGATGGCCTCTTAGCTAAGAAGAAGGAACTTGAAAAGTTGAAGAACCGCGCACTGGAAAAGAATCAGGAGTTGCGTGATCTTGAGACCGCCCTGGCCCAGAAAGAAAAACAACGGAATGCAGAAATCGAAGAGCTCAGGAAAGAGCTTGGGACAGGTCGACAGTCATGGATGACAGCCGAAAAGCACTGAAAACGATGTTGGCATACCAGAATGGGCCACCCGTCGGGTTAGCGACCAGACCTCGCACGGTTCTCTGAAGGGTAGATTCAGTCACGTAGTATTCTTCGTCCATGATTCGCAAGACTTGGACCCGCCACGGGCACACGGTGCTGGACCCGATTTTCTCTCCGACGTTCAAAACTGGCATCCTTCGGCCCAAGGTCCAAAGCAGAGACTCCTGCCTGGTTAGCCACCGCACGCCTCGTTCTCCACAATACAAAGCACCAGCAAGAGGAAAGTATTGGGGACCATTCGAGAGGGTCTGGTGTCATACCACCAGAGCTCCGAAAGCTAGACAGGCTTGAAAAAATAGTCAGACATCTTGCCCGGGCCATGCATGCTCTTATTCGTACACTCTCACAGCCTGCCATGACCCACGGAATCTCTTACTTGTACACTCTTACAGCTTACTCCTCCTTCCCGTCCCCCTCCACAACCCACCCTCATCCCCCCTCCCACCCGCACCACCAACTGCCTGCCCATCCCCAAGTAACCTCCTAACCCCCTCCTCTCCCTCCCGCCACCTAACCCTCTCCACCTCTTTCCGTACCCTCTCCCTCATCCTCCCGACCAAAACAACCGCATCGTCCTCATCCAACTCCTCCCTCTGCCCCTTCCCAAACACCGTCCAGCTCCTCGCCTTCACCTCCGGTACATCGCCGACGCGCGGTATGATATGAAAATGGACATGGGGCACGACCTCTACGCAGATTTCGGGGTCAGCACTCTTTACTCGAGCTAGGAAAAGGAGTTGCAAGACAGGTCTGAGCAGTGAAAAGGTCTTCCTGCTCCCGAAACATGTCTGGCGACTCAATCTCATTACCAAACAGAAAAACACAGCTCCGAAATATACGTACGGGCCGCGCGTGCTCCTATAAAATATGAATGTCAGCCCTCGTAGTCCCGTCTGCCCATCCTGACCCTCTGGGCACCCACCATTATTCTGCACGACGTTCCAATCCCCCACGTCCAGATCCGCATCTTCCCCCTCCCCCTCCCCACCCTCACCTTCCCTCACAGCCCCCACAACGGCCCGGCTCACCACCCCCAACCACCGCCCCACCGCCTCCCCCTCCTCCACCCTCACATCGCCCAGTTTCTCCCGGTGCGCCCGCACGACGACCAGCACGTGCCCCCTCGATATCGGCGCGTGGTCCAGGAACGCGATCAGGTGGGGCGTGGAGAGGATGAGGTGGGCGGCCGGGGGTGTGGGGTCGGGGGACGCGGTCGTGGGGTTGGGCGTCGCGGGGGGTGGGAAGGCGGAGGTGGGGGGGAGGAGGCGGGTGGGGGGAGGGGGGGTTGGCGAGGGCGATGGCGCAGAAGGGGCAGGTTGGGTTGGGGGTGGGGGGGCTGGGTGGGGCGGGCATTGGAGGGGGGAAGGGTTGGTGGTGGATGTTGGGGCTTGTTGTGGGGAGAGATGGGAGGGGTACGTCAGGACTTGGGTATTGGGCGATTCTGTGAATGTGGTTGTTTAGGGTGGTTGGAATGATTCGGTTTGATATGCAGGAAGCGAAGCTATTGTCGTTTATAAGAAGATTTTTTCCTTTCTTGAAATAATTTTCGCCGCGTCTACGTATCTAGCCAAAGAGTCAATACCTACCCTTTCGCTCATAAGCTTTCTTGATCCACGGCATGATTAGAAAGTGGGCATTCTGCCAATCCTTCCCCTTAGGCCCCATCGGCCCCTATCACGGGCAACCACAAAGCAAGCTGCCAGCAAAAGCGGCAGACTCAAGCGCTTACGACTGTTGTAGTGTCTAGGTCTCGCCAACACAGTATGGGTATTGAGCCGAAAATCTCCACTGTCATTAATATACAGACCCGTCTCAGACAATGCTTAGGACTCGTACCGCCGCTACAGACTCTTCTCGGCAGCACGCCTACAAGGCACGCCCTTCGTTTTGGCCGATACTATAGCATTCGTCAGTCAAGATATACACGGACAGATGAAGGACCACCGACCACGCTGCCGTGTAGAAGAAGAGGTAGAGGTCTATAGGAATGTAAGAGATTGTAGGAACAGTCCTGCATGGAGAGAATTTCATGTGCGAATATTTTTGTGGATTCCGATCAAAAAAATCGACTCTTCTGTCAAAGCATCTCAAACAGACATGATCTTGAAAGAAATGTGTATGAAAACTATCACTTTTTGCTGGCACTGCGCCTGAAGTGTACGACTTCTACAATTTCTCCCTGGCAAACAAACGACGGTTATTAGGAAAGGTTCGTGAAAATCGCTACTATCTTCGGGCAACTGTAGGATTTCTGCAATTCCATTAAGAGCTTGCGCCCTCTATGCATGAATTTTTACTACATTCTTCTACTCAGTGACGCTTGGCGAAGGGCCTGCGGTTAGAGGTCGGAAACAGTTGCGCATCTCTGATGGACATGTATGAGACGTAGCAAAGTTACAAGAAGTTTCGCCCATCCTTGATATATTACCTGTAAATTTTCGACTAGCGTGATATTCTAGATTATGCCACTATTGTTATTCAAATAGAATCGTTTAAAAATACAACGTAGTATATAATTTTCGGTAGTATGGTACTAATACTAAGTAACCGCCAGTAAGCGATTCCACAAATCAATACCGTTTAGATACGGTTACCGAGATTCATAGCCCTCCGCTAAGGTACTTCCTAGGTCCCTTACGCTGGTAATGCCGATGTCAAGCCAAATGTAGCGCGCTTGTGAGCTTTGTCGACTTCCTTCCGAGTCGACGATGAGAGGCATTGGATTGCATAGTTGCTGGCGCTCATAAGAAGTGTGTTGTGGACATTGATGACCAGATGGAGCCACAGACTTACGTTCTTGGTCTCTGTGCGCTTTCCATGCTATCAGTCTGAGATCGAACTTTCGCACAACGCTTATGCTACATTATTGAGCTATAGAAAGTAGATATACGTATTTAAAGCACTCAATAAGGCTAGTACCTCTTTAATTAACTTTAGAGAATATCTATACTCTTATAACTATATTAAATAAGATTAGCTAGCCTTAATAGAATTATAATAATTATAATTTTAAAAAGTATACATTTATATTAAAGTTATTAATAAATATTATATTAAAAATAATAGATAAAGGCTAAAAATTACTAATAGACGAAGTAATTACTACTCTTAGAGCGATTATAATATTTATAAAAAGAGTAAATAATAAACTTAAAATCTAGATAGTCTTAAATAAAGTATATAAACTAGTTATTAACTTAAGTAATCGAGATAGTAATATAAAGAAAAAGATTATATATATTAAGTATTAGATAATTAGTTTAAAAAGTAATATATTAACGACTAGCTACGTTAGCGTACTAGACTAATTCTTAATATTCTTCTTTATTATTAAAGAAATCTCTATTATATTATTAGTAATATTAAAATAAGATTAAGTACTATATAATAAGCTAAATAAGATTATTATAAAGCTATAAAATGAAATAATAAGTAAGATATTAAAGAAGAAGATATTAAGTGAGATAACTATAATAATTAATAAATATATAAAAAGTATAAATATTATAAAAAAATCTATTAGAATAATTAGAAGACTAGCGAGTAATAATATATATATTATAGCTATAAATAAGAAGAAGATAAATAAATTAAGAGAAAATAAGAATTAAACTTTAAAGATAAGTAATAGCGCGAGAGTAATTATTAAAATATATAGTCTTCTACTTTATAGAGTAAGAATTAATATATTTAATATTAAAGATATAACTATAGTAATTAAAAGAGTTTAGAATAAGAATATTAATACGCTAAGTCTCGATATAGTATAGCTAGACTAGTTTAACGCGAATAAAAAGAATTATAATAAGAGTTTATTAATTATTAAATTAATATCTCTAGAGAAAGAAAATAGAGTATTAGAAGAAGATTTAGTTATCGATTTAGAACTATATAGCTATTATATCTATAATAAGTAATATAAATTAAAGTAATACTTCGTATATTAGAAATACGATTATCTATCGACTATATACTCTAAAAAGAATTACTTAGTATACGAGAAATGCTTAGAAAAATATTATTATAAAGAATATATAATCGATACTCGTAAATATTCGATTTATAAGAAATTATATAAGACTTAAAATAAGATATATATAGTAAAGAAGAGAGAGATAGCGAGAACGAGAATAATAAGATAATAAACTCCTTTATAATTTATAATAACGAAGAAGATATTAATATAAGAGCGTAGTTTACTAAAACTATAACGGCGTAGTTTACTAACGATTAGCTAGCGGATATAGACTATAAAAGACGTAGTATCGTTATAGAGTTTAATAATATATTTAATAGTAGAATTAATCTCTAAGAAATATTAAAACTTTAAAATATATGAAGTAGATCTATATTCGTTAAGTCTCTAGATATATAAAATACGTTATTAAAATTAGACTTTAAAAGAAATATTAATATAGTATATATAATATCGACGCCTTAATGTAAATAGCGCTAAGATCTATAACGTATTAAGTCTAATAATTATCTCTTCTTCTAAATTTTAATTCTTAAACGCCTAAATAAAGATAGAATACTTATTAAAAAACCTTTAAATTCTAGTAGAGAAATAAGAAAAAAGAGTCGATCTATTAAGATTATAATATCGTTTTAATAACGCGATAGAATTAATTCTTACGCGTCGTAAGCGCGTTACTAATATATTATATAATAATATTAATATTATCTTTAAGAATAATATCGCTTTTATAATATTAATTAATAATAATTTATAATAAGTTAACGCGCTTAATATTAACGTTTTTATAGTACTAGTTAATAGCCTCTATAGCGAATAATATTAGATTTAGAAACTTATAATAAAACCTCGAAAATCTAATAAGTAAAAGAAGAGAGAAGAGTTTTTCTATAAGTAACGTTATTTCTATAATATATTATATTTATAGCGAAGCAACGTAATAATAATCTTTATTATAGAGATTTAAAGAAAGTAATTAA